TGTGGGGGGAGTTTAGCTGGTAATGAAAACAAAATGAAAAAGATTAGTATAATGTGTGTTTGTGGGGAATGTACGTGTTAGGAATTAGTATATGGGTCGACTCAGAGCAAACTACCATTAAAGTAATGAAATTAAAGACCATTCAAATGGAAATATGTGTGTGAACCCTACTTTAAATTATTGAACTAAAAAAAAAAACAAACAAAAGGTTGAGGGCTTCATTTCTGTGATGAATGTTCACTACTCCAAGCCATCTAGATAAAACCATCAAAATAATGTCTTTTTTTTTAAAAAAAAATTATTTTAATTTTATTTTTTGCTCAATGATTATTTCATTTAATTTTATTTTTTTTTTCCAAATTTTACTATAAACAAAAATTAAAACGGACAATTATTTTGGAACAGAGAGAAGAAGCACTAACTTAAATATTGGCTTGGAATGGCTCCAAAAAGAAGCCCATAGCAAAGAGTATTCTCTTTCATTTTGTGTTGTTTTCTTGGATTCCAAAACCAACTATGCTAATTAGTTCCATGTTTCGCGACGAATTGGCGATGTGTTTTTATGCGGAAAATGTCTGGTAGAGTTGATTCGCTAACTTCCATGTGTGTGTATAGGTGTAACTTGATTTATCACTGATGATCAACTAGTAGGTAGTTATCCTTGTTTCTCATTCTATGATTTGTCGAAACCTATGCTCGTAATAAAGTAAAGTATTTTTGCAGAATCCAATTTCGTAATCAGTTTGCTGGATTATAACTAATTCCAACATCTATTTGATCCGTAATTTGGAATCAAAAAATGGTCTGAACTTGAATACTTGGAACAATCGTGATTTCACCACCCATAAAATGTTAAAATTTTTGTCCTTTTCAATTGTACCCAAAAAAGAAGGAAGAAATCTTGATGCTCAATCTTCTACTACGTGTATGGATGGTTCAACAACGCATACCACAAAATGGGGAAGACACGAACCCATCTAGTAACAAATTAATTAGGGTCATTTCATACTCTGTATTTTCTCTATTCTAAAATTATTGTCCAGTTACTTAAACTGGATGATTATTTTGGGACGAAGAGAGTAATATTTAAACTTATTGTGCGGTAGAAGAAATAAAAAAAAAGGTAAAATCTGTGTAACTAATTGATTTTGTACATGAACACTACTCTGTGCGTCCAATTTTATTATTGAATTATTTTTGTACAATAAGATGGACCATTACAATATGTCATGAAATACTGTTTAAAATTAGGGTAAAATAATAATATAGGGGTCGTCCCCTGTTGGTTGATGGTGGCACCACACCTGCACTTTTTGTGGGTCAATAGTTTGTACGTTTTTTCCACTTATTTTAGGGATGATGATGATGATGGAATGAAAGAGCAAAGAAATGCACCCAAAGAAATAAAATAAAATAAATGGAGATCTCAATAAAGTGGTCAGATATATATATCGTCAATCCATCCACCTTTTTTGACAATGGAGTTTGCTTCATGTGTCTCCTCCCATCGTGATTGTGTGTTCTTATGCCTGTCTCCATTATAATTTCGGGTAAATCACCCCTTATAGTTTATTAATTAATCGTGTCTTGATTAATTTGTTTTATTCCTTCATTTTGAAAAAAGTTGTGATTCACTTACATGAATTCCCATTTGTTAGTTTGGTTAAGAGCCATTAGGCCATCCATGCACCAAGTCAAATTAAACCTAGTACTCCCTACGTCTCATAATTATTGTCCAATTTGAGATTTCACTTTTGGTACATTTTGAACTAAAAATAAAAACTTAAAATAGACAATAATTTTGGGACGGAGAGAGTAGTATTTAATTAGATCTCTGTGGATGTTCGCATGATATCATGTACTCCCTCCGTCCCATATTTATTGTTCACTTTGCCCAAAAAATTTTGTCCCAAAATTATTGTCTAATTTGACTTTTTATGGATCAAGTTACACATTTGTCCTTAGTAAAAAACATTATCCATAAAATCTTAGTGGTTAAACAATTACTTATGTAGGGGTATATCCGGTTGTTTAAGATAAAATATAGCTAAGTTTGACCAAAAATAAAATCTTTCATTTTAGTAAAACTGGACAATAATTATGGGACGGAGGGAGTAATCGTAATTTTATCTGAGATATAAATGTACAATAATAAGAAACAAGAAATGGTTTAAAATCCCGAGTCTTACTCTTTTTTTTTAACTTTAAATTTCTTACAAATACTAATGCACTAAACTATTAATTTGCTGAGGGACCTAGATTTTGAACTATCTTATTCAATTTAATTAAGTCAATTTTTTTATTATTATTATTAAAACTCTTTTTTTCAAATATTAACGAACAAAATGAATTATAGAGAAACAAATTAATTAGAAAGCTTGTTGGATTGATTTAACCTTTTTTTTGTTTACTGAAAGACTGCTATGATACACTTAACTCTTCTTTTCTTTTAGTCTAGGTTTGCTCTATTGTAAACCCATTAATCCATCAACAAATATTATTATAGGACGAAGATAGTTGTATCATTTTTTATTTTTTGTTGAAGGTAAGATAGTTGTATCATAGCTAAGCATGATACATACATGTAAAGAGACCAATCACGAAGCACCACCCCACCAATTAATTAGTTGGTATAACAGTTTGGAATTATCAATTCATATCTGATCCCACGATACTAGCTTAGTTTGGAGCTGATTCTACTCTCTTTTTATTATTGCACCTCTATAAAGTTTATTAGTACTTTATACCTAATTTTTTAATGATTTTGCTCCATTGACAAGTCAAAAAAAGAAAAGAAAAAAAAAATTTGATGATGAGTGTTTGTCTGCGTGCTCTGCTCCCCACAATTTGTTTTACGTCTACATACCACACAATTGTTTTATTGAAAAAAAAAAAAGAGATTACAATTAATCGATCTTAACGCAATTATATATTCAGTTTGAATTGTTAAAATATTATAATAAATTAAATTCTTTTTTAAGATAAAAAGAATACTAGCAAATTATATATTTTGTATTAATTAGTGCGACTCTTCAACATTTTGTAATTAGTGTTGAGAAGTTGGAGTAACATATTTAATGAACTCAGTTATGTTTGTTGAATTAAAATAATATAAGTCGATAAAAAATTTTATTTTAGGATGGATACATGTTAAAAGTTAGAGAGAAAGTAATCTAAACTTTCCAATATTTACCATGAACATGATACTAGCTCAATCGATTTGATGCCGTCACCACAACCCTAAACAGTTAACAGGACAGCTTAACCTGATTCTGATATATGAGACTTCAGCATGAAGTAATTGAATTTTGAGAAAGAAAAATGTGTATCCATTCCATCTAACATGCTTTTTTTAAAGTCAGGAGCTCCAAAATCTCATCAAATATATGGGCATTGGCTTCATGATTTCTGTGAAACACACCTTTTGGTATGTACAATACATCTAAAAAGTTAAAGATTTACCCATGTGAAGGGATGATGATGATGATGTAGAGTTATATATAACCATGTCATGATGATTAAAGTTGCACAACCCCATGGAAAACCCTAAGCCGATTTGATCCACGTATCCATTTTACTTTTGGAGGAAGATATCATTTTGCTGCAGTTATCCTCGTAGGCAACTGTGGTTGGTCATTAGTTAAGGAGAGGACATCATCTAAATGTTTCTAAACTTTAAAGCTGTCAAAGAATCCAAGATTCAGTGGTACTTTCATACATCACTCTCCCAATGATGAAGAAGATCTCCGATTTCTATATATCTACTTGCTCTCTCTATACTATAATTTCTTTGTAAGCAAACATTTTAAAGGGGACATTATATTAGTCGAAACCCGATCTCAAGATGACAACATAACACTAGTTTCCCACCTTAATTTATCATCGGACTCTCTCGTATGGTATCCCTTCTATATGTTTTGGTTTGCGTCACAGCATTTTCAATGTGCTACCTGTTAGGATCGATTATACTTTCTCTGTTTCAAAATTGTTTTTCAATTTGTGTTTTCAACTTTAGTACAATTTGAACTAAAAACAAAAGTTTAAACTGGACAATAATTTTAAGACGGAAATAGAAAGAGGGTATTAAAACTAGGTCGTGTGCGATATACGCGATGTTTTCTTTCTTTTTGTTGGGGGAGGAGGGGGGGTGGTGGTTTTCAGTTTTGAGCCAACTTTTGTTTGTTTATTTATCATGTGACACAATCATGTATCTCAATAGTGTAACATTCCATGTGGCGATTAATCCTCATTTTGCTTCATCCTCAATTGTCACTTTCAACCAGAAATTACAACTTTAGATGATGTTTTTGTCACTGCAACTAAAGATTTCCGAAAGCAAAAGTTATGACTGCAACAATAAGTCGTTTCCGCAAGCCAAATAATATACGAGCTTCTTTTTATAATACAACAATTTTCTTTCTTTTCTTTTTTTTTTTTTTTTTGCGTAAGCAGGAAAACTCAAAACTCACCAATTACACATTCAACCGTGTTTTTTTTTTTCTTTTTCATTTTTGCTCACTATCTTTTCTACTCAGTTACGTCCCTTCGCCCTCCATCTCACTTTTCTTCATTCGTATATCTTACTCGTATATCACGATAACTATTTTTATTTATTATACCACCTAAAAATAATTCTGAAACAAACAAAAAATCAAGTGGTATTTACAATATTTTTTCCACAAAAACTAAAATCATCAACAATATAAAGTTGAAACGCAATTCATCATACACGAGGGACTTTTTCTATAAGTTATTCATAATTTCTAATCATCCAAATCAGCGGACATTTGATCATGGTCAGGGCTGCTATCCTGCCAAATTTTCGGCTCCTTCCAAACTCCACAAGGACAGATATCTAAACTTTTAGTATCTTTTGGATGGCGGCTATTATTATTTATCGAAACACCACTGGTTAAGCAGATTTGAGAAATGCAAATGAGAAAGCTACCTTAAAACTTTCTTTATTTCTTTTTTTTTTTCTTCATAAACTAATAAAAGCCGTCTGCTTAAATTTTAGCTAGATTTTCAATTTGATATAATCTTATCCAACACCCACCACTAAAACGGAAAAGTTTAGCTGTATTCATTGAAATTGTCAAAATGGAAGAATAATTTAAACCCACAATAACCAAATATGAAGATGGAACAAAATTCAGCAGAAAAGATGGATAGCAATTAGCAAGTAGAGAATAGTAGTAGTAAGTAGCCAAAAGAATATCATTTACATTCTTGAACAGTAAGGCCCTGCAGAACAAAAAAACACAAGGGTGGAGGAACAAGAACGTTGCTGTAACCCGTGGCCGTGGCCCTAACATAAAACCAGCCACCAACCTGTCAATGCCATCATATCTGTCTGGTAGGAGTACTATTAAGTATTAACATTTTTTTGAGTTTAATATTCTACACTAACAAAGATCCAGTATATCATGAGGGGATGAAAATGGTTTTTCTACTGCCCAAGAATGAAAGCATTTATCTCTGCCCAACTAGACACTGTGTAAAGTTTGCCTGACAGCCCCTTCCATACCGACGAAGCCGAGTTTCCTTCAACCCCACATTCTTTTTGTTTCTCAACTAACCCTGGAAACAACGGAACAAATGACACCCCGAAATGACTTCCAACTCTTCTTAAACTAGAGCTCGAACCCAGCACAATCCCGACATCCGCCTTGAGTAAGCAAAGCAAGTCACCCACCGAGTCTCCGATATATACAGTCAGATTCCTTCTATTGTTGTTTTCCAAGCCTGATAAGATGTTACTGAATGCTTGGACCTTGTCAATGGGACTCTCAACTTTCTTAATAATCTCACCCGTTGACAATGAGTTTTCATAGCTAAATTCATTTGCATGAATGTTCTGGATATCTATGCCGCCTGCATGACAGTAAGACAAGGCAGTATCAAAATATGAAAATTCCTTTACTACCTACAAAACGGTAACTGCCCAAATAACAACCAGTGGGTGAACATTGAAATGGATGGCAAACACAGCAGAATCAACAACCCTTATCATCGTCATTTTCTTCCCATTGTCCAGGCAAATATCACAACCAAAATCGAACTCAAGACTTCCTTTCCATCAACCAAAACCTCATGGGAGATTTAATATATGCATCATAAGAAAAAGTAGAACCTCAAGCAAATGCTAATAGCAAGCACAAACACAACTGAAAATGTACATAATCATAAACATCCTCAACCAAACACCAGCGGAAAATGTACACACAACCGAAAAAGTCACAAAATAATAGGGAGAAAAAGAGTCCAAACATTCATGGAAAGCTACACCCCCACAAAAAAAAAACAGAAAAAAGGTAATTCAAACAACTCAAATCTCATTCTTTGTATTAGCAATATACTATAGCAGTTCTGGAACACGAGTAACATACCTGCAGAGAACACTGACCTAATAAGATCAGCACACCAACAATATGAAAGAACATGGACGTCTGCGTTCAAATTCTCATCTGATCTGAGGCATTTAAAGAAATTGTGACAACCATCATGGAGAATCATCCGCTCCCCAGCACGCTTTATGTCGTCAAGATTCAGTCCCTTAAGCACTCCGGAGTCAATGACCCTCAGATTTGCCCTTTTCTCAAAATCAGATAGTTGCTCAAGCGCCTTATGTAGACGTTCATAATCAAAACTATCAGCTGCACAAGTGAAAGTCAATTATAAGAACAAGCCTGTTGAATACGCATACATGTCAACTATAAGAAAAATCTCGACATTGTGAATCAAGTGAAGCTTCAAACCACCTTTATCCGAAACCAAGATGCTCTCAACACACTGTTCATACTCTTCAGTGTACTCCTTTGACAGCATTGCCCAGGTGTTTTTAAGATCAGCTGATGACATCCGAGCAATTTGGTTTTCTTCTTGATTTTGATCAGATTTAGGGGCTGTTATGATTGCAATTTCTGCTAAGATGGCAGATGAATCAACCACGGAGCAGGTCAAATCAAAATCAGAAAATACCACCAGATGACTTTCTGCTTCTTTGTACTCTTTTGACAGAGGAACAACAGTTGGCTGCACCAGCGGCTGAGCAAGGAAGAACTCTAACTCAAGTTTCATGGCTTGATGGTAGAGCTTTTCAATGATGTCAAGCTCTTCACCAGTCAGAGAGACAGACAATTTATCAAGTAAGTCTTCAGTTTGCAGAGCAGAGGCCTATTAGAAAAGACAAATGAATTATGAGAAATGGACATGTAATTCAAGAAGAATACGTGAAAGTGCATTCAGCCAACAGATCAACAAAGGAAAAGTAGAATTCCAGAAGAGACGACAGTAGAGACCTGGAAAATTTCAGAACTATAGTTGTCAATCCATTTCTGGTATGGATGAGTGCTGTCACTGTTCCCCAGAAGTGCATTTAACTCCTTGCCTAGAAATGAATAAAGCCTCATGCAGGGTGTCATAGCACCTAAAGTATAAGCTGCGACTTTTGTTTTCTCAAATGGAGTCGCTAGTTTACCAGGGGCTTTGACACCTTCAACCTTCCCTGAGGCCGTGGCCAGCAAAAACTCAGTGTATTTCAGTGTTGCAGGGTTCGGAGAGCTTTCTTTAGGTTCCATTCCCCATTCCTGTATATCATGACATAGAGATAATTAATATGTTTAACCAGAAAATAATACATGAAAACAAATAGAGCTGAAAGTATCCCATGAGTTATTGGCCACAGCAGTAAACTTGTCATCATAAAGTCACGTATCAGTTGCTTATGTGCAATACTGTCTCTGGAGAATATTCCTATTGCTCACAAAAAGAAGATATGCTGCACGTGTAGTTGAAATTCATCTATAAATTTACCCAATAGTTTCTTCTCTAGAGCAACTCCACACAATAGTGAGTCGAGAACTTTTGTCTGCTATCTATGACAGTAAAATATGCGTGAAAACTGAAAAAAAAAAAAAAAAACAGCTAAAGAGAGCTCGAAGATCATAACACCAAAAATCATATCCCACAGAAAAAGTTATTTGTTTAGATCTTCTTAAGGGTTCCATGGCCACAAATACTTGATATTCTAGTTCCTCTCCATTAGTCAAAGTTATGGCAAGGGCAATGTGCATCTGCGAGAAAATCTCTGACAGAGGGCTGTGGAAACGTATGCAAGAAATCCAAAGTGCGCATGAACAGGTAAACTACAGACAATGTCAAAATTGCTGATAGGGAGAGTTATGGCAAGGGGAATGTATCGGTGGGAAAATCTCTGACATAGTGGGCCGTGGAAATGTACGCAAGACCTCCAAAGTGAGCAAGAACAGGTAAACAACAGATGATGCTAAAAATTGCTGAAAGGGAGAGAACACGCTGAGAATAATAAAAATTTGTTGGCGGATCTAGTAAGATACCGAGTGTGAGGTAGGATTATGGGCTCTAGGTTCAGGAAATTCCTATTTTCAGGAAACATTTTACCTCCTTAACCTCAAAACATTATCATCATACTAACATAACAAACATGTAAAACCGGACAATCTGTTCCTCGACAGAGCATCAACAAGAAGCCCAAAGAATATCTTTCCTATAGGAACTACATCGATGGTTCTTCATTATTTAAGTCTTTTACTTGCAGTTTGAACTTACCATCAGGTTCTATGTATTGATTAGTTCATACATAGATAGAGGGAATCAAATATAGGAAAACACACAACAAATGGATTTTCATTCCTCTTTGCAAAGATGGTTCAGAGACTCCATCCATCCTATAAAAAAATTTTATAGGTAACATAACACCAATATAATTGAAATGAACCACAAAACTATTCAGGCAGGAAAGAACTATCAGGAAGAACAAAAGGTTAGAAACCTAAATATCAAGCAGTTACCCCTAGTGTAACCAATCCAGGAAAATAAGTTCCAGAAAAACGAAATGTAACTAAATTTTTGCAGGTGCAGAGAATCCACATGACCAAAAACATCAACATGCTCAACACATCTCATAAGCAATCATCTCTACAATGAAAAAGTAGTTCCAAGAAAGAAAAAAAAAACACAAGAATAGGAATATGGAGATAGCGAGAAGGAGAAATCACAGGTGCTGATCATGTAAATCTTACTTGAGCAAATGATCCATGCATTTTGAGCTCCTCAAGAACACTCTTGCGCAAGTCACTGATCCCAACCTTTGCATCATCATCATCCGCGCACTCCTCTGCGAGTTCATACCTATCATTTTGGTTTTCCAAAACACAACAGTTAGAAAGACCCTAAAAATCTTTCTCATAGTTATAAAGTACATTCTAACGCTAAATTTTCACAGTTCCCAAATCAAGCGGATAACGAGTGCAATGAGAGAATCCAGCACAGATCAAGAGAATCCTAGCCCGAGGAATTAGCAAAAAACTAACCAGAACTCCCAAGATGAAACAAATCAACTCAAAAATCATCTAAGAAAATAACCGCAGAGTATCACAGGCAAGAAAACCAAAATGAACTAAAATCCTATCCATACCAGTCCAAAACAAGACTTGCATAAAGCAAAAGAAGCCGAGCAAGCGTTCAAGAGATCCAAGATTGGAGAACATTAATTAGAAAAAACAACAAGAGAACAGAGAGACAAAGGAAATTTCGCATACGCTTGAGCGAAGGCCTTGAGGAAGTAAACATCCTGAGCAATGTAATGGCGGAAAGTGTCAAGGTTCAAAGTGCCAGAAGCCAAAGCCACAACAAAAGGAGAGTAGAGCGAGAGGGTGGACTCCTTCTTGTACTTGATCCAACACTTGCTCGCTATGCCCGAACCGTCATCAATCGTGGTCGTCGTCGCCGGCGGCGGCTTTGGCATCGCCGTCGCCATCGGAGCAGGACCGGGAGATTTCAAGGAAGAAGAAAATGAACGGAAGTTGAAGAAGGAGGAGGGAGTTGAGAATTTGAGGGTTTTGAAATTGATCAGAATTGGGAGTGGCTTTTTGAACAGCAGTCGCATCTAGTAAAATAGTGCTCTCTCTACTTCTCCCAAAACTTCCCCCCTTCCCCCCCTTCTCGTCTGCAACTTGTTTTTTGCCTCTTTGGAAATGGCTTCAATTTTTCCTCCTTTTTTTATTGTTTTTTAATTATATCTATTTTATTATTATTTTTATTTTTTATTTTTTGGATGGATTTATTTTTTTCGTTTTTCTTTTTTATATTTTGGTAGTGTGTGTGAGACAGGTCATGCATGCTATATTAGGCAAAAACAGGCTCTCCAAATAAAGGAAGACTGTTTGTGCAATTTTCAGGAAGACCAATTTATTAGTTAAGCATTTTTCTCCTAACAAATTGAATACTTATAATTTTATTTTATTTTTTTTAGAGAAAAAAATAGCTCCGTTAATTAAATTGGATGGAAAAGGTCCAACAACTACTTTGATGATTTACAAAATTCAGTAGAATTAACCAAACTCGGCTCAGTGTCTCACTATTCAATGAGTTATATTCACAAAGTAATTGAGTTCATGAACAATTAACTTGTTATTCACGAATGACTATCCTATCGAACGAAGTGATAATTTAATTAAAAATAAAAAACATATAAGAGAAGCACGATATCATAAAAAGAGAACGACAGAGTATTGTGACAATTAATAATTTTAAAAGATCTCTTATACCGTAATCTCTAACTAATTCTCTCTCCTATCACATATATTTAATGGACTTTGATAGTATCGTGTATAATAAATCAAGAGTTAAATAGAGTGTAAGTATAATAATTAGATGTAATCTTATCGTTAATGTAAGTATTAAGGAGTGTGGGGGATCCTATGCAGAAAAAATTGGAATTTGCTATCAAAGGTAGCAAAGATGGATTTTGCTTTTTGAGACAGAACAGATAAAAGATCTTGTTAATTACTATCAAAAAAATACCTCCACTAATTACAATATTTTAATCAATAATTATGGTACTAACAGAAATACATATAAGAACCCAATTACTACTACAGAGGGTAAAATTAGCAGATATTGTATAAGAATTATAGAAAATGAAAAGTCGAAACAGAAAAATAATTATATGGAATGTTTTGTAAAATAGGAATAAATGCGATTCATAATCGAATGGCTTTATCACTAAGAGCTTTTTGTTTAATTATTATGGCGTAGCTAAGGTGAAATGTAGGACTCTAACAAGTATGACTTTTGCTACCTTTTTAAAGAAAATTGAGTTTGAAATTGAATTAGGTATGGACCATTGAAATTGACGTTGAGATGGGGAAAACCCTTTTTGGAAGATTATATAATAAGAAAAGTACAAAGCAAACCGATAATCCCCCCCAACAAATGTAGAGATTAATTCGTCGTTTTACACGTCGCTATTCACATTCGACATTAATTTCAATTGTCTTTTGCACCATCACGTTTTTTCCCACAGTTTACACTATACTTTATATAATTGATTCAGTTGATTGGTAAAATTCGTGCAGAATGGCCAAAAATAGATACTTGTGGTTATTTTCAATCTCAAATGACCAAATTCATGGCACATGAATCGCTTCTATCTTTCTATTTTCACCAAGTGCTTTGGAAAAAATTAACCCAAAAAAAAAGAAAATCAAATTTGATGCAAATTGGACAGAACAAAAGATTTTCTTCTGTTCATCATCATCAATGATCTGAAACAGATTACTTCTACACTTTTGAATCAGATGCATCTGTTGATGAAGAAATCTGCGCATTTGCTGCTGTCATTTGCAGTATTCTTGATTTTCATCATCAAATTAGGCTACTGTGAGATCAAGGATGTGGACATTGATAAGGATTCAAGGCCAATGATCATGTTTGAAGGATTCGGGTTCGGTCCAAATGGACATGTTGACATTTCTGTAAATCGTGTTTCCTGGAAAACAAAGCATCAAAATGCAAAGCTCAACCTTTCTTCAATGGGATTCTTCTTGGTCAGCGAAGAATCGTACCCGCGGATATTGAACGAGTCTTCCTACACAGAGGGATTCTGTCTCTTGTCCAGTATGTATGTTCAAATCGTGTTCAGGTTCGATAATCTTACCCGGCCTGATTCGAAATTCAGTGCTTCTGCAGCCATTGATGATGCCGACGAATATTACCTCATGTTTGGAAATTGTCAGACTGAGTTTCATGTGTCCATGAAGGTTCACACGGAAATGTACAACATTGGAGATCAGGGGAAAAAGGATTTTCTCCCGGCAGGGCAGACCGGATTACCTAGAATGTATTTCCTGTTTTTCGTAGTATATGCAGCGATTTTAGTGATATGGTGTTTCATCTGCATCAGGCAAAGATTTACTGTCCAGAAGATCCATCTGATTATGGCTGCATTGCTTCTTTTCAAGGCACTCAAGATGATATGCGCGTCAGAGGACAAAATGTACATCAGGAAAACCGGCACTCCCCATGGTTGGGACGTCGCCTTTTACATCTTTGGATTCTTAAAAGGCGTCACGCTTTTCATCGTGATTGTCCTCATAGGAACTGGATGGTCGTTCTTGAAACCTTTCTTGCAGGAGCGCGAAAAGAACGTGTTGATGTTCGTGATCCCACTGCAAGTCTTGGAGAACATAGCTTCAGTTGTCATCAGTGAAACAGGTCCAGTGAAGGAATATTGGCTCAGCTGGAACGAAATGTTCTTGCTTATTGATGTCATTTGCTGCTGCACTGTCATTTTCCCAATCTTTTGGTCTATAAACAGCCTAAAAGAGACATCCAAGACGGATGGAAAGGCGGCCAAAAACCTCGAAAAGCTGACACTTTTCAGGCAATTCTACATTGTTGTGGTTGCTTATTTGTATTTCACAAGAGTTGTGGTTTCTGTTATTGGAGCAAACATCAGCTATATGTACCAATGGGTACCAATAGCTGCTGCAGAAGGAGCAAGCCTTGTTTTTTATTTGTTTGTTTTTTATAATTTCCAGCCAGCTGACAAGAATCCTTACTTGATCATTGATGATCATGAGAGTGATGATAGTAATGTAAATCAATCTTTGGAAATGGAACAATCCATGGAATCTTAGAGGATTTTAGCTTTAACCATAGTTGTAAGTGTAATTTCTGCCATCCTTTGTAAAATGGCTAATGCTTGTTATTCCAGTTAACCCCGCTATCTTAAAAAATAAATACGCCTATCTACTCCTTCGTCTTAAAAAAATAGTTGATATTGAATCTTGAGTTTTGAGAAAAAGAATTTAAAATTCGCTTAGTACGAATTGTTTTTGTTGGGACGAAGAAAGTATAATTTTTAACTTTTAGCTCAAAATTTTACCCAAAAAAATGAAGAATAAAAATCAAATTCAAGTGTTGAGGGCTGGATCAGACCGAAATAAGGCCCATTTTTTATAATAGTAATAGCTTATTGGGACAAAATGATTATCATTCCATAAACTATATTTTAGAGAAATATAGGCCCATCCTTCCTCCTCCTCGTCCGTCTTTAGTTGCGGGAGGGCACCACCGTGGATTACCTTCCGAGAAGAAAATCCGGCAAAATCCCCATTGGTTACGTCCTTGAATCTTCCTAGGATCCTTTCAAAGCTCCTTAAATTTACTGAAATTGGTTTCATTTATACTGATTTTGAATTACTAAACGTTGAATTTGTTTCTTGCAGAATGGATGGTCCCAATAATGCAACGTTAGCTCAATTTCAAAGCAAGATATTCCAGATTTTCCTAGATTTCATGACGAGGTATACTATTTTGATTTTCTCACGGAGTGACTTTTGAATATTCTAATGTTCAACATGGGATGACGTTATGTAGAGTTCGGGCAAATAGGCATCTAGATTATGAGCAGTAATGCAATGAAGTTGAAATCTCGGTGTGTATGTTTTGGGTTTTACATTACTTTATGATGATGATGATGATGTTTGACAGGATCACCAAATTTGAGGAGCTGGTGAATGCTGGAAATAGTTTTCTTGTTAGCTTTCGGCAAGGGCTTGGTGAGTCTGCTGACATAATAATTGTTTATTTTTCTCCCCAAAAGAAATGCAATCTTCAGTTCAATCAGTGTGATGTGATTCTTCTTTCGTAGACTTTCTTCGACGACCTCCTTTGAACTTGAAGTCCGAATTGATTGGGCAGATTATCAAAGCTAACCAATCTAAAAGACTGTCATCCTACTTGGAAGCAGGATGTGTAAACACTCATGATAGTAAACAAAATATCAGCAAGTGTAAGTTTCTTTTGTTTGTGTAGTTTTTCACCTGATGCTGGAGCTGAACAATTTGCTTTATTTATTTATTTTTTTAACGTCTTTGATGGGTGTTTACCCATTATGATAATGATTTTTGTTCAGTCATGTTGGACTTATTGTGATTGCATTCTTGGCTTTGTTGATTTGCATACAGAAGTGCGTACCTGCCATCTTGGACTTTCGGACTGTTTAAACCAAGGTAATATTCTCCGTTACTCGTAATGTTTGTTATTGGAGGTTACAAGATGGACATGGACAAGGGCTTTTTGTAACATATTTTGGCTTTCCTTTGGTTTCCTAAAATTATACTTCTGAAGCATAGAACATTAGTTTTTATCTCTCCTCCGACATTGGAATTCAGAAGTGCTTCGTATATGTGCAAGTGAACATGGAGTCATTGTCAGTTGGTTATGCAATTATTTTTTGACTTGGTTAGAGATGTTTATCCTTTATCTAGTGATCACTTTAGGAGTGAAAGAGATAATAGAGGTTTAATCTTCGGTTGATCCCTCTATTCTTGAAATGCACTATTCAGCTTACTGAAACTGTTTGTCAAATTTCTTAAGGTTCTATGTCACTGACAACAGTTCATGTTTGTGGTCGTCCCTCTAAAGTAATTACCTTCCTCCTTTTTTGTAATATAACAGGCAAAGGATTGATAAAGGAACTTGAGTCCCTTCTTGATGATGCTAAAACAGTCATTGAGGATTACAATGAAGATTTAACAAATTTGCAGGATAAAATTGTTCATTGTAATTTGGATTCCTCTGGAGCTATAGCGAACAAGGTTAGATTTTTTGTTGTCTCCTTTAGTTCTCATTTGTGGGTTTTAGCTGTATTTGGCAACTTTCCTAAGCAGTGCGTCATCTTGTTTGTTTAGATCCATTTGTCATTTAGTTCAGTCCCCTCGTGCCCCAGTTTTCTAGTCATGTTGAAGATTCCAAATTTGGTCTTAATGACTTTGCTGTAATTTTGTTGGAACAAGTTTGTTGGTCTAGATTTATTGTGCAAAGCTTTTGCCTTGCTCTCGGGTTAGATAATTTGTGGCATGCCATCTGAAGTACCTTCTGAACTGAATGATGCTTTCCACGTGGTGATGTTGGTTCTGTTGTCTTTCTTTATTACATCTTACATCTCAAGTTCTCACAACTTCTGTCTTGCATTCATGCTACTGATTTTTACTAATTTTTTTATTTGACTAGCAACTGGATTATACCTTTCATAATTTGGAAACAGATTATAGTTGTATATTTTTAAGGCAATTATATTTAGTTCGAATTTCGGACCTCTTCGTGGCTTGTTTTTTTATCATAAGCACGTCTTATCCATGTGATAAAGGCCATGCATTCAGTCTATTTGTGTTTTATATCTATATAGTTCCCCTTCATTTGAAATGATGAATCTACGTGCTTGGTTATGCAATGAAGGAGCTCCATTCTGATTCTCAACATCATTTCTTTCCCTCAATACCTCAACACCAGACAGAGGCAGTGCATGCTCTGCTTTAAAACGAACCAGTGACTCGTTATTTCATAGTAGAAAACTTTGCCTTTGTTAATGACCTTCCTTTTTGTGGTATATAGTTGTCTAATTCCGTAATGGTCGTTCTCTGTAGGAAGAACAACCACTTTCGGATCTTCAGAAGCCTGACATTACTGATTATGCAATCTTGATGGGTCTTATCTATGGTATGGTTAAACAAGACTACGATATGCAGGTAAAGTAACTTTCTGTTTTCGAATCCATATATTCCAGAGAGACCTTTTCCTTACTGGCACATGATGTTTTAGATGAATGGAATGACCTGGAGATTCAGCCTTCGCATTGGTTTTTATCCTAATCAGACCTTCAAATGGTTGCAGGAAAAAATTATTTCTTCTCTCAGTCTGAAGTCGTCTTCGGTAGAACTGGAGTCTTACTGCCTCATGTGGTCTTTGCGGCCCTTTGTAGATGACGATATCATGAGCAAGGCTTGGAAACTAGTCAAATGAGCTTTGTTTGATTCCCGTATTATTGCTTCAGTTAGAAAGTAGCGATCACTCAGTAATGCAGTAAATAGGTATAGTGGAAACTGGAGTATTTCAGATCGGATTATCAGTCAGGATATTGCAGCTGTAACTTATCCTCGTAGGTGTTACTTGTTAGTATTGATGAACAGGCTAGGAAGACAAGAATATTCGTTATGCTTTCCAGTTTTTATGTTGATGTATTGAAAATTGTGGTTCGTTTCAAAAAGAAGCTGTGGCTGCCGACCCAGCTGATGAACTCCCACCTTCATTATTCCACATCATTTTCCTCTTTACTTTTGGTTCATGATTGCAGCAAAGCAGTAATGCAACAATGGCAATGTTATTCAATGGGTTTAATTGATGCTGAAATTTCTTCTTAAGAAATACTAAAGAATCAGCAATCAGGCCGATTGAAGACTTAAAGCCATAAGTCAGCTTCTTTTATGCCTAAGGACCCAAATACAAAATGTTGTTTTTCAGTAAAGCTTTATGAACCTTTTTCGGTATGGGGACTGGAATAGTGGCACCTGTCCTGGCTCTGTTAACTCCTCATCCTCAATTCCCTTTTCCTATTCGATATCCACGTAAATCCACAAATTCCCAAAATTACATTGCTCGGCGCCGCTACTCCTCCGCCGTGAAGGCCGGGGGCAGGGTCGGAGGGTCCGAGTGGGAAAAGACCCAGAGCGGAGAACGGCCGACGTATCAGGACGAGTTCAATTACGACTATGATGAGGAGGAAGAGTTTGGGTTCGGGAAGAAGTCCGGGAAGCAGAGGGTTTGGTGGTCTGATGACTCATCAACCAAATGGTGGGACACTAGCGGTGGCGGAGATGAAGATGACGACGACGACGAAGAAGATGGGTTTGGGGTTTTAGAGGGTTCAATTGGGGGTTTCTCTTCAATTTTCGAGGTAGCAATTCGACTTCAATTTCTTTCAACTTCTTTTTACCCCTTTGCTCAACATGGTTTATGGGCTTTGATTTCAGTTCGAGAAAACCTTTTCCTTTATTGCTATGATAATATTCCGAGTGGAAAATGTTAGCTCCGTTTAATAACACACAGTTTATAACCTTTCATAGTTTTCCATTGAGTTCTGATGGATTTCGTTTGGTATATGGTTGATTTACATCTTTTTTGATAGCGGAATCATTTTAGAAAGTCCCATTTTATGTTTCATGCATGATTATTGGAGGATAAATGAGTGATTCTATGAAGCTTTCAGTTGATTCATATTGAATTTTATGGTGCCGAGTAATTTGAGGTTCTTGTTTGACTTAGGTCTTGTTTGATAACGCCACTTAATGTTTAAAATTATTTCATTAAGCACTTTTTCAATTAAGCATATTTGATAACAAAAAGATGAACATCTTAATGAAATTAAGTGGTGCTGAAACTACAGTACAAAATATAAGCAATAAAACTTAACTTATTGTTTATTCCGTGCTTAATGAATTCAACATTTCTGATTCAGTATTAAGTATTTAGAATTAAGCATTAATTTTTATCAAACATGCCCTTAGATTGGTGGAAGTCAGCGAGGCTTGAATAGGGCTTGGACATTTGAACTCTGTGTTCACCTACTTAAATAAGAGTATATAAAGAAAGCATCTTTCTAGCCCAGGGGACTTGGCATATGGTATAGTCATCAGAACTACATGCAGAAAATTCAAGAGGGAAATCTAGGATGGAAATGTAGGCTTTCTAAATTTGTAGATGTATCAGAGCGAAGTTGGATGGTTAGATGACGAATCAGTATCTAATAATTGCTTGATATGCATCTGCCTGTGCTGTGCTTATGGTTGTGCAAGCAGTTCTCACAGAAACTAGTTACAAATGGGGTGGTTTAAAAGTTCATTTGCCTAGGAAACGGCTTATAAGATAAATCCTTGATATTCAGCATGAGCCATTCTCAATTTTGATTTATAATTTCTTGCAATCTAGAAAGGTTGATAATTAGCTGAATCTGAATATATTTATACCATTCTCCTTAAATATGTTCGATTATCCCATTTTTTGCAGGTCCTTAGAACATTTGGGTGGATGGTTCCTGCCATAATCATATCATTGCTGTTAGGGACTGGAGCTAACAACGCCTTACTCATGGCAGTAGCGCTTCCGCTAGCTCAGTCTGCTCTTTCCTCAGTGCTCGATCTGATATGGGAAAGGGCTCCTGAAAACCGCAGACCAAAATCCAGGTCTCGGAATAGGAAGCGGCCCTTTTCTGGGGCTTCAAGTGGGAGTAAAATGAGACAGAAAAGGGAACAGAATACTGAAAATGACAACAATTCTGGTGATTACAAGTCTTGGGTAGCCGCGGATAATGTTTCAGAACGAAAGGATGGGGGAAGGGCACGGAGTTTTGGTGGATGGGACGAGCTAGATGAACAAAGGAGAAAGGAGAAAGAGAGAAGAACAGCAACCTCAAACAAGAAAAGATGGGAAACTAGTCAAGGCAAACTCAGCAAAAGATCAAAAAGAAGACAAACACCCTTGCTAGTGAGATTACTGATTGCATTTTTTCCCTTCTTGGGATTTTGGACCAAGTTGTGGTGAATTTGTGGTGTTGCATTGTTGTGAAACTTCAGGCAGCCGGAGAACCATTCACTAGTGAGCGGTAAGTATTGCTTGGTTCAGTTCTTTGTTTTGGACTTTGTGCAAGTGTCTCCTACTTGAAAAGACTGAACTGCATAGGCATTGATTGGTATCTTAGAGCCTATGATGTATGCCATTTTGTAACTTTCTGTGGTCGCTTTCTTCTCCCACAGTATATAGATAAGCTTTTGCCTTTGTAAATTTGTATCTGAATGATTGAACTTTGTGGGGATAATATGATATGATTATACGGAAGTGAATAAGAGCCTTAGAGCAGTTTGGCATCGATATTTCTAGTACTGTACCTCAACAGTGGTCAGAAGTGCTTCTATCTGGTAGATTTATTTGTTGTAACAAGGAATAAAGTTCACTTGGTTATATTGTTCCCAAGACAAAGTCATTAGAACTAAAACAATACAATCATTAGAAGTGATTTTTGACATGACTGAAAGCAATAATAAAGAATGACAGGCAAAACTTTGGCAAGATCATTAGCAACAAAGTACATAAAAGTGCATTACAACGCTGCTATTCACAACACAAGTCTCAAGCAAACAAAAATAAGTTGCATGGGATGACCATATGCAAACACTAGTTCTTAAGAAAGAGTATTAAGTCAACTAAAATTACATCTGACTTTTGTAAAACTACACACGCGTATATATATATTTAAATAGGATAGGATAGGACCACAAAGAACCTAAGCATCAATGCATGTTTGAAAATTCACTTAAGAGGAAATTATCTTTGATTTCACACTTTTAGGAGCTGAATTTGGATGATCAAGGGGTAGGAGTATTGGTGTTTGTTGGTTCAATTTTCCTCAATTTGAAGGTAGTAGGCAAGTTAGAGCCTTCTTCATCATCATGATACACATAAGCAAATCCACCATGTCTTGTGAGATCCATCCCTTGCATTTCATCCTCACTTGAGATTCTCAACAAATTTATTTTGTTGAGTCCATAAAACAGTGGTGCCATTGTGGCTGTGACCCAACCAATGATCACTAGGATTTGTATCAGCTGGGCTGCTAATAGCTTCCCACCCCCACCCATGAACAACCCGTAATGTCTGCCCGCATCGCTCCCGGGTATGGGCCCGTATACCTCTCGTACAAGATTTTTGGCCGCGAATAAACCGGTAAAGATTAGACCCCAGGCGCCACAGCCCCCGTGGAGTTGGGCCGCCTCGAGTGGATCGTCGTACTTGAATATAGCCGCGAGTTTGTTGGCGCCGATCAAAACCCAAGACGCTACAAAACCGCATATGATCGCTGCCCACGGTTCAACCACCGCACAACCCGAGGTGATCGCCGCAAAACCACCCAAAAGCCCATTACAAACATCCATCACATTCCAATGCCCAACGAGCAACCTTTTGCCAAATAGAGTAGTGAGAGCCGCTGTGCACCCGGCCAGTGTCGTGGTTACAGCTGTCCTTCCCACGGCGCTCCATTGGCCGTAGAATGCTCCCCGGGACCCATAAGATTTCAAGATGGTCAAGAAAGAACCCGGGTTAAATCCGTACCACCCGAACCAAAGCAAGAAAGTGCCCAACACCACGAGCGAGGCACTGTGGCCACGCAAGGCAACGGACCGACCAGACCGGTCGAACCGGCCAATACGCGGGCCCTCAATCAAAGCTCCCCATAGGCCAGCGATTCCTCCGACCATGTGCACCACACCTGAACCCGCAAAGTCAATAACTCCCGATCCAAATAGAAGGTTTCCATCAGACCGGGCCGCACCGGCCCAACCATCACCCGACCAGAACCAGTGGGACACTATTGGGTACACAAACCCGGTCAAGAATGAGGAATATATCAAGTACGCCACAAATTGCGTCCTTTCTGCTATAGAACCACTAGTAATACCTGAAAAAGAAAATGAAAAAAAAAATTCCTTATTATTCCACTCTATATAATTTTATTAATGAATGAGTGGCACGAAAGTTTCCGCACTCATAAAAAGTTGGTTTTTTTCGAGTTGGATGAAAGAGTTAGTTAACACGACGTTACATCTTATATTTAAATAAATATTTCCTCTATCTCATAATTATTATCCAGTTTGATTTTTCACTTTTAGTTCAAATTATAATAAAAATAAAATCTCAAACTGGACAATAATTTTGGAACAGAGGGAGTAATATTTAGTGATATGTGGTACCTGCAGCAGCAATTGCAAAAGCCCATTGATAAAGGAAGAAACTGTAATCAAAGGTGGTCCCGGCAGCCGTCTGGTACGGGAAGTCTTTGAGGCCAAAGGCATGGCGGCCGATGAATCCATTGGAAGGAGCGCCGAAGGCGAAAGCGTAGCCGAAGAGGTAATACGACAGGCCGCCGGCGGCGGCGTCGAGGACATTAGTGAGCATAATGTTCATGGTGTTTTTGGCGCGAACGGAACCGGCGCAAAGCATGGCGAAACCCAACTGCATGGCAAACACTAGGTACGCCGAGAAAAGCAAGTACGTGTTGTCCACGGCGAACGTGGTGTCCGACAGCTGCGCCGACACGGTGTCGAACTGCTGGCAGATGTAGCTGGCCGCGGCGGAGGCATTGGTGGCGCTTCCGCCTAGGAGTGGGAGGAGGGAGGCTGAGCAGCTCACAGCACTCATTTCTTTCCTTTTTTTTTTTCCTTGTTTTGGAAGGTTGATTGATTTGTTTGTGTCTGTGGATACTGAAGTAATATTGTTCAAGGGGGGAGTTTGGATTTATATAGTTGAGGAGACAGAGCCAGGAAATTTTTAAATATTTTAAGTAATTTTTCTTCTTTTTTTTTTTTTTTGCTTGAGGAGAAAAGAAAATTGATTATATTTATTCATTTTTATGGTGTTGAATGAATGTCATATCTCTTTACAGGTAAGAAAGATGGTTTGCTTGAATAAGAGAAAGTCAACGTCTTCTCTCATCAAATCAAAAATGTGTAATTAATGTTGTTCATTGGAATTATTATTCACTTGGTATGAAAATGAAAACAAGCAAATTATTGAGGTAAGGTTGAATAATGTTTGTATACATATATATGCAGTCCACAAAGTATCTAATATCTATCAGCTTAATAAAGTGATGAAAGATCCCAATGTTCTTTTGATATATTACATAGCTTGTGTTTAAAGTTTATGTCACAATTTAATTTGCATTTCACTCGAACATAATATTGTGATAGTAAATTTACAAAATATGTTGTGAATATGGTTTCTGGAAATAATAGACAAACGGTACGGTTTATGATTAGATATGATTGATATACAAAAGTTAAATTCGAAATAATATATTATCTTTATTCTAAAATTATTGGCTATTTTTTATTTTCACTTTTAGTACAATTTGAGCTAAATTAGAAATGAAAATCTAAATTGGGCAATAAATTCAGTAAGGAAGGAAATGTATTTGTAATGAAAAGGTAAAAACGTTTACTAGTGTTACAGCTTGGCAAATCGTGAAAATTACTCTCTACTCTCTAGGTCAAATATTAATGCTCTCGTAACTTTTTTATTTTTTTATTTTTTTACCATGCGGGACATTGACAAATCCGGGAGAAAGAACTATTCAGAATTTTCTTGTTGATGAAGGGAGAGATTAACAATTTCTAAAACCAAATATTAGATTAATCAATCAGGTTCAGGTTCCTGGTGGTAGATCATGCATGAACATTGAACGCTTCAAAGACTTTTTGGATTATCTTATAATTATGTAGGTTTCATGTCAAGTTGTCCCAAAGATCTGAAGTCAGAAGAACGTAATATTTATAAATTAGTGTAATGTCACAATCTGTAGAGGGCCAACAGCTTAAATTTTTTTCACCTAATCTCATGACTATTTGGTTTTTCTTCGCGTACATGAATAATTTGGAATCTGAATTGAATCTGGATCATACACTAAAATATGTACAAGTAGGATGAAGTATCTTTGCCCAATAGAATCAGTTCCGTATTTCATTTCTCCACCCTCGTATAAATTATTAGCACAACTAGCTAGCATCACAGCAATGAAATCGGTAGTATTTTCTTCTTCTTTTTTTTCAACCTCTTTACTTAAGCTCAACTAGAAATCCATATACACTGATTTTACAGTTTTGGGCTGGAAAAATGGGAGTGGTCAAGTCGATACCGTGCCCCCAAAAGTGAGACAGTTTAAGCATTACTTTTTCACTTTTCATAATGGAAAAATGTTATTACAAGCCTCAAACCCTAAACTTGCTTCTGGTCCTCAACTTGATTTTTCATCCTCTTAATTAGAGGTTGAGCAAAAGTGAGTTCAATTCAGTTTCCAGTTAGTTATTTAATTTTTTTTATTTAAAAAAAAAAAAGAAGAAAAAGTTTTAGGTATTGAAAATTAGACTAAAATCTGATAGCTTATCTATCAATAATGTGCGGGCGTTCTGTGTGAAACGATCCGGAGCTAACATTGCATATGAACAGGAAGCTAAACCTGTGTATCATGTTATAACCACTTTTACAACATCAAACAAAATCAATTGACAAAGTTAAAGTCATATTGAACTTGAAAGAGTGATGCCAACGAGAGCATATTTATGTATTAATGTGATGGTGTTGTTTCCAGGATGATTTTGTTTAACACGTCTTACAATAATATGTACGAAAAAAGTTTCTACAGTAACATATCAGAATTTCATAATTTTTCAAAGAATGTAACACATAAGTGTATTAAAAGGGGCACGCGTATTCCTTGGCTTACGTCCCACTTAGAATAGGGAAATTGTATTTGATTTATAATATGTTGTGCACAATATACAGACTATATATAGACAATAAGAAACCCTAAACTAGAACATAATAGGAAATATACTAAATATTGCAATAGTCCCAACCACAAAATAATTCCGATTAGGCAGGTTATATATGCAATGAATCTCTCTTAGCTGAGATACTATACACTTGATTAACTTCTAATCATGATTTACCGGCCTAAGGGGTTCCAATTTACACCAAATTGCACATTTCTTTTTTCCTAATTCCCATTGCTGATGCAATTGATGTTTCTTTCTTATTCATTTTCTGATTTTTATAATCTCCATATAAAATATCATTTTGTGAGGCTGCGAACCGCCCACGTCATCACCACGAGAAGGTTATTTATTTATTCATTCATTCTTTTCTTTTTTGTATTTTTTTTCTTTAGTATTTTCTAGCAGTATTTTTCAACTTCTTACTAAAATAATTAAGAACCTTTAAGGATGAACGATCAGCTCTAAGATAACAATAATTCGTAAGTTAGGGTCACCATATTCTTCCCCCTCTTCTCTTCCAATAAAGGCAGTCAATTCATAAAATGAGATGGTGATTGGTAACAACATAGGAGTAATTACCTCCTTCCTTTTGTTCTGTTTTGGTTTTTTTTTTCGTAATAATTGTAATCATCAATCAATAATCTATCTATCTATAATAACTCCAATTATAACAAAAATCATATTTTTCCTAAAATTCTAAGTGTCATTCTTTGCTTAAAATTCTCCCACCCTAATCCCCAAGAAAAAAAGAAAAAATGGAAGTATTATCTTTTTTTAAAAAAAGGGAATCATTATCCCCTTTTATAATCTACATTTCTCAAATATTTTAATTATTATAAACCTTAAAGTTGCTCCATTAAAAAAAAGAGAGAGAGAAATAAAAACCTCCAAAAATAACCTCCTTGTCAAACTCATTCTCACTATAATCCACTTTTCCCAAATATTCTAATTATTATAAAGCTTAAAAGTTGTTCCATCCATATTTTCATTAAATTTAGGATACGGTTTCATCCAATTAAAATAAAATTAAGAAAAAAAAAGAAGAAAATCTTCGAAAATAACCTCGCTGTCAAGATTCTTTTCCCTAATCTGTGCTCCTGCCTATAGTTCAAAGATTCTACAACAATGATTTGTCTCCAAATAAATTAAAAAAAATAAACCAGGATTGGATATTTAACATTTAACAAAAACAATGAACCATTAAGTATAATTACATTCGTATAATTTTAGAAACATATCAAAATAAATATACATATTTTTGCATCATCTATTACTTTATGTACGTCTTAAAAAAATTATTAATATTGGTATAATTTAAAACAATTCATGGACTAAAGCTCAAACTCATGCCAATGCACGAGTCCAAAATCTAGTGTTTAATTTTATTTATTATTATTATTTTTTGTATATTTGCAGGTGCCCACAGTCGGCAACAGTAACCTAGTGTTTAATTAAATTCAAACCTAGCGGTTACCATCTTGCACCCAAAGCTTCCCTCTGTATTTCTTTTTTCAACTCTCTTTGTATTATTTGAATGCTCCCTTAACACTTGACTTGGCCAACCCTTTGACCCTGAAGATTTAAAGGTTAATACTTAAGAATTTTAATAACAATGGGCAAAGATGTCATAGCACACGACTTACCATATATATAATTGTTTTGCTATATTTCAATTTTCTACGTAAACCGCAAAGAAAGAAGAAGAAGAAATCACAAATACATGTTTTTCACTTTTGATTTTCGGTTAATGTGCTTCAGATTGCAAATATTCCATAATCGATGCATGTCATACTGTCTCAGTTGTTCCCTTTTTATTTATTTTGCCTCTTTCAAAATGATTGTTATCATTGTTATACCATTTCAATATAATCGGATTTTTTTTAATTTTTTTTTACTAAAAGCCAACAGAAATGTTCTGAAAAATAATTAAATTTTTCATACATTAATTATCCCCTCTCATATTGAAAGGAGGAAAAAAAAAAAAAACAGAGAAAGAAAAACAGTGTGCCTAATTAATGATTACGTAGTGGGTGCAGATCCATTTCTAAAGAATCTGAATGAATATTCACTATCCAAAAGTCAAAATGGTATTAGAGAGAATCGAGGCCCTGCACAGATAAGTTATGAAAGCGATCGAAATTGATAAATTTGATAATGCAGGTATCGTTTACTTAGACCATTCCCATCCCATACAGTCTGTCGTTTTACATCAAAGTTGTTACGACGATCCATCTACATTTAATATAACAATCACTAATTTTAAAGAAATTGCAGTAAACTTTTTTTTATCAAATTAATGATTGCATATGTGCCTAAAAATACTAGTATTATTTCTTTATATTCTTTGGTTGTTTTGGCCCTTCTGAGGGGTTTTTTTTTTTAATGAAACATATTAATTTTATAACGAATATTAGAATCAGCGAGCACTGAGATGAACGTATAAGATATAACTATCGCGTTAATTAGATCTATCCAGCTTCGATTTGTAATGAGCTAACTTTCAAAAGAAAAAATTTCTCTAGCTAACTGTTTCGCCGTGAAATTTGGTTGCTAGAAGGATGGTATGAGCTGTTTTTGACCTCTAATTCTCCACAAATTCTGATGACGGAAAATGGAGAACGCCATAAATTTAATCACGAAAGGTTCAAGTTGCAGCAGTAATTAAACTAATCAGCCAATACAAAGACGACCCTTCAGTGGATTAGCAGTCAAGTTGAATCGATAATCTGACAATCTGAATTAAATTATGCATAAGGCTTAGCTAGTAATGATCTAACATGATAGTGATTTATCGTGTTTATTTTAATTCCCAAATATTTAACGTAATTTGTCTGAGTTCAACGGACAAGCACGGATTGGGAATCTTATTGGCTTTGGAAGAAGAATCAAATTAAAGCTCCCAAACCAAACAAACAAATTTAGAAAGTCAAATTAAGGCTCTCTGATTCTGATGATTATGTGAAATCCGTCGCCGCTTTAATTGTCTTCTTTTGTTTTGTTGTTTGCAATAAAAATGTGTAGTAGGTGAACTGTCAATGACCGTGTTCATCTTCGTCAGCGTCAAACAAATATTAAGCGTTTTGGATTGGTCGGAGGATCGGGGAATATGAGCGTTAAGAGTGAAAAATATCGTAATTACGATATTTATGTTCAGATATCAATAATCAATGGTGGTAATTAGGGGGAGACAGAATACTACTTGATTTAATGATTTAAGGATACTAAGAAGCTTGAGATCCAGATGCCCTCTCCAATTGACCATTGATAAATTGTGGTGTTTCACATGGCTCATTCTGTTTATTTTCCTGATTCTTGATTATTAAAATGCATGATTCATTTTTAGCACAAGTTGCACTCTCAGTAGGAAAACAGAAAACTCATGTCTGAATCTTCTTGCCAATTAATTTTCCAGATTGAGATGGATCTGCAGGAAGTATGTAAGAGAAAAATAAAGAAAAAAAAAAGAAAAAAAACAGCTTTATTATTTGGTGGCTAACTTGAGATGTTCTTCATGTACATAAACCACAATGGTGTGTTCCAATACGTACTGCATGATTTTCTGTATTATGGGGTGCAGCAGTTTCATGGACAGAACACATACAGTGTATAGTCTATACAAGTTAGATTGAACATACTAATTAAGATAATTTGAGAACTCCTAGTTCCCATCCCTCGGCACTTCCACCAACCAATAACCGACTAAGTAGTCTCCAGATGACCTAGATTATCATGAGATTCTGGTAATTTCATTTGTCTTTCGAACTGAGTTGGAATCCAAGCAAGACAAGTCCAATGGAGGCAAAGCCAGACAAGAATGTAGACGAGTAGAATAGTACGAGCAGCGTCCCTCGCAATGACTTTGCAAAATAAAGAGGGAAGAAAAAGCAGATGGTGTTATGAACATCCACAGAAAGTAGAGACAAGTTACAGTCAAGTAAGAAATAGATTAGGCACCTTTGCTAGCAGTAAAGCATTGTCATTTGCATATTGCAATGAGCTCTCTGGTATACTTTGAAGGCCTTGACCTAATGCCAGTGAGAAAATTCTGCATTTGGATTTTGAATTGGGAGTGATTTCATTAAGAGCCATAGCAGGTTACAACAAGAAATATGACAGGCAAAAGATGGCAGAATTACCCAAACACAGCCCCAATACCAGCACCAATGTAGGCTTTGTCAGGGGTAAATTCAACCTGAAGCTCCCCAAACTGTGCAAGTATGACAAGGACCTTTAGATGCTCCTTGTAGAGAAAAGTTACTTGCATACTGTAACTGAAAAAAGAATTAAAAAAAAATACCTTGAACATCCTAGCTTCAACTTTTGGTTCTTCATCAGTAGTAGATTTAGCGACTGCGGTTGCAGATAAGAACTTACCAGCTCTAATCATCACTTTCGCAATCTATACTGATCAATATCCATCGTGCATTAGAACAAGGACGTAGAAGGAAAATGCACATATATTAAACTCCTTTGCCTGAGAAACTGATACGAGTTCTTTTATTTGTGCTCAAGTGGTGTTGCATTAAAGGCTGGACTAGCTACAGGCCTATTGCCACTCATGAAACAGGACAACTGACAATCAGAAGATCACATAATACAGCTTTCAGCTTAAGAAATCTGCTAATGGCAAATTCTGCAAAAGTATCTAAATCTCATCATCATGCCTGGCCATCACGGACCAAGTATTTTACTATGTTTTTTAAGCCTATAAGTTACAGTTAAAACTTTTGAGAACCTTATATAAGCAAGTGGTCAATCTCACAAAATTGCAGATAAACTAAAATATGAAAGGAAAGACAACAAATTTCAAAATTCATGCACATTTTGGACATTCAAAGATATAATTTTTCATACAGTATGCCGGACACAAGCCTGCAGTGCATATATCTGGAAACAACTAACCCACACCCTTGGAGTCACTAATGCCCTTGTTTCAACAGATTTTTGTAGTGAATATTTGACCAAATGGAAAAGAAGCTTTAACTAGGTAAACCATTAAAGTTTATTATCGAGAATGCAGATCACGTGATGTTATTTCCACCAACACATAAGCAGTCAATCATACAGCCAAAGCTATGTTGATGTGCATAAGTAGGCAGAAGTGTGAGTGAGATACCTTTGCAGGTTCACCACCTCCGTATGAACCCATGGATTGAAACCTTCTTCCAGCAGATATCAAGCGCTTACCCATTGCTAACTAGTATTAATTACAAAGATTAGCATAAGGAAATTTAACATTCTTTTATTTCACCACAGTGGAGATTGCAGATATTGGGAAATGAAGTCGATAAAAAAAAGCAACAGAGTAAGCTTCTTTGCTTGCCTGATTTATAATTATCACTCAATGTCTCCACTATGACTGGTAACTTCCTCACCAAACTTGCAGAAGTTGATGCATCCGCTTGCTCCCATGCTCGACTTATATTCAAAAGTACTTCCCCTAGCTCTTGACCACACTAGAAACAGAACAAAATAAATTAATTTCCAGAGGAGGTGTATTATGGAGAACACAAATTCCCAAGTACCCAATCAAATAACATGGAACAACAGAAAATGACATGTTCCCAGAGCAACAGTATCAAATGAAAGATGCTTTATGACGGAGTGCGAATATTTGATTTCAGCCACAGATTTCGACATATTAGAAGAGAAAAGAGAGGCAAAATGATGAAAACCCAGAAGAATGGAACGTTACGAACTAGCATCAGACCTCTTCTTTTATTATGGAGTTAATGATGAAACAAAAGACAATTTTCAACTCATATATGGTATACACATGTGAAACTCTAAAGAATTAAGAATCTAGATTGCAAATGTTATGTATTTTTAGACAAACTTTGAAAGATAAAAAATGTACTGCAACTGGTTGGCCAGGAATCCCCACTAATAAGGCAGCAAAGGGAAGTTCTTTAACCACATTGCACTGCCAAGATTCATTTTGTGTACTCAGCCGTAAGCATACAACGTGACAAGTACTTTAACAATGAAGACTTATCTGGGTACACCAATGTAGCAATGGAACACAAATGTAATTGAAGCATTTGCAAGGTACAGAAAATTATTACATTGCAATTTATAAAGATTGAAATGACTTTAATTAGTGGATGCATCCTCACCATATGAAAGACAGGCTGAAGATTTGCAATGCTACAAGTTCAAATTGAAAATTGATTGTGCACTAATCATTACCTCATCTTTAACTGGTCCATTAGAAAGATCAAAAGCAGCATCATTCAACTGTAAAATCATCAAACCTAGTGAGTCCAGAAACCATAAAATAAAATTTGTTTCACAAAAAATACATAACTAGAAAGATAAACACTTCAGAAACTACGTGGGATATTAGAAAGGGTCTATTCCATTCAGCTTACATCAAGTCGAAGATCACGGGGCAGCTTCGAGAAGTAATCAGCTGGAAGAACGAAGCTATCCTGCCAAGGAAACCAAATGTCAGTGTCACAGACATAAAACTTTACAAATTTTACTACTGGGATGCGAAAGGGCACTTACAGCGAGTTCTTGAAGAAGGGTTTTCGGGTCCGGGTCAAGTGATTTGGGAGAGTCGGATTCCGTCAGAGCAAAAGGTTTTCTTATTCTCAGTTTTGTTCCGAAGCAAGGAGGTCTGGGCAGGAAAAGGGATGGAATACAATGTGAATTTCTGAAGAAATGACGGTTTGGAGGAGGAGAAGATAGATTGGAGGGAGGTTGAAGAAGGGGAAGATGCGACAAGAATGCAGCAGTCATGGCGGGAGGACGCTGGATTTCGAGGCTCAGAGCCACAGAACTCACTTGATATTTTTGGTTTTGGCAAGTTTCGGAAAAAAAGAGTTGATCAAATAAAAATAAAAAAGATGACATAGAGCTTCAATATGGATAGAATTCTCCATTAGTTTTTGTCGATATTATCTTTTCTCTTGACATGTAGTAACTTTTAAGTGATATGTGGAAGAAGAACACATTTATGTACTTCTTCAAGATTTATATAAATATAAACCAGTCAGTTGGATTCTTCGTTTACAAACCACTTGGACACAAACATTTGTAGCTATAAATCCAGAAACGAGTTAATTGCTCCTGATTTTCTCTCCTCATCGAACTAACCTCTAATTTCTCTCCTTAATAAGCTGACCTTCGAGCAATATATACACCAGAACATATATCAGTAAGCACTAAGCAATCAATTTGTGAAGCTCATTCATACTTGAATACGAGTCAAATGACATGCTTGAACACAAGACCTTTCTCTCCATATCCTTTACTTTTTGGAGGTACAAGTTGTAGTAGTAGGGTACAAAATCTGGCATTGAAGAGCAAAGGGTGCACTCTTAGGTACATTGACAAGTATCTAAATCTACATTATAATGCACGTTATCGAGACCATATGATGCCTAATACAAATGAAAAAGTCAGCCTCCTCCCACGTATTTCACAGTATCATGTTCCAATCTTGGCTACTTTTCTCTGCTCAATTTGACCCGTCAATGGGCATTGCATCTCTGTCCAACTTATTGCAACCATTATTTCACCTACAAAATGCATGCCAAATGAACTAGTTAGTTAAAACGATGGCTGGTATTCTTTCCAACTTTCATAAAAATCTGTTCTTTAACTGATGCCCCGGGAAATCCTGGACACGACTATAGCAACAAGAGTTTTTTTTTTTAACCGAAAGGGAAGTCTTTACCTGCAGCACTTTCAGCTGATACTACTCCGAGCTCATTTTTGGCCGTGGATAGATAATATGCCCGTGCATCCCCAAGGGAAAGCTTAAGGAGGGTTATGGACAAAAAATTAATAAGTGAACTCTCTATCATAAGGGTAACCATATTTTACTATTACCAAACGTAATACAGGAAAAGCCTGTTCAAACAATTTCTCTAGAGATTACAACATTATAACTACTTTTCCAGAAAACAAAGTAGCTACACATCCACAGAATCTTACTGCACCAAAAAAGATTGAAGAGAGATACATGGAAAACCAAATAACATAACAGCAGGGAAAGAATAAAAAAGAAAAAGAAGAGGATGGATTAAAAATAAATGTCCAACGTATTAAGACCTTTCCTGTCAGAATATCTTATGTGAGTAATGATCGTCTGGGAAGAAAGAAATATACTCACAAACATTAAATCACTAGAACAAAAGCTTATAAAATATATAAGAACACAGACATGAAGGATACCACTACTGCTCTGACAATATCACCAGGGCGAAAGGACGCATGCATGTCAACCTTGTCAATCTCAGTTGCTCTTACATCTTGCTGCCTGCTCAACAATAAATTTTCAAAGACCATTCGAATTAGAGCACAAAAAAGACCACAAAAGAACTAGCAACTATTAACTAAAGGCAGCAAAGTAAACTGTAAAGCTTAGATGAATATAGATGTCAATTAGGAAAACATTAATACAAACATCTCTAAATGATTCTGATCATAGAAATGAGATACAAACTATCAAAACTAATAGTTGACAGAATTTATATTCGCAAGAATGATCACTTATTAAAAGGAGAACATTAGGACAAAAGGATACATGGAGTGCAAACTGCTCCTTAGAATCTCAATTATGGAAGTAGGCACCAGTCAACTTCCTCACACTTATATAGATGTCCAACTTATTCACAGAAGTGCTCAAGCACAAGAACATCCATGCGCACCCACACTTGAATCTTTGTGTACACGGAGAGAAAGAGAGAGGGAATTCCTTTCATACCTAATGGTGCCAGTAAATTTTTCTTTCACCGACTTGGGACCGACGCACATGATATCTACTGAAGCCAATTTAGCCATCACTTTAGTAACCTACAGCCAAAAAGAAAATTAATAAACAAAAATAAAAAACAAAACCATAAAACCATGGATGGGTTTGCACAGAAAGATCAGTTCATCTCTAAAAACACATAAAGGAAGAATCAGAAAGAATCCAATATTTGGGAAATTCCAGCTAATGGGAAATTCAATAATGTTCTTTCTTGTTTCTGAGTAATGTGTTCACTCGTCTATAATAACATTAACATTAATTTTGGGCCCCAAAAAACTTTGGAAAGGGCATTTTTCAAGGAACCAGAAATAAAGCATGATTCACGTTGCTAACAGCTAATATCACCAGACAAAGAGAAGGAAAGGTAAAAGACCAAAGCCCTTACCCTAGCAATAACCAAAGAACCAGGCTCAGGAACAGGACCATGAGCTTTGTGACCAGTAACTTCCACAATTGGTCTCTGATAATAATCAACAAGAAAATTACAAGTCATATTTTATCAAGAAGAGGCGAGAAAATGTAAATTTATGAGAAAAATACACAAAAATGTAGCAGTCAAACCCAATATAAACTTCAAGCAAGCAAATTTAAAGAACAATATAAAGGCCCTCAACTTGAAAGCGGCACGATTACAATTTCTAGCTTGCATTTCAGATTTTCAACAACCATAAAATACCTATAACACTATGTGATTGAAATTTATAATTAAAATACCTATATTTAATTAACTGAAGTTTATAAGCAAAGGAAGCTCAGGATGTGCGATTGTGTATTTAACATTGACAAGGAAAGAAATAGGAGATCAAGAGCAAGAAAGTTAGCCTCAGAAGCTCCAGCTTTTGTTAGTCTAAATTACTTTGACTATGTAAAACTGTTAACGCTTAGGGAACGCTCAGGGTCGAGTTCATTTGTTTGCTTTCATCTCCTATTTCAAAAACTAGATAAACCTACCACTGTTCTTTGTACTACTTTAGCAGGGGTTAAGTTTTGCCCCCTCATCAAAGTCCTAACCCAGTCCTTCTATAGGCCAAACAAAGCCCAAAATCTTTGGCCAACGTAGTGAAAGCAGTACAAAAACCTCCTCTTCCCTAATGTCACATTGTCCACCGCCCAATCAAACACCCGAATTTCAGAAAAATTGCAGAACTCTAATTCACCAAAAAAAAATACAGGTGATGCTAAAAAGGAAGTATAACAAATTACATCAACAGCTCAAAACTGCACGAAATTGGTACCAAAAAAAAAATAAAAGGCAGAAGCATTGTGCCAAACAGAAAAACATTCAATAGGAAGTCGCCAGAAAGGAAAAAGATGAAGTTGTTCCAACCTGGTCGGTGGAATCAATGGTAGCGGGAGTAACAGAGAGAAATCCGGTGAGGGAAGCATAGACGGTGCTATTCTCAGGAGAAGTATATGCCCCTCTTCCTGCTTTACACTCAGTTGTCCTTCCGATTGCTTCCCCCGGCGTCACCAACTCATTCTCCTTCTTCATCTCGCCGGATTTTTTTTTGTTCTTGAGAAAGATGTATTCCGGCTATAAACCCGTGCCGAGGGTTTATATATCCCTGTTTTTATTAATTTTTATGTTCTTAATAAACAAACTCTAATATGTACAGGGTGTAGGAGTAATTAGTTCTATTTATAATTAGTTACTAAATGATTATAATAATATTAAAAATTTATGACTCAGTAGTTAAATTTTTACGGAACCATTAAGTCAAAAACTCATCCAATCAAAAGTTGGGCGAAGAACATCTTGATAATTGAGTTGCCTATCGAAGAATGTTTTTAGTATTCACTCATTTCAGAAAAATAATTCACGTCGAGTTTTAATATTTGTATTGTTTTTTATTTTTTTTTAAGATATAGGGGATATTTTCTTATCATAAACAGTAAATGTATTTTAAATAATTAACTAAACCTTAGTATAATCATTTTGCGGACCAAATTCAATCTTCCCGATTGTTTATTCATATGTATAGACTAAAATTATTAGTGTGAACCTAGAAATAAATAAATCTATTTCTAATAATTTTTACATGTACTCCACATTTTTAATATTTTTTACCAATATTATTCATTAACAATAAAAATTAACCCCGTACATCGCACGGATCTAACATCTAGTAAATAAATAAATAAAAATGGGTGATGGTAACTAATCTTCCAGCTGCAGGAATGGAACCTTGGATTTCGAATTGATTACTCACATTTCATTGTGGATCCTCACTATATCAGTCTATCCCAACTCACAACCGATTTCATTCACAACGAGGGAGGATGCCTCATTGAATTGCCCTCAAATCAATAAAGAATAGATTTAAGTGTAATAAACAATAGATTTTCAATAAAATGCAATGTAGATTCAGAGTGCCATTAATTTGGTGATTATCATCAACAGAATTAACAAATGCTATTTCCTCACTTGTTTGATGCTGATGTCTGATCATTACGGTCAATTACATACACGCTTTCTTTCAGAACCTCAACAAATCGGACAGAATGGACAAAACTAATTCCGCTAGATTGCAGAAAACAATGGTCGGAAATAGCATACTTTCTAAATTCTCTAATACCTACTATTTGGGAACAAATTTTTTCCCCCCCTTTTTTTTTTGTTTTTTTACGACATTTAAATAATGTACTGGAATTGAAGAGACTCATCTCATCATCATCGTCATCAAGGGCAAATATCACTTCTGCCAGGGCCTCCATAGTAAAAATGAGTTCCCCATTCATTGTTGTTGGAGCTCTTGATGTTGTAACAATTGCTGTTCTCAGCAAGCGTTGTTATATCTTGGGCCGTGGTAAGGCTATTATCTGAGTCCACAATCTCAAGGTTCCTGAAATAGCTCGCTTTTCCAAACCCCTCGTCTGCGAAATGGCCCGAGCCCATTTGGGTTGTTGTGTGTTTACCGAAAACCCTTGAATTCACCACTTCTCCTCCCCATTCTACCATGGTAGCCCGGTCTGCTAAGTGTGTGAACAGCTCCGCGGGCCAGTAACCCACCAATGTGTTGTCTCCGAAGCTCATCCACCAATTCCCTAATTTTGGGTCCTGTAATTTTAATTCATTGTTTTTGGTGGGAAAGTGTTCATGTTAAGAAGCTAACAAAAACTCACAAAAGTATGAATATCAATGACCATGCGGTAAAATTTTGTAAAGAAATTAGAGATGAACCTTCCAAATGAGGATGGTGATATCATATTGATTGCCATTGGCAACGGAAATCGGAGAGATAGCAGCGCCAATAGCAATCCTGCTATTGGTCTGCACGAATCCCGAGCATAAGAGGTTGTAGCATCCGGTTGCTTGGTATGCATCGCTCTGTATTACAAACGGAATAAAAAATTGTTACTACTAGTTTCTAAAACCCTATGAAATTAGTATTAAGCGTCGGACAATTCATCCTCAAGCGTATCCCTAAAATGTGGCAGTGACACACTTAAAATAAGGCAATTAGTATCAATGTAGCAGAAAATGCGCTCAAGCTATCACTATCTTGGCGTTCAAATGCATATTTTTGGTACTCAATGAATGATGGCCTTTAGTAAGGCCCAAAATTGGTGGCACGAAGATTGGGGCATGTGTAAACTACATTACAACGTTGAAATCAAGAAGAGAAAAATCCAAAATTTAATTTGTTTGCTGGTTCCTGATTCCTATGTGGAACAGATTCCCCCAACATTTTTCACAGCCCACATGCTCAAATTAAATGACTGAGTTCTAAAAATCCCATATATATTAATTACAGTCCATATTAGTTGTCCTTAAATTCAATACACTGTCCATTTTTTTTTCCCCATCTTTATGGGTGTAGTATATATGGACCACAGCCCACAGGCAATAAATTCTGCTCAATGATTTTTTTTTACTCAGTTTCTCTGACTGTTCCTTCTTCTTCTAAATGATTGTTCCGATTTATTGTCCGGTTAGTAGTAGTAGTACAATAAAAAGAACTCGAAAAATATTTACTATTCCCTCCGTCCCAAAATTATTATCTACATTGAATTTTCATTTTTAGTACAAATTATACTAAAAGTGAGAATCCAAACTGGACAATAATTATGGAACAGAGGGAGTACAATTTATAGTTTTGTCATCAAACAAAAATGGAACTGAGTTTTTTTTCCTCCTAAAGAAAAGTGCGATTTTTCACTTTAATTTTTGTAGACTGATTATTATAAATAGTGATTTTTGTCTTCATAGTGACACATTTGATCCCCCAAGGCACGGCACCAAGTTACCAAGGCAATATAGTATTTTAAAGTACTAGTCAAAAACTTCTTGGATTTGAGTAATATATTTTTCATATTATATGCTTTCAGTTTCCATGATTCCTTCTCATGACTCGTACAGTGGACGAATTAATTAATTGATTCCTCTGAATTTCATTAAAACTGTCAAAATAAAAAGACTAGATTTCAGATTCAACCAAGTACTCACAGGCAATTACCCTTACCAAAGTTGACTTTGACTTAAGCTTTCATTTTACTAGTTTTTGGCAGTGAGAAGAATTTGACTTTTTTCTTTTTTTGATATATATATATATAGAGAGAGAGAATCATTTTGTGTGTTTGCGATTATGCATCTCATTTTCTCTCTTCAACTTACAACAAATATAATACTCCTTCTGTCTGTCCTAAAATGATTGTCAAGTTTGAACTTTTATTTTTAAATTGAAAATTCAAATTAAACAATAATTTCGAGACAGAGAAATATCTATTTTAGAACGTATTTACATTATGAGTGTAGCATCATTGATAACGGGAGTTCAATCTTTAAACAACATGCTTGAAGGGAAAAAAGAAACACGGAGAACCAAAGAAAGAGATGAAATGAGGAAAGACTGACCGTCCAGTAAGTGAATAATCGGGGCTTGAAGTCACCATAAAGCACCGGACTAACCTGACTAGTGGAAGGATCAAAGCTTCAGATATTCATCATCATCATCATCTAATTTTATTTATTTTTGTAAAGTAATACTCCTCTATAATAATTATTAATACAAAATTCATAATAATAATATTATTTAAGTATTTTGTAGTTTGTAGTAAAACTAAAATAAAATGAATGAAATATTGGAAGAAGAAGAATAGAAGGTGATCACCTGCCAGCCAGCTTCGATGCTATTGAGATCTGAGCCGTCAAAGGTTCCAGAAAGCACCCAAATCTGGGATAGGCTGAACTCGTCCACCACCCCTACCACCGGGTCCCACACATTTATCGTCGCTTTTGCTCCGTATATCTCTTGCGACGCTCCCGTATACGCTATCGCATGCTTCATTTTTATTTTATTTTTTTCATGCAGGAAAAACACAAAATTGCATTCAGTAACTGATATCTAATTGGATAATTATTTTAGAACGGATGAAATAATTTCTTAATATATGTCGTGATAATATGTTATAATGTAGTCAATTTGATTTCATTTTTGTGCGTATAATTATTTCATGATGAACAAGGGTAGAAGCTAAAAAACCAATAAGTTATTGGAGGCCAACAAGAGTTCCTTTTCTTACAAATGCTACTGAATGCTTTCGATTTACCTTAGATACTCATTAAACAGCTTGAAAGCACGATTTATGGCACCATAACCATATAGTATAATATTCTTTCTGCCAAAAGAATAGTTTCTAATTTATTGCTCTATTGAATCCTCTTCATTTTCATATTTTTAATTCAATGCTACAATGAGATCAGCTAGCTAGACCTATATATGTATACATTAATGTTTTTAGCTATTCCCTACAAATTTATAAAATGCCCGTTAACTTAAATGCGGGAAATTTTATGTAGAATTTCTTCTTCATTTTTTTTTGGTTGTTGAAATTAATAATTAATTCATCTCAAAAACATCACCAATGATCGAAATTTAAGGAACCACCATTGCTTCATCTCTCTCCCTCCTTCTTAGAACACTTTAAACTCAAGAAAGATAAAGTTGAACGGATGTAAAACCTTAAAAATAAAATAAAATAAAATAAAATTCCACGGTTTCAAAGTAAGAATATTGTAGAACCATGATATGTTTGCGAACTACACTTATTGAGGGATTAAAAATAAGATTGAAATAAATGTGTGTGAAAGTAAGTTACTATTAACATACCTCATGTCCATTGACACTAACAACATCAGGAGCATCCTTTTGTCTCTCAGTTGACATTCTAAGGCTGCGGGTTTTCTTCCCAAAATCATACAGGGATTTTGCTCTCAACACATCATTTGCAGTGCTTCGTCGAATCGGAATAGTTCCTTTAGGACATCTTTGCCCACTGTGGTGCCACATTTGCCATGCCCGACTTCTCAAATTATTATCGTTCTCACTATTGTTACTACTATTCACATTTTTCTCCGCATTCATCAATCCATCTACCTTCACCATGTTCTTCGCCTTTGGAAACTCCGGTAGAATTTTCTGCCAAACAAAAATTTGGAATAAATGAAAACCCTATTCATGGGAATCTCAAATTTATGATATATTAATTAGAGATTAAAGAAAATGGTAGATTTTCTATTTTTTTTAATTTTAAATTTAGGTACTAAAACAAGAATGAATAAAAGCTGTAGGTAGGTGGCAGTTGAAAACCAATTAATTATCACCCCATGAATGAACCATAAAAGAAAGCCATATATTATTGCGTTACGTTTCCTCAAAGAAAAGGCAACTTTCTTCTTTTTTGCTGTCGAGTAATCTAAGCTAGGTTAGATGCAAACGGAGATGATGATCACAGAGTGTGTGAGTGTGTGTGTGTGTGTTTTTTTTTTTGGATGTGGTGGAATATTACAAACCTGGATCTTGTGATTCTTCAAAAGAGGATGATCCAAAGCTGGCTGGTGTCTTTTATGAACACAATCAATGATATCTCCATCAGGGCTCTGCCAATAATATTGAAATGAAAACCCATTGAACATCAAGATTGAAACTTTGGAGCAAATCAAGCAAAAAACGTTGAAATAATAATAAACCTGAATGGTTAAGACAGCAGGCTTGTTGATCTTGTTCAAATGTCGATGAATCCTAGCCATTCTCAAGCTACTAACTTGTTTGACTGTAGTGAAGTTGGAGCTGGTTGAATCCGCAAGAGCATCTGGGCAGAAGAAGAACAACAGAAGAAGAAGAAGAAGAAGCGAAGAAAACTGATGATGATGATGATGATCTCTACCTTTCCCAACTAAAGAAGTCGCCATTTCATTCATTCAGTGCCAAAAAAAAACTACAAAACCATTTCACACACACTCACACACTAATATGTCGTAAGTACTTCTTCCTCTGGTGTTATAAACACCCCCCAAAAAACGGCCCCAACAAATGCAACTGCGGAAAATGACCCTTAACCCACGCCTCTCTTTGTTTCTCTCTCTCTCTCTCTCTCTGATTCAATGCAGACTCCAGCAGATCATAATAATAATAATAATAATAATAATAATAATAATAAGGGATAATTAACCAAACTGAAACAGCAAATAAAAGTTACAGCTCCAGGAACAGGATCAACATGATTGTTTTGTTTTCGTTTTCCTGGCTAGCTTGTAATAACTTAACACAATGGCAGAAGCGCCTTAAATTTTGTCACTATGTGAGTGTGTGTGAAAATATTGAAAGTTGACTCTCTGACGGCAAAAGAGAAAAAAAAAAAACCAAAAATGCAGCTGAAATTACTGAAGCTATGGAGAGGTAATGATGATGAGGGTGAAGGTGTTTATTTTGGGCAGACACCATGAAATGAAAGAGGGTTTAATAGGTAGCCCCAATAGAAGAAAGAGGAGAGAAGGGAGAATTGGATATATTGAAAGCCTTATTTAACATTCAAACCTACCCTTCTGCGTTAAATATAGATGCCAACTTGATTATCTGCATCTGTCACTCTGCCACCACACAAATCTTCGCCATTAATATTTACCTTTGCTTTCTCTCATCTCTCTTCCTCTTTTCTTGTTTCTTGTTTCTACTTTCTTGCGCTTCCCCCCAGTCTGTTCTCTATAATTATGCTCTCCCTTCATTTTTATTCTTTTTTCACTACTTTCCTTTCTACTTTTTTGGTACCTCATCTTCTATATGGTGGAACTTTTGATCCATTCTTTTTCTCTGGTACCAACACTTTTCAACTGGCTTTTTTTGGGCCTTCCTATCTTCCAAATGCTTGTTACAAATTAAGACAATGAATTTATAGGGTACAATTACTTAGTGAATCGTGTGAAACATACACATAGATAGACCCTTAGTTGAATCCCACGTTATAAGATATTTCCTAAACCACTTTGTCTAAAAAAAATTATTATCTAATTTAAATTTTCACGTTTAGTTCAATTTGTACTAAAAATAAAAATTCAAATTGGATAATAGTTTCGAGACAGAAGAAATATATCATTGAATCATATCTTTGGATATATAATATCATTTCTTGATAATTAAAATATACTGAAGTTGATTAACCAAGTAAACTGAAATTCGATAAATATAAATGAAGATATTTCTGATCATGACTGTAGCTTTGTTGACACTCAATACGATATTGGGGAGGGACATTACTTAATCATTTGGTTAGTTTTAATTTACATGCACAAAAATTTTTTTAAAAAAAAAACCAATTTCAAACTTTCAGTGTTGAAGTATTTCGGTTTACTTACCCATATGTCTCACGTTGGTTTATTTCACTTGATAAATTTCTCCAATGATTATTTTTTGATCTTCTGATGCACTGTGGGACTAAAATTTGGGAGATTTCAAAATTAGAGGGAGATAAGGTGATATTACTTAAAATATGAGGGACTAAAGCGCATTTTTCAAATTATGTAGGCATGAGTGAATTGGCTTTCAAGTGTAATTATTCTGTTAATTAAGACGTACCGCAAATACCCATCACGTGGAACTGTCTTTTTTTTTTTTTTTCTTTTCAGTTTCCAGTATATATAGAGAATTAACGTATGAATGTATATAAATTGTAACTATACTAAAGATAATACAAAAATTTGTGACTTTATCATGTAGTAGTAGTACTACTATAACTACTAGCTAGCAGTAGCACACTTTTATTATAGAATTAAACAGAGACCATCACGAAAATGAATGAAAAATCATATCACCTTGCACGTGATTATCAGTTGGGCTGCCAATGCTGAGTTTCAGTTTTAACTTAACTATCTACACACATCTTCCGTTCAAACAAGAATATAAGTATATATATTTTGTACATTGATTAAATTATGCAATTATAACTTGTAACTAAAATGGTGGATAATGAATAGTAGAATAGTAATTAACTATAAGAATAGTGATAGAGTCAGTGAAAAAATATAGTGAAATTTTATAGTGATTGATGTGGACATTAATTGAGGATAAAAAAATATACTCTATCCGTCTCATAATTATTGTCCAGTTTGAGTTTTCAATTTTAGTTCAAATTGTATTAAAAGTGAAATATCAAACTGGACAATAATTTTGAGACAGAAGGAGTAACTTTTTTGGGAGAAAAGAAAAATTTTCTACGGGAAAGTGGCTACAAAATAGGGAGATCATAAATATTATTTTAACTAAAAAAGTGGATACACCTCAGTCACTATAACTTCGCACTATATATTTTCACTATCCTTATCATTTTTCTATAAAGCCTCGATGAAATGCAAAAATACAGTTTGCAAGTTCCAGCCAATGGCAGCAGAAACTAGGAAGGAAGAAACTGTAAAAATTTTAATGAAGAATTATTTGGGTAGACAAATGACATAAAACTTACACCCTTAGATATTCTACCTATGAAAAGGAGTACCGTTCATGATGCACTTTCAGGATTGAGTTCGTGTCTGCAACATATCATTAGTTAAACTAAACCTGTCCAGTAATTGTTCACATTGCTTTTGAAATTCTTTGAACCTTTATTATTCCTTACTTCTAATTTGGTAAAATCATCTAGAAATAAGAAAATGGGGACACTCTCTAATCCCGAAAACTAATCCGTAATTTGTTAATTTTTTATTCTTTGTAGCCAATAAATTTTTCCCTCTACCCAAAATAATTATTCGATTTTTATTTTTAAACCCAAAATAAAAACTAAGATTGGATTTGGGATTGAAAGAGTAAAATAGCAAGGGGCCCTGAAAATGGATGATGCATTAAATGTGGTCAACCAACGAAAATGAACTGAAAACCACAAGACAACTCATGTGTTGGCTCAGTTCACTAATTCGTGTTTCATTTTCTTTGAATGGCCTCCTCTAGCTTCATTATGATTGATCAATCGGGTCTGCGTTTCGAAATCAAATTAAATCTCTTTACCAAAAAAAAAAAAATTGAACAACAAAAGTCTTAAACTAATTATACAATAATTTCAGAGAATAAATTATAATATCTCGCACCCCCTTTCAGTTGGCATAGTGGGGGCCTCCTTTAAGATAAATTTTCATATTCGTTTTCTTTTCTTTACCTGTAATTCACGTATATGACCGAACGTAAGGATGATGTTCATGTTTTTGGAGTTACGTTTTAGATTAATCCCAATTACTACTACTACTCGCAACCAATTCCGAAAATGATATCTCTACTGCTCAATCATTAAAACTACACATTAACATTGCATTAATAAAATAATAATAGTTGCTATAAGCATGAAAGTAATCACCATTGCGGGCTCACTCAGTTATAATCATAGCCTTCAAGCTGAACTCCAACATCCACGTTCTTCGAGAAAATCCTCACAATTTTAATGCCAAAGTCAAAACTATAAAACTCAATTGTTTGCAAAAATTTAGCACTTCCATTTTCCCCATCTAATTTATTTGATTCAAAGAGAAGGGAGGTGGAAAAATCCTCAATTTTTGCAGAAGTTTTGTTACAAATTCAAAGCAAGAAATGCCCCAAAATTTCAACGAGCATTAAGAGCAAAGGCGGAGAGGGGTTACGATTATCAGGATAAAAAAGGCCTACACTAGAAGCCCAGTCTTTGCAACATCTTATAAAAATATTTAAAGCCAATAAAACAATAAGTCATATTTCACTTGAAACTGTGGAGTATACAGTAGTGTCAAAATCAGTTCAAATATATATTCTGAAACACGTGCCTTTGTTGAAAAAATGAAATTATGAGAGCTGGAAAATTGGTCCATCTTCATTTACTGAAGCCAAGAGAAAAAACTAACATTTCTCTCACCACTTTTCAATATGGTAATTCTGTAAAGCCGTTTGGTGTTACTTCTAACTTTTACAACTAAAGAGCTTCTCCAATGTTTTTAAAAGCAAAATGTCATCATATAAACAGTTACAAAATGGAGAGCCCAATGACCATATAACGACGCCACTAGCATGGACATTATGTACTTCCCTCTAGCTACAAAAAAAGCCATTTACGTTTAAGGCTTGAGGTAAAGTGAGTTCATGTATGTAAAATTTGGTACATTATCACTCCTGTGTGTCAAGAGGACCAAATCACAAACCACTTGCCATGTCATCTTCACTGTTATCGCTGTCATCGCTGCATCAACATATCCACAAACAGAACTTGTAAGGAAAATTCAAAGGCAATCATCTAAATAGACAAAAGTAAATGAATATTTCACAAGAGAAATCTTATGCCCAACAATCAAGCAAACAAAGATTATGAAACCTTTCATGTGTTCATTTGGTTTCAGGCCAGCCCTAGATTTGGGATAGAATTATTAATAGACGATGGAGAACATTCTCCAATCGTATATGCTTAAATGCTTTAATCCTAATTTTAACAATAAGTGAGAAGGCTTTCCTTAGACATGTTCAGCCGGACGGAAAAGAATAAATTTTGGAATCAAATTGAGTTATACAATTTTCATATTCATAACTAATATATCAAGAAATAATATTTCACGAAATTGGTAATGACAATAAAAGGGAAAAAGCATTAGGTTTGAATATGGCCTCAACCATCTCCACATTCCATCCCAGACAAACATTTTGAGTGACGGTATAAATATATGCAGACAGATCAATCATGATCATGATACTGAACGAGAGGCAGATCCCAAACTTTAAAGAATGGTCTTCTAAAGAAATGCACAAACTTATATATATATATATATATATATATATTTCCCTTGAGATAATAATATTATATACATTATGACAAGCTTTTGCAACATATGTACTCGTATTACATATAGTTCAAGGATCAACATCATGTGGAATCCCCCACTCCAAAGTCATCAAATGCACAACATCATGTGGAATCCCCCACTACAACATCACCAAATGCACATATACACAGAAAAAGAGTAATAATGAAGTTTTAAATACTCGAAAAATAATTCAATTACCTGTATTCCGGGAGCTTCGATATTCGTCTAGCGTCCAAGCCAGTCATATATTTTTGGGCAGCTTGAACATTTTCCACACCTGGGAACAACAATAAAGCTGAAAAATCAGTGGGAACAACTACCATATGAACGAGGTAAGTTTTGTAGGAAAACGCTAGAAGTTATCAAAATATGCAACTGAACACTATTACCCTTTGCTAGCTGGAAGACGTGTAGAGCACATCGCTCTGCAGCCAGTCTTACAGGAGTGCTACCATCCCGCAAACACTCAGCCAGCACAGGACCGTATACTGAAACATGAAGCCCTAGCACAGTAGGATTAGCCTGCAATTCAAAATGAAACATCAGCTTTACTGAATGAAACAATTAGGCAAACTGCATAGAAGGTTATAGGGTCAGATACAAACTTTGGCTACAGCTTTCAAAGAAGACAAAGCCCGTCTCCGGACTTCACTCGAATCATCTTGCATCGCGAGTACGATAGATGATAGAGTTTCTGAATGTGCGCTACTGTTAGAAGGATCATTTTGGACTAGATGTAGCAGAAGCTTTCCCAATGCTCTAGTTGATGTTTCACGAACAGGGAACTAAATGGAAGTAGGAGATGAGATTATTACAAGATTACGTGTACTGCTAAGCAAAGTTCTCAAGGAAATCAAAGACGAGACACATCTTCTCATAAGAAGAAATAAAGAGATACCTTTTCATCTCTCAAGCTGCTTTTGAGACAATTTACAATCGCCGCAAACGAGGGAGACGTACACACTATGGTAGGATTATACTTGAGCATGGCAAATACCGTGAGAACTGATCCATGCCTTGTATACCAGTTAGGAGATGATGCTGAAGTTGGGAGTTCATTCAGAACTTCAGAAATTTGCTCTCCATCCAGATACTAAAAATTGAAGTTTAGTCAGTCACAAATGCCAAGATGAATGTGATCGCTTGACTCATTATGGCCAGCAGAAACAAATAGACAATACTACTGGGGTTAATCAGTGGAGTATTTGAGACAACCCAACCTGGGTAATCATGCCCAGAATGCCGGCAGAAGAAATGCGTATTTGATCGTCTTCATTGTAAAGAAACTCCTTTAGGAGCAAATAGATGCGAGTTCTAACAGAACTACCCACACTTTGGCCAGCATGCTTGATCACACCTTTCAAAGCTGTCAAGATAGCCTCGCGAACTCCAACATCTGCAGCCTGATCAATCATATTCCAACTGCTATAAATCAAAGAGCTTCAAAATGAATCAGTAAGAACCAAAAATCATGACTATGATTACCTGCAATCCAGACAAGAGGTCGCTAACTAAGGGATCAACCCTGGTGCTGAGCGCACTCAACTTCCCAAGAGCAAGGGCTGCACTCGTACGGACAGTCCTGTGTTTGTAGACAAGCATCATCGGAAACAGACGAGTCACTAATGCTGTAAACAGGTCTATAAACACGCTTTACAAATGCACCATGTTAACCCAAAAAAAGAACCGACATCGAGATTTGCTAACCTTGTATTATCCTGCAGACATTTTATAAAAGTTGTCTGAAGCTGGGGAAGAAAAGGTTTTAATGACATCCCACCTTTTCTTATGATGATGGTAAGGGTTGAGAGAATTGCACTCTTCACTTGCCAAGGGAATCTGTCTCCTATTATACGAATGAGAGGCCTGCATCCAAAAACAAATGAAGATTAAAATATGTACCATATATAACTGAATAATTGAATGAAAGAATCTTAAGGAAGAGGCAAACTATCAGATATAAGACCACTGAAATGCGGATCAAAAAGAAGAAAACAAATATTCACAGAAACACTATCAATAATCCATATTCTGAAAGTTCTGTTTTTAGGACTTTAAAATACTGTGGGGCATTATAAGATGATAAATTGGCAATGAAGTATCTGCAACTTTCTAGGTATTCTACTAATACTCCTACTGGAAATTTATGAGAGGCAGCGAGACAAAGGAGATAACAGAAAGTTTTTCCATGAATTCGAACAGAAATCCATGTCAAAACTGCCACAGTTATGAACGATTACTGTGAGACTCATTAGAAGATGAATTGCAGCTCAGTGCATAAGAAATGCACAGAAATGCCAAAATGAAAATGAAGCAGAATTTTTCCCTAAAAATTCAGAACTCATGATACATACCCTGTGATTGGGATCACAAATGCCTTCAGCGCTTGTTCACTTGTTACCTCAATCAATTCCCCAAGACCCAAGGCAGCTTGTTCTCGTAATTCAGCTGATCCACTTATAAGACCCTAGAGATATTTTAGAACAATCACCCAATCAGCCAACTTCTCAAGTCTTTGAAGGGAAGGTTATGCAAGACAGAAAAATGCTGCATCTGAATTCATAATTTGTCAAGTATGTATGGTTGTGGAACAATTTTCTCTATTACATCAGATGCTCATATCTAAATGTTATAATTTTTAAAGGCTGAAGCTGGATAATCATATTTCTGATTCAACTTAATTCCAACATTTGTCAACTATCATCAGATAATATTTGAGCATTTGCTTAAGAAAAAAGGAAAAAGAAAATCATCATGAAGGATTGAAGATGTAGAACCATGTCTTGAAATGTAGCTTACTAATAGTACAATAAAGAAACAAGACGAAGGAGCACCTGAAGATACACTGGAAGCAACGGTTGAAGAGCTTTGGGCAGGCAAAGTCCAGGTATAACGACCGAACTCACCTGCATTAACAAAAAAATTAGAATGGCCATCAAGATTTGCTATACTGCCTTTGAATATGAAATGCTGAAACAGTTGACAATTGAATTGAATAACGAGGATACGATTGAGCACTAATTGGTCAACTCATCGCGCTCATAACCAGCTAGGGTGGAAGACTATATGCAGGGATGATAGGAATTCAATATTGCATTCACTGGCGAAACCCAACAATAAGAGAATCGAAACTGGAGTTTCCAATACCCAATAAGCACGTGGCCATGGTTATCATATCTAACCTCTGTGGAAAAAGCATGAATTAAAGGAAACATTGCTCTAAATCCAATGTGGTTTCTTTACATTTGTGTATCTAAACAGAACTTTATTGCTTTGAGGTCATATTATAAGTCCAGATTACACATTATCGAGGTCTGGCTCATATGTGCGAGTGTCCTTTCAACCCGGAGTGGTTTTGCCCTTAGACTCCCTCCTTGTGCACTTTTCTTTCGTCACTTTTCTTTCGTTATTACTGAAACAGGGCAAATCGTCCCTCCGGGATACCGTCCCGTTCCCCCCCCAAGTCAATGTGCGTCCCAACAGATTTCTACAAGTGTACATGCATTTGATAATACTCACTAAAGGACCAAAAATCAGTTAAAGTTGGGAATCATCACAGACATTAAGAACTCATGAAAATGTTTTAACAATGAGATTAGGTTTGAATGGAAAAAATTGTTGTTGCAAAATTTCCTCATTATCGGCAACATTTTAACATTGTAAGACATCTCAAAATAAGATTCCGACAATAGGACAAAATTAAATTCTTTACCTTTTTCTTTCTTCGTTCTTTATCCCTAGAGGTAGATACAGCATCACGAACTAATTTTATATGGGATGGAAGAACCTCTTTAGGAATGGCAACCATAACTCTTGACAATGCTTCCCAAGCATCCTGTCAAATTAATGGTTAGATAAGGCAAGACTTTAAGATTTAAAAAAGAACAATGCAGAGTTGCCATAAAATCTACCGCAACAGTTTGTGAATCAGGGTCACTAAGCAAAACAATGAGAGTCGATATCATGTTGGGAGCTTCATCAACCAGATACAGTTTGCTATTTTTAAATAAGTAGCCAATAAGATAGCATGAACTTCGCCGAATTGAAGCCTGCGAAAAGAGAAAAAAGTTAACAACAATAAAAGGCTATCTTCCAAGGTTGCAGTCAAGTAAATCAAATATATTAGAAAACATGCCTGGCCATCACCAGTTCCTTTAAGGAGCTCCGACATTAAAGATTCAATGCCTTCCTCATCAATGACCAATACCACAGTTTCAGCAGCTTTCTTTGCCAAGTCTTGAACATCCTGAAGTAGGAATTTGGAGAAAACAGAGAGTAAAAAGCCACCAATGATTAATGATGGCATAGTAAAAGAAAGAGACTAGCTACAGAAGTATTTGCATTAAGTAACCACAAACACTTCATGTATTGTATATTATATAGTCATACCTCATCCCCCTCACCCATGGCAGCAAGTAAAGCAGGAAGAATGGTACTCAAGTGAAAGTTAAGACCAGGACCTGCAACCTCTGCTAAAGCTCCTAATGCATGTGCATTGAAGGCACTGGAGTAATTCAAAAGGTATTAGGATAACTGAAGAGGGATTTAATGCAGCAGATCAAATAAAAAGAAGGAAAAAGAAAGCAGGACTAGAAACACCTACGTAAGTGGCGGATTGACAAGCTTGGGAAGTATATGAGGAAGAACAGCAGTGGTTCTAACGCTGCACGGAACAGGTAAACTTTAGTATAATAGACAAAAAAAGCATTACACTGATGTGTTTCTTTAGGAAGAGGGGGGGGCTCACAATCACAAAAAAAAAAAAAAAAACCTCAATATTTGTTTTAAGCCATCAAGAGCAGTGTCAGAGGTTTCATCATCTTCAAGAGCATGGAGCAGAGTGGGAACAATCTCATCAATAGCTTGCATTCCAGCACTCTACAAGCGACGTGTAAACAAGCTTTGATTTCTAAAGGTATTGTGCTATGTAAAATGTACCAGAACAATAACGCAGAAAGGGTACCTTGTAAAGAGTGCTAAAAGCCAAACCGGCAGACTCCCGAACTTCGGCCATACTGTTCACAAGGTAAAATGGACTCAAAAACAAGATCTAAATAAAAGAAACAATCCACCAGGTTAGTTAATAGCATGCAAATCCACTACCTGTCGCAAAGAGCTTTCCGAATAGTTGGGATAAGTTCATCCATGAAATTCAAGAGCTGACTCTTGCCAGCACTGGCCATCACTTCACTCAAACCAATGCATACACCCTAATAAAAAAGGTATCCATAATTAAAAAACATTTACAGAAGTTCATAATTAATTATGCCACAGGAAATGAGTGCAACAATGGAAAGAAATGCTAATCAAGCATTAAAATCTAATCCCTCAAATTATGAATCAGACATACAAAACTTGTCTAAACTATCATCATGTCATGATATCGTTGTTTCATGAGAGATTAACAAAAAATTTGAGAAAATTCTACAATTAAACACACTTATATCAAGTGAGGGTCATAAATGCAGGAACTGCATTATTCTTTGCATATCATTCTCTAGCCATCAGTAAATTATCCGCAATATCTATACTGAATAACAATCATGTAATAAAGTACTGTTCCGTCTCTTGTTCATCTAAGAAGAAGGCTTAATAGAAACAATATAAAACATGAGCAAGCAGTCTTCATTCCTCAGAATGCCTATTCATATCTTAAAATCGACAGAAATTTGAAGCAGCTATAAGAACAATGAGCAAGTTTGGTAGTATATTAGCATAACTGAAAGAATACATGAAAAGGGAACAAAAAAGACTAAAAAGCAGGATATCCAAGGAAAGACAAAATAACAATGAGAAATAGCAACGAGACATTTTTGAAACAGGGGTCTAAAAGACTCACCTGTCTCCTACTAGGATCTTGGTCATTTAGCCCCTGGGATAAAATAGGGATAATCAGAGGAAGTACTCTTTCTCCAAGCTTCCTAACAAGCTCCCCCAATGAGCGCCCAGCAACCTAAAGTTGCAAAAAGAAAAAGAAAAAAGCACTTGTTACCTTCCAAAATTTAGGATATAAAATACTAACGGCAATAAAGTTACTAATAGAAAAACTGGGGACCTGTCGCCTCTCAGAGGATGACGATGCAAGAGAACTGATTAAAGTATTCATCAAAACAGGCATGATTTCCTTGAGAGTTTTTGGAGTATTTGCAACAATAGTCTTCCACACATGCAATGCAGCCTGAAAATTAGAGTTTCAAAGCATAAACATACTATGTCTGCACGATCTATAATAAGCCAGATATGAAAAGCATTTGGCAATTGATAGTCAAAAACCCTTACCTGACGCACTGTGAGGCTGACATCAGTTCGAACCATGTAAAGGGCAGCAAGAACTTCATTACGTTTATCCCTCCCAAGCACCTCAATAATAGCCCTCCCATGAGCTTCAGTACTAGCACCTTCATCATCACTACCTCCCTCAAGGAGTGCTTTTCCAGAAGTTCCAGCAACCTGCATGACAGCGAGACAACAAAAAGAATCTAAGCAATCCATCACACAGAAGGCAAAGAGATTTAAGAGCGAGAGTGTACCTTAAACAAGAGATCACCCAGCAATTCAACAGAACTTTGCCTAATTCGCCAACTATCATTGAATATGCCATCTTCTACAGCAGGAAGTAGCAGCGGCAAAGACCTGGAATCATTAACAACATATATAAAGATTTGTGAACAACATAATGAACCAGGTAACTTAAAGATTTGTGACGAGATATGTATATAAAGCCAAACTCAAACAAAAAGTGTTCGAAAATAGGAGCAAGCTTTATATGAAAATTTAAAATTCCTATCCCATAATATTGTGAGAATTTGGAAGAGGTGTCATGAAATCTATAATGGCACACCATGCAATAATTTGGCGATAATCTGAATTCATTTTTCATAGGAGAACCAATTCAAGGAATGTCTAGCAACAGCACCCATGCAGAAGATTAAGAAGCGGAGGCACACAAAAAAAGAGAAAAGGGAAAAAAGAGGAGGGTAGAAATATTATTAGGGTTTTGTACATGGGAAGTGAACTTCGAGATAATTTGAATAAATTTTGCATAGGTGAACCAGTTCAAGGAATGTCTATCAACACCACCCATGCAGAAGATTAAGAAGCGGAGACACACGAAAAAAGAGTAAGAGCCCACTTACGTTGTTGCATAGTGCTCCACCAAAACGTGCCCAGCACTTAATGCGGCATCACGAACAGATTCATTCTCATCAGCAAGTCCTGCAACGCAATAAAATAAGAAAAGCCCAACAATATGTAGAAGACAATATCCTAAAGGGAACACGTAACAAAGGCTGCTCTTGCAGAATCCTTACCATCTAAAATGGCGGGTAAAACCTGTTGCAGGTAGTTCTGGAACTGAACACCTAAGGAACGTGGCAGGTACTGCAAGAAAGAATTCATCAAAGAATAGCCACAACGGGAACATATTTCCAATGTGAATAGCAATGCTAGGACGCCATAAAGGATGTTTGCAGTTTGCTCAAGAAATTGATGCTTACCCTAAAAAGTGTCAAGTAACCATCTCGAACCGATGCCTTTTGATGAGAGCAATTACGAATAATATCAGGAAGCAATCTCTCAAAGTACTCTGTCCCAAGTGCAGCTAACACCTGAGTTGAAATATTGGAAAAATAGAACACCAGAAACAAGTTAGACAAGAGTTTTGTCATACCAGACTGAGAAGCACACAAAATCACATTCAATTAGAGGAAACTCTACTGAAAAATTAATTATCAAATAGCGATCAAAAGAGCCAGGCTCATCTAGAAGGAAGAATTAACCCACTCGTCCATACCCGTGATAACATATTGACCCTAGTTCCAACTAGATAAATGCAGAAAGTGCTTTTGAATGGAAAAAATTGTCACGGACTGCCTCATGTTATTTACTGTGAACCTCCTGCTACTCCAATATACAAAGTATGCTTACCGTAAAGGAAAATTTTCAATCAAAACTCTGCAACAGTAATTGTGTCCCGTTTTATTATCACAGTGTTCTGGGATAAAGATGAATCTCTTTTTCATATGTTTATATTACTGAAAGAACTATGAAGTACTTTTTCCTCCTAATGCTTGGGACTCAAAGAATAGTCAAAGAAATCTTCAACAAAGATCGGAAACTAATCTTCAAAAGATACAAAAGAGAAAGCAAGAAAGACAAAGTTGAAGAAATAATGATAATAGTACCTCACTCAGCCCTTGAGCAGCTCCAGAGCGTTCAACATTGCTACCTTCCGACTTCAGGGTGTCCAACAACCAAGAAACAAGATCAGGGAAATTCTCTTCTCCCATACCCCTGATTAGAGAACCAAGTGCTCGGGCAGCAACTGTCCGAACCTCTGGATGTGGATCTACGAGAACCTGTTTCACTTGGAACAGGTTACACACCCAAATGCTGACAATTTCTCAACATTAGTTTAGCCACCAGAAAATTAATACCTTTTTAACTTCAGGAAGAAGCAGTCCAATATAGGGGATCATATCCTTCGGCTCTGTAACAAGCGAGCACATATTACCCACTATTTGGGCAGCCTTCTTCTTAGTTTCAGCACTCCTTTCTCTTAGCCCTCTATGTACAATTGGCACCAACAAGGCAAGTGAAGGAGCATCTATGGAATTAATGAAAGTTGTCTGCAAAAGATGACAAAAACTTAGATCTGACATACAACCGACATCATGGAAAGCAAAACAATTCTATGAATGTAGAATGATCTTCACCTGGAGCAGTATGTCAAGGGAGTATCTTGTATATTCGTTAGGATCTGCGAGCCCATTAAGCAGAGTCGGAACAAGAGCTGATATTTCAGGATTCTTTATCACACTTCCAACCTGAATAAACTCGAAGAAAGTGTGACTATGACAATCAAATTTCTACAACTATTTTCTCCAATGTGTTTATCATGTCAAAAGAGCATGACAAGAACTACTACCTGTTGAAGGGCTGTCTGCCCAGCTGTTTGAACCTTTGGATGAGTGTCTGTTAAAACCTGTAAAAGGACACCCAATGTAAGGAAGAACTAAATTATCCGGAAAATTAATTGCTTTCACAATACCAGAGATCATGAATCCATTTGGGGACATAACAAACCTCTGTTAACTTAGGCACAATCTTAGGGAGACACTGGGACAGTTGTTGTGGAGCACAGTAAGCCATTGCCCCAAGCAGTTGCACACTGCTTTGCTTTGTCCGCCAAGCTTTATCTTCAAGACCCTGACATAGAAATACAACAGCCAAACACATGTGATTGTTGGAACAGTATATGGTAATCAAATTTGTATCCCACTACAAGAGAAAACTGCAATAACAAGTTCCACTCTGTTTATTTATCACAGCCGCAATAATTTCAAAAAATTTTATTCATTTTGATGCGACCATAACACTTCAACGAAGATGCCCAACATTATTGTTGGATATGTCGCATCAGATACTGTTCAAATTGACTTTTGAAAATATTAACCAAACCCTTGTGCACAAAGCAGAGCATTTTAAATCAAGTTAGAGAAAGACACCTATACATGCATATTACCAGGCAGGGATAGGTATTCTTGAACATAGTTTTCTGAGAATAACACATGCAGAACTGATTAATCTGTTGGACCTAATATAGTAAAGAAAGGAAGATGAAATGAACCAGCCATTCCAAATCCATCAAAGAATTCACCCCACTCACATAAGCAAACATGCATGAGGCACCTGATCGCATATTAAAGTTTTTAACAATATTTTGAATAGCAAATAACTTCTTCCTGTAGCCCACAATGCAGGGTTCAGCTGTGTAGATCATATGTCACCATAATGTGGTACTACAAAGTCATTTTTATTTTATTTTATTTTAAAAGTATCATATCAATTTGTGCAGTTCTTCTTTAATAATTCAGGTCTTTCTCCATTCCCTTTCAGTTTTTGTTTTAGTGGAAAATTTTCTATTTCCGACACACAGCACTGCTGCATGTAACGGTCTCTTGATTCAAATTAAAACTTAAAAGGAACCAAACCCTCTTGCACTAAGAAGAGCATTCAGATTTTAACCTAGAGAAAGACACCTCCATCACAAACCCAAACCTCACACCACCAGGTAATATATATCCTAATTCAATTTGGCATATAATTGCAGGTAACAGCAACACTCTTTTTCTTCAATTTTTATAAAATAGAACATGCCCCCATATATTTGACAAAAATTAACTTTGCCACAGCATGGCCAAAACTCAAAAGTAAACATGGACAACTCTTAACAGTTCTAGTCACTTGGATCAAGTGGAATCAGGGTAATAAATCCCCAAACGAAACCTTTAAAAGAGATGGCAGAATAAGTTTCACTCCATGAACAGTCAGCTGGGACATCATTGCACGAGCAGCACACTCGGCAGCTTCACGAACAGCCATAACTTGATCAGAGAAAGAAACTAAAAGCAACGGCAACATTTGAATTACATACCTGGTCAAAAGAAACCAGCGTTATCTCTCTCTAAAGAAGAAAGTTTTGACAGTCTCATTCTCAATGAATGCGACAAATACGACATTCAGGGTAGAGTAATTTCGGATCACTGGAAATAAGCATGATTAGAAAAACTTAAAAGTGGAAACCATTGCATACTCACGGTTCAAACAACTTTCCCAGCTTGTCACAAAGACACTCGAATGCTAGTAACGCTCCTTCACGGCTTTTGGCAGAGTTCCTAAGTTTGGACATTCAACAGTTAACTTCAATCCAGTTTGTAGACCAAGGAGAAAAAGTTCACAATCCATGCAAAGGTAGGACCAGTGGAGTTCACTCAGATTCATAAAATTAGTAATGAAAAAAAAATTTGCTCAACAAAGTTTTACAAATCATGAGTACAGAAGCAGAAAAAATATAGCGAGTAAGAAATATTAGACAGTTCCATTGACCTGTCACTCTTGAAATCTTAAAAAACATAGCATTCGTAACCCTAGCATAAACTTATATTGGGGGTGGGGATTCAAAAAACCCAAACTAACAACAGTAGCATCAGTAGCAAAAATGTTTTATCCAAGTTACTTTTCAATGTAGAACGGATATCAGCAAAGCAGCATTAAAAACCGAAATGAGTACAGAAGTACTATTTTATCAGACCTGTCTGCAAGACCTTCTCTTAAGACTGTTGCAATGCCATACTTCTTAAGACATGATATCCCAAAACCCTTTACAACACCGGCTAATCCAAATGCTGCTCCACGGCGCTCCCCATATTTGTCACTCTTCATCAGCTGATTTAAAAGACTAGATACAAGAGCTGGTGCATCTTCCTGATTGATAAAAGTCGAGGACACCAAGAAAGCAGAACTAAATGTTAAATTAACAAAATCTAAAAGTGGCATAGGATTCAAGTATTTCAAAACAAAGTAGACAACAGTTCTTCGAACTTTCAAAGATGCACAGACAAACAAAAAAAATAATAAAAAATAAAAAATACAAAGAATCAGTTTGCAGCAACGACAAACCAATACTTCACATTTCACAAACTCAGGATGAATTGACACATAGTACTATCAAAACTAATGGAATTCCTTAGACAACTGAAAAGGTACTCCATGGTCAATTAGAAGCACAAACATGCCTCTCATATGATTTGCAGCAAAATCATACTCAAGATAGTTTTGAAAGACAACCTGCTTTGATTGCATTAGTGGAGAAAGGCATGTTGAGACGGCCCGTTGAACGGCTTCGGAAGGAGTGTTGAGAACATCCAACAACTTATCTATAACAGCATGCACCTTAGGATCATTCTGTACCAGAAAAGAAATGCATCACAAAAACTAATAATAAAAGTATCAAATCACTTTAGTCGAATGCAAAAGAAAAAAAGACCAGGAACCTTTTCCAAATGCTTTGCTAAAGCTCCAGTAAATATCACTACTCCCTCACGGACCAAATCATATCTTTCCTCATCTGATGCCTGAAGAAGCAAAAGAACCACATGAAATCATGTATCACAGAAGCTTATATTCTTCCACACTAAAGAAGAACCAAGTAAAAATATAGCAGGAAACATTTGTGCACATTTTCATTGAATTAGTACGAAAGTTTATAATTTTAATAAAACGGAAGGTGCCAAATTGGAACATAGTACTCTTAACAAAAAAATCTATTTACCAACCTTTTTATTTAAGTAATTCTCAAAAATGGGAAATAGCAAAGCCACATTATCTCTTCCATGCCTATCGATAATCATGATACCCGCATTGATCATCCTTCCCCGAACATCTGCATTACTGTCACCCTGCAGTCATTAGCACCCCAAATTGGTTATCTGAACATTGAAACACCACCAAACAGCTTATTGCTGAGTGTAACGAAAAGATCTTTTTTCATACATATTTAATAAAATATAATGAAATGACTAGGGGGTAAGTGGGGAACCACTATTGATCCCTTTTTTAAAAAAAAAAAAAAATTATAATGAAATGACTAGAGTTACATGTAGCTTCAGCTTCCATTGTAACCAAAGAAACAAAGTGCATGAAATCAATATAGTCCCTATAAAACAAATGACATCACAATGTCTATGAAGAATAAAGGAGTCGCCAAATACCAGTGCTCGCGATATCAAGAATGTCATAACAACCGGAAGATCTTTAGTCCGAAGAACATCTGCTGCAGCGTGTAATGCCAACGCAATTCCTTGTCTTCCCAGCCAGCCACCATCAATGCCTTCGCCGATACCAACCTCGCGGATGTATAAAGAAAATAGAGTTGAAAGAGATTCCTGCAACAAATACATATTTGTAAGACAATTCCTTTATAAATGTACGACAGGTGAACAGAAAATTCAGAAGACCTGTATGGTATCAGGTTTTTCATCCAAAGCCGCAGCAAGTGCTTCAGCAGCAGCCACTCTAACATTGTAGTTAACATGAGAAAGAGCTCTAAAAAGCCCAGAATAATCAGTTCCAAAGTCTTTTCCATAATTATCCCACAAGCCTTCAGCAGCTTCAGCAACCGCCTGAACAGAAAAGGTTTTAAATTTGCCGTATCGGGATTAACAGAAGGCAGCTGACGAGGAACAAAGACCAAAGACCAGCATATGGTTAAGATACCATGCAATAGGAAAATAGAAGCACATGCACATGCCATGTGAAACTTCAACCAATCACCCAACAAGATGATTTCAACTAGAAAGGTACATCAACCTAATTTGACGCTACACGCAACTAACGTGAAGAGCATAAATGCATCCATGAATAAAACAAGACTTCTCATTTCCACTGTCTTAATCTAAAGTACAATCAACCGGACCGTTGCAGCAGAATCCAAAGGAGCCAAAATATAAGAGCACCGTAAAGCAAGATTGCCAAGCAGAACCATAATCATATCTTATGCTGTACTAACTAGATACACTAGCATTTGCAGGAACCGTACTAAATCTTTTATATGTATACAGCGGGCAAGATGATTGATGACAAGACAGACACATAAGAGCATGACACCAACAACAAGAATTAAGGCTATTTATAGTTGGCCTTATGATTTATGAATGATATCTAACCATCTCGTTCTTTCAAGATAAACATTGTTGTTAGTAGGTTCTGCCTTCTTCGGAATCCTACTTCACCTTAAATTTTAAGTTAATCGATTCTCTATCTTCTACAAGCTGCACCGCTGCTCCATTAGGCCCCATATGCAAGTACCCAAAACCCCCTTAAGTGTGCTTATCTCATTTCATAATCTATCTGTGATTAACTTGCTTTCCTTCTCATGCACTACATTCTATGACACTATCATAACAAAGGTTATACCCTGCCAAACTAAAAAATAAAAACTGACAAAACAGAAATACATCTATCCAAAAAAGAACATAAAAATGATCGCATCTGACAAAAAAAGAATGAAATCAAACCAATTTTAAATGAGCTGATCATTCAATGTTATCGAAGGTCTGCCGAGAAAAGCAAAAAAATTCATTCCAGAAAAAAAAAAAAAAACCTCATTGACCTAAAATGACTTAGTAAGTGACTTAAACAACTCATAACGGTACCTATAGGAAGTTTAAAAAAAGCACATAAAAAAGTAAAACACGTAATGATGCTTCACCTTTTCAGGATCATGTAAAGCAAGCCAGACTCTTGTAGCAACCTCAACACTTTCAGGAATAGAACAGTTAGATACAGCAGGAATGCATTTGACAGCATTTAAGCAAGCCAATCTCACATGAACTTCCTTAGAATAGATTCCATTAAGGGCCTGCGAAAATTGTGCAATTAAAAGTCAAGGACGCAGGACCAAAAGAACTCCAAAGTGACAGTAGATGAACCACAGAACATACAGAGGCAACTTCATGTGGTTGCAGACCAAGACACAGCTCATTCAATGCAGGCCCAATAGAAGCTTGATAAGAAGGAACGACGCCAAGGACATGGAAAAGGACCTGTAAAGCAGAAGGTGAACAATGCAGGTCATTCACAAGATACAAGGAGAAAGATAGAGAGAGACCAGGTGGAGAGGGGATATGACAATGGAAGGCATAAGTTACATACTGATAACATTTGAACCCTAGGCAGGGGTAAAATGGGATCCAAATGCAGATATAGGATCTGGAGAATATCATCATGCAGCCCAGTTTTCTTAGGAGATAGTAATATCTTCTCCATTATCTGCATCGAAGTAACAAATTTATCTCCGTTAAGGGAAAGGAGCAGTCCTTGAGAAAAACAGAATACCAAAAATCAAAGATCAAAAAGGTTACCGGGAAGACAAAATTAAAAGTATCAACTGGAAGAGGTCCAGTTTTACAGGAAATGGATAAGCCATTTGTAGCTCTTTCAAAAAGACTCAAGGATAGCCTTTCATTGATCTCCCCTTCACCAGCAGGAATTAAATCCCAAACTACGCTAACCTCTTCAGTTGCAATTACACGCAATGCAGTGGCAATTTCAAGTGACCAGTTACACAAGGGAGGAGCAGAGCATTTTGAAAGTTGCACCATTGTCCCATAGGCCACATCACCTACTATCGGCGACTGGAGTAATGGATTAACAAACTTGGCCTAAAACAGCACCCAAAAAAATACAAAATCAAACAATGAGAAACTAAGACAAGAGAGAGAGCGAGGAGAGAGCATCATTTAATGGACAGAAAGTAATAAAGTTCACCTAAAGCGAAAATTTACATCACTTAGCAGGAGACCAAGCATTGAAGAAATTTTAAATTAGAACAGAAGTATAGACACAGAGTGCTAAGCACTTATCGTTATCCATAAGGTCGGGTATATGATGGACAATCAATTGGTATGCACGTCAAACATATATGAGGACAAGGAACTATTCAAACCAAAATGGCAGGGTAGTGGCTTGCGACAGACAATAGAACGAATCTTTTACTGAAGATAACAACCCAAAGCAAACAGGACACCATAAACAGAAGAATTGAAATCTCCAAGAATGTCCAAACAAGCTGGGGAGGAAATAGTGAAAAACAAATAGACTAACCAAAGAAGGTAGCTGACTGTGTGCAAAAATAGGATTAGCTATGGCAATTTCACCCATAGCCCTAAGCATCAGCGAGAGATTTTTTTGTATAACCATGACCCTTTTGCGTACAGATGCTTCCTCCCTAAGCTGCAAATCTCGCGCCTCTTCCTTGGCGGTCTTTGCCTTATCTGGAGATACAATAATAAAAAAATATTAAGCCAAACAAGAATCCACCAATGCGTTCCAAATTAGGACAGCAGAATGTTCATAACATGCCTGGTTTTTTTGTGGTTTTTCCAGCCTCCCTTTTCCCATTATCTTTATTAGAGGTCTCCCGTCGAGCAGAATGATTAGACTTGACTTCATCCTTTTGCAAAGGAGAACAAAATATTAACGGTGGAACAGCATTCTAGGAATAGGTATATTTTATAGCCAAAAAAATCAAAAAATCACAGATCTTACCATATTATCATCATTCTCGTAAACACGAAAACGGCCTTTTGCTTGTTTTACATTCTTAGACGCAACAGACTCTGCTACATAAACACCTTGCTCAGTGGAAAGCATGCCTTCAGGGGTATGAAAGATCTGTACTCATCAAGACAGCAGTAGAAGAATTTCAGATACTCAGGGACAATGACGCAACCACATTAATTTCTGGAGAACTACATATCAAGTATATTCTTTTACACCGCACGCTAGAGTTTGACCACAAAAAAAGCTACTGAGACCATGGTACACAAGTCAAGATTAAACAAGATTGTATATGATGACGGTAATGAACATTATATCATAAAAAGGTAGGAGAAAAGCATATGCGCACATTATAAATGATGAGGACCAAGCAGTTATACAGCCTCAACAAAATTTCTCCCTCGATTCTTAGTAACAAATGATAAACCATGAAATATCACAAAAACGAATTAAAGACAAAGTAACAAATAAAATAATATCAACTTATTTTTTCTGTAACAAGGTTAGCGGATAATAACCTGAATATCTTTTTCTGTAAGAGTATCATGTGCATAACGATCCGGAAGATTCTTCATGTACTGTTAAAAAAAGAAACAGAGTCAAAATAATATTAACTCAAGAATACTTGGTCAACTTTGATACGCAAGATAAATATGAAAGACCTTTTCAAACTCAGAGTACGTGCGTCCTGGAACTATACACATCAAAGTTGATAGCGCATGGACAGCAGCTTCTTCTCGAAGGTCAGTGGAACTCGTCAATCCCCTTGAACCTAACAAGCCCTACCAGTCACAAAGAAGGTTGTCAAAAGTCAGTAAGGATGATTGCAACCATAGGTAATAGCTGATGTACATATTCAGTGGTCTGGCTGGCTACTTTTAATAAGATATTTGAATAAAAAAATAAAATCAAAAGAAATAAATAATTCTATGGTTAGCCAATCCCACCTAGTCGGGAAAAGGCTGTTTGTTATACCACGAAATAAACCAGTACCGCGCCCATAAGAGATTTTGTATTTGCTACATAACATAAGTACATACTTACGCAGCCAAAACACAAACAAAGGGTGCATCATCAAAAGTCCCAAAATTACATAATTGCTCCAGGTTTCTTTCATTTTTTTTATTTTTTCAAAAAAAAAATGAGACAGTTTGAAGAGCATAGATTGCCATACACAACAAGCCAACAATGAAGAGCGTATACGATTAATTTGTTACTCTATTACTCCAGGTCAAACTGTGCTCAGTATAAAGGAAACTTATCAGGAATATATATATATATATATATATATATATATATATAGCCTAGGAAAGAAGGTGAAAAACAAACAAAACAAATAAATCCTCATTCAGATATGTCATTTTCCGCCAGATTAACTATTCCTTTTAGGCTCAACACATAATTCAATTCTACAAGTGCTGATACGGAGGGTCACGAGCTTCATGCTATCATTTACACAAATATAAAGATTCCCTAAAAAAGGATCATCTTCTTCTACAGCTTTGCTCACCGGTGATAATAATAAAGATATATACTACTGAAGCATACAGAACTAGTACTATTTACGATGATAAACTTAAACTATGATAATTACCCTTTTCATATTCTAAGATTACAAGACACATACTTTTGTGTCTATATATATATATATATATATATATATATATATATATATATATACATATATATTGATAAAATGGATAACTTCTCTCAAATATAATGTATTATTAACCGAACAGGCAAGCACCAGAAAGGCAACACATTTTTATTTTTATTTTGTTGTTTCCTAAAGCAAGAAAGATAACTCGATCAATAGAAGGCAAAAAAAAAAAAAGCAAATAATTAGTTCTGAACAGAAATTTGTCAGCGGTAGCAAGTAATTCCATGCTAAGTTGCTAAAAAAGGAGGGAGGGGGAAGAAAGAAATGAAGCTTGTAATCACCTGGCATAAATCACCCACATGAGCTGTAACAAGTTCGACAGCGTCAAAGCCACGCATTTGCAATAATTTTTGCAGCCTCTGCATAAAGAGTAAGTTTAAAAATAAAAAATAAATAAACAAAAATAGCATGCCTAGCGATCCAAAATTGATATAATAAACAACATGAGTCAGAAGTCAGGAGATATCATCCCAGCACTAAATTGAGAGATGTATACCAATTCTAAACACAATTAGAAATACATGTATTTCTGTCATTTATATTCAATCCAAATATTGTATCTCCAGAAACGCAAGAAAATATAGGTGTCAATTTTTCCCAATGCCAAACCAGAAAGACATTTTCTTAGCCTTTTTTTCTTGCATTTCTGGAGAAACGTTAACTATTCTCTGCGAGATTGATGAAAAATAGTATTTTCTGAGTGCCTTCAATTTAAACTGGGTACTATCTTGCCCAAATGTTCCAAGCTGACACATTTAGACTTGAATGGTAAGTAACTTCAATCTTTATAATTTACCACATGTGGGTCAGACAAGTCTGGAAGGAAATGGCCAGACAGATGTCTTTTGAATGGCTACTTAGAAAAAGGTTTCAGAAAATTCTAGTTTTCAAATACATTACAAAAATTCTCTTTTCTGGAAAAAATAATACATTAGAAAAAGCACTATTTGAAAGTTACCTTCCACACTACATCTCTCTTTGATGTACCAATAAGGAATGGATGATGTGAGCAGCAGAGTAATTCCACAGACACAGATGAGGAAGCACCCAACACTGCAGATGCAATAACTACTAAAGCCTTCACCAAGAGCTCCACAGGTGGGATGAAAGGAACTTGAACATCCAAGACAGTTTCTGTGTCACTACAAAACAAAAAAAGGATTGTGTTCCCATTAAAAGGTCAGTGATAGATACAATTAGAGTAGAAAACATGATCAGTATAAAACACAAAAGAAAGCTCGCAGGTAACATTTATTTATTAAAACTGTGCCCACAAAAGTACCTAGGGAAGAGATTTATAACTTCCAATTCTTTCATCTGATTTTTAAACTTAACTAGAATCAATGGGTTTCTGAAATGGAATGGTCCTCAATTTATGATCACAAATTGGCTGAGAATTAATGGGGTTAAGGACGCAGGTTGTTGTTGACTGTTGAATTGCTATAGTTTATACTTCTTGGAATTTAAAACCTTGAGAAAAAACTTTCAGCTTTTAAGAGGAAAGATATACCCTTTCAAATTTATAAAATCTATGCATATCAATAAGAGCAGGCTTGAATTTTATCGCACTAAGAATCCAAACGAAATACACAGTAATTAAAAATAAATTTTTAATCAACAAATGCAATTATCTTTAATCCCTAATTTCTTGGAATTCATCTAAACCTTCTAAACTTGCAACTTGTGAGAGTTTTTCATTTTCTTAATGCACCTCCTACACTTTCACTTAATCAGGCAGACTCCAAATACATCAGAAATGTGCTCTGACAGTGGATATAGTCTTTTTTCCTCAGTGAAGTGTTTCACCTTAATGTAAGGGTTCAACCAAACTCCAGAAAAAAAATAAGAATTCTAATCATTGAAATTTTATATTCTCACACAGCAAGTTCCCTTAGGTGCGAACTTACAATATCCCGGCCTTGCATCACTGATGCATTTAGAAACGGCATAATTTCCACAATCAGTGAAACAGTGATAACATGCAAACAAGAAAATTGTACAGAGATTGCCTATTACAAATATATAGGTTAAAAGGGAACATTTCAGTAGTAAAGGAAGAAACTGTGGCGGCCCATGAGCAAAGATCACCTTATAATGATCAGAAATTCAAGACGCTCTACAGATATTATACCCAATTATATACCCAATTTCTGATAATTTGCACAATCAGTGAAACAGTGACAACGTGCAAACGCGAAAAACGTACAAAGCAGAGATCGCCTACAACAACTATATATATACACAGGTTAAAAAGGAAACATCTCAATAGTAATATATGAAACTATGGAGGCCCATGAACAAAGATCACTAATTATCAGAAATTCACAAGGTTCTACAGATATTATACCCAAGATAATTCTCAGTAAAAATCGTTCAATTAGATTTAAAGTAACTGTTCGTCTCAGCATCAAATAAGAAGTTTCGCAAAACCATAACAAAGGTTAAAAGGGAAAACAAGCCCACTAGAAATGAGAGTTTACCTCATTCTGAGAAGATTGACCTTTTCTTTAAGAACAGTGAGATAATTGAAAAATTCAAGTAAAATAGATTCAGATAGTCGAGGGGCGGCCGCTAGAATCTTCTTTGTGGAATCATAAGCTGCGCTTCGAAGTTCCCAATTTGGATGGCAGAGACAAAATAGCAAAAACTGCATAACATCAATAATGTTAGGGGAAACAAACAAAACCACATAAGAAGTAGAAAGACTTTCTCAAATAAGCATGTCACAACAGAACGTGATTCTTAGCACCATATACAACATGGCGACACAATTTGCTCTATTAAGGGAAAGAAAAGGAAAACCATATAAGAGAACCTGACACTGTTTCATGGCACTAACCTGTAACAGTGCACTGACAGGGAAGGTCTCCAAAATTCTGTGGGAAAAGAATAAAGATGAAATCTTAATCAATTCAAGTACCATTAAGTTCATTTACAGGTCTGAGGTAGCTGAAATTAATACTCACACAACTCTCAGTTATGGACATATGAACAACAACGAGAATATACAGTAATGCCAAATAAACTGGTTGACAAGTTATAAAGGAATATATCACTAACATACCTTTCAAAGCATATCATAATCAGAATAAAAATCATAATTCACCGACATAAATTGTCCCCCCCTCAGAGAGAGAGAGAGAGGGGGAATGAATGAAAAGAATTAGGCAATGTACCACAGGAAGGGAATCAGAAAGCAATGAGGCCTGACATAAAATAACAATAATAAAACCCATATTTGTACTATACGACCAGAAAACAAAATCTTTCTTTCAATGGTAAGACTAAGGATGGCTACTAAAAGTAATGGTCAAATCAGATTATGTGACGGACAAAATGTTTAAACCGTAGTCAAAGCTAAATGACACAACCTACAAAACAATTTAAAAGTCATGAAAAATTTAAGAAAACTAAAACCAGTTTAGAGCAAGAGGTTAATGTAAAATATTAACTAACCTCGAACAGGGTCTTCCAATTTATTATCCAATATCTATTAAAAATAAAACTGTTTATTTTTCTAAATTTCCAAAGTCTTTCTCAGAAAATATTTTCGGTCATCACATGCCACTCCACAGCTACAAAAGGACAAGTTAGTATAGTTCTTAACTGTGAATACTATTATCAATTGGTGAGAGGCCATACTGCATCCGAAACACCATCCCAAGGTGCAGATCAACCACTCGAAAGATTAATATGATAAATACACATGTGGACATATTTAAGTCCATTCAGAAAAAACATGCTCCACACAGAAGCAGTGACGGATCCACGTAGCCAACCAAACAGTAAGAACAAACCTATGAGGGTGGTCTACCAGCAACCCTTCGAAAAGATCAAGACAAGCCAGACAGTCATCTCGGGGAAGTTTTGATGCCTGCATCATATGATTAGTCAGACTTCAGATATAAACCAGACAAATCTTCTGATCTGCTTCAAACTTTGCCTGGAAACTATCAAAACTATTACATTTTTACAATATTAGATGCACATCAAATTGTGTGTGCAAGTGTGGCCATGTATATGTAAGTAAAGATAAAAATAGAACAGATTAGCAAATAGATCAATGATTTTTGTAGTTCAAAAAACATTTTTTAATAATTCACAAGCCAAAATTATTCACGAGAAATAGAGCTTCATACTTACCAAAGAAAGTGGCACAAGAGAAGGTTCATTCTGCGCTATCAGCGACCAGATCTTTTCCTTGGTTATGGTCTCATCTAGAATAAGGAGGGAAGAAGAGATAAAGTATGTTAATTTCCATCCTTACATATCCCTAAAGGGAAGTTCATCAACAAGTAAAAACAAAAACGTTTATGGCCGGCGGATATTTACTACGAGAGAGAACCTGCTTTAACATCAACTGCCACCAGTTTAGCCACACATATCAATGCGTAGATTCCATCCAGACGTTGGGCTGCTTTGGTAAAACCAGTTTTAACCAGTTGAAGAAGTGGAACCAACAAGGATGACATCTGAAACATTGAAGAAACTTCAAACCAAGTGCCATGGCAACAACATGGATACACTGAAATATAAATAACTGTATCAGACCAAGCACCTGGCCAACAACATCTGCATTTTTGCACATTACTCGCAGCATACGAAGATAACCCCTTCTTAGTGCCTCTTTCTCCTTGAGCCCAGAAGCAACAAATGATATAATGTTTGAATTAATAGCAGATGCAGACCTAGTAGTCCAGCATGCTAGAGAAGACAAACAAGCAAGCTTAACCTCTTCATTCCCTGTTCAAAGAAGGGAGCATTGGATTGGATTGGAAAATCGCAATGCATATGGCACAGAGCCTTGGACAACAGATGGAGTCTAAACACTACAAGAACTTCAGAGCAGGGAAGAGGAGGGAAAAGAGGGGGGAGAGGCAAAAACAAACAAACAAACCACTGATACTGCAACATTCGTGCACCCCAAAGAAGATCAAAAGAATCTCACTTACCATCTTCCTTGTAGCATGACAAAAGAAAGTCGCAAACAGTTGGTGACAGGGTGTTGAGGTATCTTCCTTCTGGCGCAATTGACAACTCCCGTAACGCGTCAATCATGCCAACTCGTTGATATGGAAATGTCAACCTGCCTTCAGAACCTGTTTCAATTTTAAGCAATTTTACGATATTAACGTTACAGGTTTTAAATCTAAGAAAGAGATAGCATGATCAAGCAAAAGTAATGACCCATAGTTGGACAGCTTAAAGCACAAGGAACTGCAGTTTTAACCAAAGGATATGAGCAAAGAGACAGAAATTTTGTTCCCAAGTTCTTTCAGGGAGTAAATACCAAACAACCAGATCCTTGCTACTTTTTCTAGCTTGCTGGATGAGATCAGTCTGTTTTATGCTTTTCACATTCTCTACATTATTAGGTGCATTAATGAGTAAAAAACAACCAATTGTGCAAGCATCACACATATTCTTTATGTATCAGAGATTATAAAATCATATGGCTGCGGCTTCAAATAAGTTAGGTCAAATCATAAGGCTACTGATCTAGCTTATGAAAATAATAAAATAAAAAACCAAAATGTAGTTATGATGATGGACAAGAAGATAGAAACGTCAACCTCCAATTACAGCTTTGACTGCAGTAAACATTGCTTCTATGGCATCTGGGCTACTCGATTTCGAGCTCAAGCACCTTACTATGGCCAGGGCTGAAAGTCTTCTAGCATCATCAACATGTCTAGCTTGTGTCAAAGCCACTGGAAGAATCTCCATAGCATATTTGCTCAAGTCAAGGTTGGTTGAATGCAACAAAAGTCCAACAGAGTCCAAGACAAGCTCAGGATTCCGCTTCAACATTTTAACAGATGTTGGGACAATAACAGTCCTAAATTCTTCGTGTGATAAATGGGAGAACATCGGAATAAATGCTTCACTCAGGCTCTTCACCGGCTTCTCCTTTGCATTCAAAACGGCAGTGACATACATATCCAAAAATGTTTGCTGCCAAAGAAAAGAGCAATAGAGGAAAAAAAGTGAAAAGAGAGACTATCAAATGTAACAAAGTATGGGATAAGACATTTCTTGTATAACTTCAATCAATTTCTTACCCTCCAATGATCAAAGAGGCCAACATTTGAAATTGAATGTTCCAGAGCAAGGCATAGAAATTCTGGACATTCTCGATATGGGATCCTTGAACTTTTTAAATCCTCCATGTAGATTTTGTAAATATCTGGTGCCTGCAAACTTATACATGTTAAAAGGTAACAAGAAATAAAGCTTCGAAGAAAGGGAATAGAGCATACTTCAAATTATTGACTTTAATATTGCTTATATCACAGCAAAGTTATTAGATGTAGACCTTCGAAAACAACCGCAACAGGGAGCGTTTACAAGCCCTCTTCACATGGAATGATCCTTGCATAGCAAAATGAAGCACAGATGCCTGCGCTTGAGCTACTCTGCTCAATGCATTCTTCGACACTGAGCTAAACTGACTTTCTGTTAATAAAAGGCAAGACCATTTCACTAGTCTATAGCAGCCAAATTTTGACTGGAACTGAAACTGCTTTTCCATGAACTGCACTAATGTTGCAGCAAAACTTTTCATGAATGCAACTTCACTAAAATGTTTTACAATCAAAGCATCCACAGCTTTGCACGATCCACGATCTTCATATGCGGACAATGTATTAAAAATTAGTTCCACCAAAAGAGCTGTGCAATCACTTGGCAAATCTGCAGAGTGAAAAAAGCATAACTAATAAGATAAGAAATGATGCATACATGAGTAAGATGGGAAAACTCAAATAAATAGAACATTATAAAGATATAAGGAGGGACTGCAAAGATCCTGCATAGACCATGTTCAAATCACAGACTAAAATGGAAAAATCAAAACGCAAAAGAAATAATATTCCCAGTTTTTCTTTCCAGGGTAGCGATAGGATGATTTCTAGGTGGAAGGGCAATCTACAAGGAATAAATGGTGATAAACTCCCCAGCGGCACTTGAGCAATATAATAAAAACAAACAAAGATGCAAATAACGCAGTATAATACATGGAGATAGTAAGTTCCAGATCTTTATAGCAAGAATAAGGCCACCTTGCAAATGTGAGTCACCTTTCCATTCCTATATTGTCATATTAAAAGACTAGCCTCAGACATTTAAGACACCAAGGCAAACTTGCTACCTTTACCATGGACAAAATGGTCAAAGAACTGAAATACAGTCACATTACTTGCATGGTAGGGACAAAAAAACAGTTCAAATTAAACCCTCAGATTAAAAATTGAAATGTCAACCGAGATTATCATCTGAAGGACCAAAAAAAAATTTTTGCTTCTAACCAGAGATACACACCCAACAATAGCAACTGAAGAAAATAAGAAACCTGACAGTGATCTGTACTATGATCTCCAACACAGAAGTTTCTAAAGTTGCAAGTAAAATTGGTGTATGCTTGATGTCACATAAGGAAATACCTGCGCCATCACCTTAACAAAAGAAACAAGATATACGCTAACACTTAGCCTGGGCATTCCTTGATCTCATTCTATTCAGCGAGTGATGCCTACAATTTGCAGGGAAACATCACATCTCCATATTTTTAAAAACAAAGGTGTCAAACACACAAATGTTAATCTCTTTCCTAAAATCGTACATCTTATTTAACACACAGTTATAAATCTCAAACAATCTAGGTTGTTGATAAACAAACTTATCCTAGGCTCACAATTCTGGGTAACAAGGGCAAGAGTCCAACTTCATCTTATATATTACATTTCTTTCTCCACTTTTTCTCAATACTTCAGAAGTTCATATGGTCCTTCTACTTTCCAACGCTAAAATGTCAAAAGAATATGGATAGACCTTCTTGAAGCAAATCAAATGGGGTCAATCAACAACCATTTTGAAATGATTCCTCTTTTCCTTTTAACTGTAACTCGTATCCAATCAGGAAATAGAAAGAATTACAAATTTGTATTCCATATATAAGGCTTTGGAAAAAGACACTACACTGTATTAATCCCTTGGTCCAACTAAAATCACGTCTACAAATAGCATGCATTCCAAATGATGGAGAATCTTTCCGTTTGCACCACTTTTATCTTCCGATCAAATATGTGGTACATCAGTTAGTTGAGGCCAAGAGATCAAAAACTCTGGACATTGGCATTGTCAAAAGTTACCAAATATTTGGTGTGCAGGGGAAGCAATCTAATGATTTCTACATGAAGATGAGAATAGAGAAGTGTCCAATGAAAATGATATCAACTCTGTGCATGAAAATATTCAACTGCATCTTCATCCGGGGGTGGAAATCTCACATTCAAGATAAGAATTTGAGAAATTAAGACCCAGGGAGGAAGAAAGGGAGTGGCACAGCTCCATGGCAGCCCTCACCAATAAGACTGGCCTCAAAATCCCAATTGCTTGTGTGATTCCAATCGAACAAGTAACTATATTACTGGATGACCTTGAGTAGGGCTTCAATGGCTCAAAAGTTCCTTTCAAATATTGAACTAGTACACAATCATGTCTTCTTCCACTATGTAGAAACATATTTCAAAGACTAGTCAAACAGGAAAACCCTATTTCTCATTGATCTAATCACGAAAATGTATTTGGCACCAAACAGATCAGTTAACTCACTCAACTAAGAACCTACGTTAAAAGAACGTCTTCAGTACTTTATTTCTTTCCCTGTTAAAAACAACTTTGGCAGAAAACGCTAACAACGAACTCATCAACATTTGTGCCATGCCCATTTGCAGATTCTCCAGTGCTAGAGTCCAAAACAACAATCATTTTATTTAAGCAACCTTCCAACCTAGAAAATGGATTGGGTTAACTCCTTAATTCATCTCCCAATAGTTAGAATAATGCTTCGAGACCAACAAACAATTTTTGTACTTGTCATCTTTCTCAAAACCATAACCCTACTAGTAGGACAATTGAAACTCCAAAGTAGCAGCTCCAGAATTCTCCCGCTGTCATGATCACTAGTTTTCCAGGGATAATAAATTTTCCGAATTATCTTAGAAATCCTTATCTTCCATTGTTAGAACAGAGACCGTACAAAATGTCCAGTCACATGATAACATTGGTTCAAATATACCACAATGGATCATCATGTTAGTGATTGTCTACAAATTATAATGGGAGAAAGACCTCCGCCATAAAAAATTTCACGGACACTATCCCAGCCCAATTCTTTTCTATCACGAAAAAAATGAAACAAGCAAACCAAACAAAGAAAAAAAAAGATCAACATTCAGCAACTTGACGAGAAGCATTTGATTAATTGCAAACGCGAAGTTAGAACATGTTGTATAATCCAAAGCAGGAACGCATAGGTACAGCTCTATTAGAAAACTAAAGAAAAAAAAATAAAAAATCCATAAATGCTACAAGCAATCGAACTAAGTAAAATAGAGCTGTCAAGTTCAGAAATGCAGCATGACTAAGCTGAATTACCAGAAGCGTTATCAATAATGAATGGAATTTCGTTGCTGAAGATTTGAATACGTCGTTTAGTTGACGGTGTCGAGATCGACGCTGCGATGGAGGCAAGTGCGTCCATCGGATTCGAGTTCGATTCTCCCATTTCAACTATAAGCTTAAGAAATTCGTAGTTCAATATATGACGGCAACAAAGCTCTAGTCAAAAAGAGAAGCGCGGCGATGAGTAGCCGGCCGGGTCTTCGCCGGCATAAAATTGAGGATGGCGATAAGTCACGGAGGAGAAGGGGTACAGATTAGGGTTTTAGGTGGCGGAGGAGGAAGCTAGTAGTAGAGTCTAGTGTGCTGCTGCTGCTGCACACTGTCGTCACAGGCTTACAGCACAACGTGATGCGTACCTGTATACTTTTCCTCCAATTCTAATTGGAAAAAAAAAAAAAAAAAAACCAATTTTAATCCCTACAATTTTTTTATGCTGCCATTTCTTGTATCCAATATCTTCTTTTAAAATGGACAATTTTTAAAAATATATGCAAATTAACTCTAGTTTTCAATTTTCATCTGCACTTACTAAAAATGTCAACTCTTTCCCAATCAATAATTATGTATTTTTAGAGCAATAAGCATGACAATCTTTTAGACTATTGTTTTATAAATTTCTCCTATTATCAAGATATGATTACGAATGTTATTTTCGATATACTTAATTATAACTCCGTATTTAAAATTACTGAACATAACAATTTTCAAGTTTTTCGTGCGTTATGATTTTACTTCCATTGTGTTATGATTTTCATTAACTTTGCTAGTCATATTTATTGAATCAGGCATGTTTGAAACAAACGTGTAAAATGGTAAGGAACCATTTGCATATTTTTATTGGATGTCCATAGACTTATTTTATATGGGAAAAAAAAAATTATCTTTGAATTTTGATATTTTCAATTTGCAAACGTTTCCAGTTCCTTTTTGAAAGTTCACATTTCCATTCAACAAATTTAACGTTTAGATCTAGTTCCCGGTCCAATATTTTTATTCTCGGTCCCATTTTTGTTCTTGAAACCGAGGTCTTCCTGTTACAAATTCTGTAACAATTAACACTAGGGGGATTTAACGCGCGTCTTGAATGTACTCTTAGTATTTGTTTTGAGTTAAAGAACATGTTATATAATTTAATTATTTATTCTACTTGAGTCAAAGTACATCAAAATTATAAGAAACAAATAATGAACAAATTAACAGTAAATTTTATTCAAATTTATACTTTCTAATTAGGATTCGATGACGTTATTTATTCGAGTTTTTTTCTTCTAAATCTAGGAAAAAAGTTAGGATCCGTAAATAGTCAAAAGATAATGGTAAACTGATTGATTTGGACTAAGGTTGTTACTTGTCAACCTATGATAATTATAAATAATGAATTAGAAAGAATAATAAAATGAATCTACAGAAATTTTGTGGAAAACATGCGATTTCTGCTTAAGTAAAATCTCATTAAAAGAATTAAATATGTTTCGGATGATACGAAAAATCCAATAACTATACTTTCAAATCAAAATTTACATCAAGTTTGAATGTTTCATGAATAGAAATATAAACATTATTGAAGACAAAATCCTCCTTAGACAAATAGAACCAGGTAATCTGCCACATAAAAAACAATTGGAAACCCACAAATCCTAGTAGGATGCAAAAGGAGTAGATGGCCAACATAAGTTTTGCTTAACGATAAAGTTAGTTTTGGATGAATGTCCATGAGAAAAAAATAGAGCAGTGGTACACCTCTTTCCGCGAGAATTCCAATAAGAGAGGCAAATGCAACTGCAATAAAAAAATAAAAAAAAAAACTCCATTTAGCCACAACACGCACAACCTCAATAACTATCTCTAAAAGTATGATCATAAGTCATCACCAGGTGGTATTGGAAGAAGTAAAGGCATTTTTTGCTCCTCGCAATTCTAAGATGTTCCTTTACCAAGAAATGTGTAAGCATAAACCATACTGATAATTTGCCTTTATTTCCCAAAATAAGATTAGTTAAAAATCTCAAATTTTTTAAAAAGGGAGGGATGCAGATGACAATATGCTTTTGCATACAACAAAGGAAATAATAATAATAATAATAATAATAATAATAATAATAATAATAATAATAAAAAGCTAGGAAAATTACTTTTCAAATTCGATAGAACTCAACCCATAAGAGAAAAAACAAATGAATAAGTATGTTTTATAATATCTTTTTAGCATAATTATTAGCATAAATGTGATAGGAAGTTAAGGGGTGTAACGGGAGCCAGTTAGATAGTCATAAAGAAGTTACGAGAGAAAACGAAAAGGTCTTGAAATTAAATTCAGAATTAGTTACAACTTAATGTGATAGTAATTCTTTTTTTAAAAAAAATATTAATGTGATAGTAAAAATTTTAAAGACGTATTAATAACCGTTGTGGTTTTACTTAGCACGTGAGAACATGAGAATAGAGAATAAATCTTAGGCAAGTGACACATGTAGAGGACTACCAAAACTTAAGAGATATTCTCCAATTATCTTATAGGTAGATAAGTTTTTCATTTAGAAATTGCGATCTTCAACAATCAAAATTTTTAAAATATTGTAGGGGAAAAAAAGAAGATAGAGAGAAACGAAAAAAGAACAGAAATTGATTAGGTTTACCATTTTATTTGAGTTCTTTTTTGTTGTTCACACTTCAGTCTACTACGACTAAAGAATCCAGATCAATTATCTCTATCATCTCCACTTAGTCTATAGGGCTACATTTAGAAGTTTTGGGGATATTTTACACTCTATTAGACAAAGAGATTGAACTATACAGAAGAGATATATAACCTACAAAAAATTTTAAAAATAAAAAATAAATTTAAAAAAAAAAGACACACTACAGTATTAAGGATTATCCTTATTCTGCCTAGCTGATATAACTCTATCCAGTGTTTCATCTGGAACCTTAATTCCACTGGTCTCCAAATCTGCTACAATGGCAATAGCTGCGTCAAGTTCACCGAGATCAAGACATAGCGTGATGATTTCGTCATACAAGGGGCTGCAATGGACATGCAATAGCGCGGTTAGAAAAACAGAGATAGGAAAGCCGACGATTATGACTACTCTCAATTCGACATTTCACAATTGGAATGGAGAGAAAAGAGCGCAAACAAACTTGAACCAGGCATGTATCGGATCATTAAGGTTCTTGGAAGAGACATGACCATGAACTTCAAACATATTGACCAACGAAAAGCTTGAACATACATAACCAAAGTGACCTACCAGAACAATATGAATTTATCTTCTAACTTAGATAAACACTCTAATTGCATGAAGCCGATTATGTGCCTGACAGTCTAGTTCAAGGTTTCATAACATAGTATTCTTTGATTCCCTTAGGTAAAGAATGATGCCAAACAGCCACATTAAAGTTTTAGAACCATAGAGGGCACTGGAGAAAAAGCCAACTAGTGAGCTAAAATAACAAATTATATCTCATATAACTAAAATCTACCTGCCAAACACATAGCCTAAACGATGTGTCATTTGCAGAATCGTCAAGAAGGCAGAAGGCATAGGAGCTCGTATTGCAGCTCTCAATATCATTGCACAATCACCAATAGTTGGCATCCCACCAAGTTCTACCACCTGGAAAATATTGCAATAGTATGATGACTGAAGAAGCTTAAGATGAAACAGTATTTTATTTTATTTTTTTATTTCTTTATTTTTTTGAGACTAAGATGAAACAGTTAATAATGCTCAACTAGAACTAGTAGAATTATAATTGTAAATTACCCATTCCTTTCGCGGATGAACATGCAAGAGACAGAGAAAACGATGTAGTAGGAAGTAAAGCAATCATTCCTAAAAATTAGTTGACTCTAGATCATTCAGAACTGGACCATAGTAATACCGGTTCATGTCACTCTTACAGAGTATATATTTTTCATATTAAATATCACAAGCTTTCCTAATCTACCTTTCAAATACATGAAGACATAAAGCTAAATAAGGTCAAGAAAAGTAATTTCAGAAACAGGAACGTACTTTGTTTGCTAGTTGAATTGCCAATTCAACTTCCCACTCCTGTGACCATTTCTGTGGAGCTTTATTCTTCAGTTCTCTATCCCATGTCCAACCCCAGGCATCTGCGATGGTATACATATCAGATTCATCAAATACTTTCCTATTCCTCAGCTCTTTCATCGCTTCATGTATATCAAGAGGAAACCAGTCATCATCATCATCATCCTGCAGGAATACAAAGCAAATTTACCAACATTACTGAGAATTGAAACTTCAGTCATAAGCAAATCACATTGCCAGTCCTATCACAATTCTCAGCCAACCTAAATACTGTTCAAAACATTATCTAAGAAATGAAATTATACTTTTATTGAGAAACATTAGCCAAGAAACAAAATACTTCCAAGAGATTCAGAACCACTTGTACCTCAACTGATACGCGACTCTTTCTTCTTGATTTTCTTGAGGAGCTAGTCATTTGATCCGAGTCTTTCAACAGTTGCACACCAATCATTGGAAGAGGTTTTGCAGCCTCAACTTCTTTGTCCTTGATTCTGTCAACCACCTGGGTGTCATTTAAATCGACTTCTTCCTCCTCTTCATCTGCCTCTTCATCTTCAGCATCCTTTGACACCTCATCAACAGCATCAACATCATCCGTGACATCAATAATTTCTGAATCATCTGATTCTATTTCGTTATCGTAACTTTCTTGTAAGCCCTCTCCAAGAAACCGCCGCTTCCAAAATTCTGTGTTACCTTCTTGTAGCTTGATTCGTGAGATAAGCTCATCTAGCTCTTCATCAACCTGTGAAATCAGAACAAATAAAGTCAATTGGAAAATGCCATGAAATTGGCAGTTTCAGAACTTATGCAGCCATACCTCTTCAGCAACTTGTAAATCATAATGACACCAACATCCACATCTTCTACAAATACATAAAATAAACAAACCGGAAATCTGGACTTAAGGAACAAATTAGATCGACCTCTTCTTCCTCTTCTTCAACAGGAGGAACCCAAAGTGGACGGCCTCTAGAACGATTAATTCTTCTTGCCTTTTGCACTCGCTGATAGAGTACATTTCTAGTTCCATCAGTAGGTAAACCTTGAGCTTCCAGTTCTTCTTTTAACTCAGAAACTATCATTTTACTAGCTGCTTTAGGTTTCAAAGTATTTTGTTCTGGACCTTTAATAATTTTCTTCAGTCTCTCCTCAACCCTGAAATAATCTGATTCAGACACATCCCCTAGTATAGCAGGACCTTCATTGCGCAACATTTTTAAAAGCTTTCTATGATATATCCTTGATTCCTCAAGGCATCGATGTTTAAATGATGTTTCCATAGGGTTGGAATAAATAAATCCTTCAGCATCAGGGTCTAGAGGAGTTTTGCCTCTTCGAGGAACCCAGCGTTTTCGCTCACCAGTAAGGCCACCTTCCGAAACATACCTATTTTACCAAGATCAAATCATGTTTAATTTCAGATGACTGGGAGAATCAAAGATCATCAAAATTCAAAGGAAACGAATATTCTCAATGACATTGAAGGAGCATCTAACAAGAAATATATCATCTGGACATCTGAAAACAGGGAGATGAGACACAGTTCTAATATGATTAAGCAATCTGTCAACTCAGTTCCTTTTCTTCACTGTCTGATATCCAAAAGCTTTAAATTTGCACGTGAAGGGAGATGGAAAAGATCTAAGTTACTGCCACCCAAAGAATGAAACTTAGGCAGATGTCATGGATAGGATAAAGCAACCACAACGGCAAGACAAGTAGAGTGGTACCATGAGACTTCCTTAGCATAATATTTAACCCACCAGTCTCACCCTGCCAAAGCTTATAAGACGCTTTGGACCAAACAAGCAGATGCAGTGGTCAGCTTTAATTCATTGCTTCTTCAATTGCAAAGTGTCACAAAAACTTCGGCATTATGAAGTCCTTTGCTAGCTAATGCATGAAGAAAATGTTATCACTTTTTTTCAGTTTACCATGTAAGGAGCTTTATAAGATTACAATATTTCTGAGAATTAGTTAGCCTATTCTAAAACGGAATAAAGTTGAGGTTCAACTTATTCAAAAAGCCAAATATTGTCTCCGAGCAACTGTCGACAAAATCAATTAACAAGTGATCAGCTACAGCTACACAGAGATTTACCAAATCAACAATTTACATAACATAAGAGTCTAAAGCAACCATACTTCAGTTCTTTATTCTCTTGTTCAAGTTTGTACTAGTTCCTTCCTATATTCAAACATAGAATTCAGAAAATGAGATGGAAATGAATATGTACAACAGAGATCAGGCTCAAATAATAATTAATTAAAAAAAATCTAAAAACACTCAAAGATTTATAAATTAGATAAAAGGATAGAGCTGATTTCCATAGCAAAAGAATTCACAACTAAGGGTGCAAAGCCAATAGCAGAGTTGAGATGCACTAAGAATGTAGAAATGAGATCAGTAAACGGTAAAGCAAATATTGATCAAAAGATAACAAAAAATTCGTATACCTGGCTATGTAATCAATCTCATATCCAAGTTCAGCTTCTTCTTGTAAAGGTTCAATCCATGAGCTAACTAGTGTTCGATATTTTCTGCTCAAGATCATAGCTCTAGGTGGAATTGGAACATTGTCTTTTGACATAGCTTCAAGGGCTTCCAGTAACTCTTCGATTCTCCCTGAAATAAAGATTACTGAAATTAGCAACCTCAATTGTAGTGTTAAAAAAATCAGACATGATGGGATGGGGAGAAGAGAGAGAGAGATACAAAGAATATAAAAATACACCTTCTCTACATAAGGCACGGAGATACAGAGAAAGTGGATCTCCATATTTTCCCTCATTATGCAAAACTTTCATTCCACCTTCAATTCTCTTTAGAGCACGGAAATGCCGAATTGCCTCCTTTACGACACAGTATTTGCTAAAGCATTCAACCAACAACCTGAACAAGCAGCAACTAAGTTACAGACTACAAAAAACTAGCAGATGGTAATGTCCTTCCAATTTTAACTTCCAAGCATATTGAAAATTTGTCAGAACATAAACCACCTAACTTGACATTTCTTTGGAAGAAACAAACTACAACTGAAATAAGCTTTATTTTCAGTACCACGTTTCAAATACTACTGTTAACATTTCCAGATCCCCAAAAGCAACTTCATTAAGTGACTGTGAGTCCAAATTCTTAATGACTAATTAACTACTTTGAAGAATGTATAACTAGTTAACTTGACTAATTAACTCTTTAGGATAGTTATCAAACCTATCATTCGTCCATTCAAAAAAACTTAGTGCACAGTGTAGTCTTATCAAAGTAACTAAATTAAAAAAAGGTGATGAACTTAATGGTGCGCTTAAGATAGAAGGCATGCTTGCTCAATTGCTAAGGAAAAATAAAATACTACTTAGAATGGATCTGGATTTGCAACAAATTTTCAGTAGTTTAGCTTTAACTGTCAATCTAACAGCCGATACTATTCTGAATTACATGTATCGTACTCCCTACCGTCCCAAAGAAAGAATCTTGCTTGTTTAACTAAAACAGTATAAAAACATGACTCTTTTTATGGGACAGAGGGAGTAATTGCTTTTTCAAGAGTCAATTGTAAAATTTACAGATACAAAGATTTTTCAGGTATAGAATCTTCAAGTTACAAGCCAAGCTGGCTCCTAATATGCAATACAGGTCTATATATTGTAAAAGGAAACATTATTATAAATGTTGTCCAGGTTTGGTATGAAAGGGAAAAAGATGGACACTAAAGGACAAAAGCGACAAAACTAGGGGAAAAATGTTGGTTTTCTTACGCATAGGTTCTCACGTTTGGTTGCACTCGTTGGTAATCCTCAACCATCATTCCAAGCAACTCTCCAACATCTTGTACCCTACAAGTAAGATTCAAATCAACAGCAACTGAGCTCAAGAGAAAACAGCAGGAGTTTTAAAACTTATGATTGAGATCAGATAAGAAAAGGAAACACTCAGCACAATCATAGTAATTTTCTCGCACATATAAACGTGACTCAAAGGAGTAGTAAAAAGTGTATCCGGTATCCAGATTCAAGATAATTAAAAATTTTACAATTGTGGAATATAATGGAATCTTAACCTAACCACAGAGAGAGGAACAGGGGAGAAGCCAACAGTTAGACAAAACAATTCCAGGGAAAGAAAAGATCCTGATTTCAAAATCTAGAGTCCATGTAAGTTAAAATTTTTTATCACACTTCATATATGGAAGCTTCAACTAATTGCAGTTTCAGGTCTATGTCCTACATATCTTGAAATGTGAGGAACTTTCTGCTCAGCATGACCAGTATGGCCAGTAGAAAATAGAGAATTATTAACTCAAAGTAGACAAACAACATAAAAGGGGGGGAAAAAATGGGGAAGGGGAAGACCTCAGTGATTGGAAAGGAACTAGTTAATGGGACACGAACATTTAAATTCAGATAAACTTGTGTGTTTTCATACAAGATGACAAAAAATATCCCGACACTACATAATGCAGTAAAGATTTTAATGCTGTTGTTGTCGTTGTTGTTATATCCAACAATATACCGTTCAAGATTCTACAGCCAAAAATTTCTAATCAAACTGACAACTAGAAGGCAGCATATAAAGGCAGAAATATAAAATGGTATTTCGTAGAAATAGTAAGGCCCTAGTGGAGCTGTCACACAACAGGAAATTGCAGCTAATTAACCACTGGACTGGGTAAAAAGAGAGAGAAAATGCTTCCAAGATTACCTATCGTATGATTCTGCTCTTGTATATGCTTGAATCACCCAGTTATAGGATTCAGTATCGGGTTTCATATAATCTGCAAACCAAAGCTAAACTTAGTTTTAAAATCCTGTTGTTCTTTCAATTATAGAGTGATCAACATCTATATTTGATCGTTAAAACTACAGAAATCTCCAGTTTCCATGTGTTTTTCAGAAGAAAAAAAGAGTTATCTTGAAGCTGCTAACAACTAATTAAAACTCAAACTCCGCTAGCTCTCTAATTTTCACAGTTCACGTGTTCAATAAAAATACTAGCATTCATCAATGAGGACATAGAAGCTGAGAGAAAAACCAACAGTGACATGGATAAAAATGGTAAATTATACATTGCTGAAGTAATGATGAGAACCAGAGAACATCAGAATTTGCACTATAGGATTCCTTCTCTGCCGATTATAGAACGGAAACTTACATGTCTAGATAGTGCCTAAAAAACCTTTAAAATGGTTCACTCAAGCCAAACAGCATCTCTGATTTCCAATTTCAAGCAAATAGCCAGGTGAATTTAAGTTCGTTGCCAAAATCGCAGAACAAGTTTGAACATCCAAATTGATTACAATGAGGTATACCAGAATGAAACTCATAGTTAAAGAAAAGATTATACTTCCTCCGTCCCAAAATGATAACCCTGTTTGGATTTTCATTCTTAGTACAAATAATACCAGAAGTGAAACTCAAAACGGGACAATCATTTTGGGAGATAGAGTATAAACTATTCAGCGCTTAAAAGCGTACAAGTAGAAGATTTGACAAACAAGAAAACTTGTACCTTCTCCAAATTCCATGTTCTCAAATGTTGAAAATGCAATTTCAGGTATCCCACAAGTAGCCTAGTAAAAGATAAGAAGATTCAGCTCAAGCATGATGTCAAAAAAGCTACTAAGATCCTTTAAAAAGCCTGGAGGAAACAACTAGAATACTAGGACAGGTCTGACTTGTGAGGACTAAGATACAGAAAAACATTTCCATGTAAATCATGCATGAAAAATCTCACAACCCCAATTCTAGAGATCCGAATATAAGGATAACCCAAAGTATCATCAAAAAGTTGGAAAATGTCCTGATGAATCTTGTAAAGTAAAATCCATTCGCAAATGTGGTAATGGGAGCTTAAGAACCAAAATGTAGGAAATGTCGGCTACTTTTCATTGAAAATCTGAAAGCCCGGAAAACTGAGATGACCAATGCCATTCTATAAATGACAATATGATGTTTCAAAGACATAGAATTAGCATCACAAATTGATACTCAATTGGATGGTCGAGATGCAGGAGAGCAGAGGGAAATATGTAAATGCATATCAATATTTAGTTGATGATTTTCTTCAAAGCATTTCTAATAAGATGCGAAATTTGAACATTTACAGTTTATGTTGAGTAACAACAATCACACTAGGTGAAAGGTAATTGTTAAGAGTGTCACTGAGATAAAGCTTTCAACTGATAATAATTTAACTTCTACGCTTTTAAGTGCCCCATTTCACTCAAATCACTTTGGATTAACAAATTCAAAAAAAAAAAAAAGAGGAAAATTTTTAGATTCCAGGTGAGTTAAAACAGCAAAATAACTAACCTGCACACTCAAAAGACAGTTGAAGTGAAAAGTTGTGGCCATCCTACCCGCTGCCTCCATTTCATAGGCAATGGTCAATGCATTAGAGTGATCACCAACTTTACAGTCTTCTTCAATTATAAGATCATAAAGCTCATCGGTAGCTCTCAGCCCGCCTTCTGCTCCTTTAAGGAACACTTTGTTTGCATCTTCCAGATGATTGTTTCTCACAAGTTCCTCTGGTCACAAAAGCAGGCAGTATGAAATAAGTATACAAGAGGAAATGGACATACATCATGAGAAGCAGTTAAATCTAATTAGGGGCTCGAGTAAATCGTACCAACAAGAACAAGCCAGGCTTTTCTAATGTCAAAGTTCAATTTCTCCATTGCAGCCAAAATTTCCAAGCCTCTTGTAGCAAGACCTTTTGTACCAAACAATCTAACCAAGGAAATAAATGTTTCATGAAGAGGCCGAAGACCTTCACTCAACTCCCTTCTAAGAGCATGCATCTGCAAAATACACCAATATATCTTGAAGCAAGGATTGACATATAAAATGCTAAGCAGTTTATTCCCATCGAAATTCATCTAAAAATTTAAGAAGGACAAGGACAAAGAAAATCAATTGTGCATTTCCACAATATGACAGAGCAACATGCCACATTAGATGCAATATGCAAACAACAAAAAGAATGCACATTAGTGTCAACAGAAAAGATGATTCGCAGTAGTGTAAGTGAGTATAATTTCAACATTACCACGAACAGACCTTCATCCGCACATATTTACAAACAGAATTAACACCAATCAACGACGTGTTAGAGAGGAGACAGTACTTACAGCGCCTTCTTCATCCTGGCTGAGTACGTTAGACACAATCAATCCATGAAAGGAACGAGGTCCAGGATTCAGCCCAGCCGCGATCATGTCATAAATGACCTCGGAGACTCCAGCAACGTCAGCGTTTCTAGCTCGCACCATTAATTCCTCCATGAAGACCAGCCGGAGCACCTTCTCCGCACTAGAAGGCACGGATACCAGCGTCGGCACGTAGCCATTCTCCTCCTCTCCGGTGTACTGCTGTTGCTGCTGCTGCTGCTGCTGTTGCTTCTTTTTTCTCGTTCTTTTCGTCGATGGCGCTGATGCGGAAATGGTGATTTTCCGGCGAGAGGGTGAAAATGGAGGGGAAGTTGAGGTTTTGAATTTGGGAGGAAGGTAAGCTGGGAGTAGGAAAAGGCTTGCCATTAATGGATAAGGGTTGCTGAATTGAGGAGGGAAAGAGCAGGGTTTTAGGGAGGGTGGGAGGAAGGAGGGAATTGGAATTCCAGGGAACGGGCTTACCGTTACTCCGTTAAGTTCTAAATTGCCCTTAGGATTTTGCCTTAGCTGGGATTAACGGTTAACCTGAACAGTTACTGCCCTCCAAAATCTTTTGTTCAGTACTCATCCGTCCCATAATTATTGTCCAGTTTGAATTTTTATTTATAGTTCAAATTGTACTAAACGTGAAATCTCAAACTGGACAATAATTTTAGGACAGAGGGAGTATAAGATATACAAACACAATGTAGAATGGCCTACACATTTTTTTCAAACTCAGTTCATGCTCAAACGATTGATCTATTAGTTAATGGTAAAATAATACTACCTACATAAATATACAATATGGTCAGTAACATATGGATATGTTCTTGTGTTTATGTTATTTTCCTCTTTCTTAAGATATTCCCCCGCAAAAACATTCGAAAGCTACCATGAAAAAAAGAATAATTCTCATCCCCTTTTATATTGACCGGTGTTGACAATCTTCAAAAATGTTCATCTTTAAAATATTTTTAGATTCCATCAAGATAAGGAATCTCACCACTTCCAGTTTTCCAACTGTTCATCTTTAATTTTTCGCCAGAATTCCTGACCAAATTATACAATTCAAGGAGAGTCGGAACAAGAATTTATAAGGTGATGAATTGTGCCGGGCGTGCCCCACGGAAGAGTTAACATGTAAATTTGTTAATCACCCAAAAGAAATTTTGGAAAAAATTTATATCAACTACTGGTATTTTACACCGTCGTAGTGTTATACTCCTAGTTAACTTTATTTATATTACATCGTTGATAGTTGTATCTAATAATTTAGTATGTCCACATATATCCAATTTTAGTATTTCACCGTGATGTCTTCTGAACAAAAATGACATTAGTTAACCGACTGTTGCCCCAAATAAATTTTATGATCTCTCAACAATTATTGAATTTGATACAACCAATGCTCTTATGCATAATAATGAATTAACGTTTAGCTGACAAAAAATTTAGATCCAAAATTTTCTTTTAATTGGGTAGTAGTCAGTCTACTAGATCCTTTCCTAGTATATTTACACACTTTACACTCTCGGAATAGTCCCTTTTAAGTTTTAAGTAATGAACTCAGGAAGGAAAAATGAAAAATAAAATAATCATTCTCCTGATTAAACAAGGAAAGAGAAAATCATAATTGTTCTCCTCTCTGAAAACTGAAAAGTGGAAAAAAAAAAAAACAGAATTGGAGAATATATTATTATTGGGCTTAAATTAAAAAAAGAATATTTATCGGGGGGTCCATAATTCCGTGACCAATATTAATTGGGATTTCACTTCACAGGGCTATAAATATCACGCTTCTCCATTCCTGATTTCCTATAAAGTATAAACCCCTGCCCCTTAATCCTCGCAAGACCTGTTGCGTTTTTCTCTTGAAGCAAGTCCAAAGAGCAGCAGCATCTTTCTTCTTCTTGTTCTTCGTCATCTTTTGATCGTCAAAGAGAGAGAGCATCATGCAGATCTTCGTCAAAACCCTAACCGGAAAGACCATCACTCTCGAAGTCGAGAGCAGCGACACCATCGACAATGTCAAGGCCAAAATTCAGGTCCAATTCCTGCCCTGCTTATGTTTACCCTGTACTCCGCAGTGCGCTTTACCGCTTTATTAATTGATACTTATTTGGCTGGATTCGTCGTGCTCTTTGATTTTTGTGTAATATATCTTCCGTATTTTTCTAATTCTGTTGGTGTAATTTTGTTTTGCTTCTTCTGATTTCGTCCGAGGTTTTAGCATAGCTTTTTTTCTGGCGGGTTTTATTTCGATTGAGAATTGGTTCTGTTTTCCTGTGTTTTTTGAGTTTTAGATATGCTGTTTTGCTTGAGATTAGTTGATGATCTACTGTTGTTATCTTGGTGTGGGAAATTGGTGGTTTGGTGTTGAAAATTGGTGGTGGAAGAAAACTTTCTTCGAGCAATTTTACTAGTCGTGTATTGAATTTGTGTCAAATTGCTTCGATTTGCATCTTTGGAAGATTATGCAAGTATGGAATCTGGGGCTTCTTTACCTTTGGGGATAGACTCCTTTGTATTTATTGCGCACTAGTTTTATTGAAGGATGTATGTGTTGACCTGTTTTCATTTATCAACAGGATAAGGAGGGGATCCCTCCGGATCAGCAGAGGCTGATTTTTGCTGGTAAGCAGTTGGAAGATGGTCGCACTTTGGCCGACTACAATATTCAGAAAGAATCTACTCTTCATTTGGTTCTGAGGCTTAGGGGAGGGACCATGATCAAGGTCAAGACTCTCACTGGAAAGGAAATTGAAATTGACATTGAGCCAACTGACACTATTGACCGGATCAAGGAAAGGGTGGAAGAGAAGGAAGGCATTCCCCCAGTCCAGCAAAGGTTGGTTTTTCAACTCTATACTTGTTTGCTTATTCTGATTGCTGTCTGCCCTGGTTGCTTATGGTGATTTGGAACAAGAGAATTTTGCTTTACTGCTTGCTGTGGCATAGTTTTGTTTTGTTCTTTTATCTCAGTCCTCCCTGTATTATCTCTATGATTGCACTGTACAGTATGATATTCTAAAACCAAAATCTTCAGGTCTTAGTATCTGAGGTTTTGAAAGGAAGAACTGGATTTGAGATTGGCTTTGAATATGAAGTCAAATCCGATTGCTTTATTTTGAAAGTTTAACTTTTGTTAGCATAGATTTTTACAGTAACTCTATCAGTATGAAGTCTAATCCGATTGCTTTATTTTGAAAGTTTAACTTTTGTTAGCATAAGATTTTTACAGTAACTCTATCAAGTATTCTAACTTTCAGAGTGAAAAGAATATCTGCGAGACATAAATGTATGGTGGTGCTTCACATCAGCATGTATAAATGTATTTTGCATTCTGTGCGCCGACACATTTCTTAGAGCTCTATACCTCTCCTGTTAATTAGTGCATGCTTTTTACAAACTGGATATGTAATGATAACTTGGTTTGGTTGCAGGCTCATTTATGCTGGCAAACAGTTAGGAGATGACAAGACTGCCAAGGACTATAACATTGAGGGTGGTTCAGTGCTTCACCTTGTTCTTGCTTTGAGGGGTGGTCGTTTCAATTAGACTTTAGTACTTAATCTTCTTCTGTGTGTTCTGAGGAAATTGTGGTTGAAGATTTTTGACGCCGTGTTTGAGGCTGGCACTTAATGTGATTGTCCTAAATTATTGACTATCTATTATTGTCTGCTGAGTAAGGCTAAGTTTTCCTCTTGATATTTCTTTCTCTCTTCTAAACTATGGTCGAGTTGTGTAGCTAAACTGAAAGGGGAGAGTATATATTTGAAGCCAGTCATTCAAATATATTAAGGTATAGAAGAGTACAAACATGAAACAGAAGTAACACAAGGGGAGAAACTATTCAAATTACAAAATGCGAGATCACTGATCTGAAAGAACTAAACGAGTTGTCTAGCAATAATAATCTGAGAAACGAGTAATAAAACATTCTTAATTCTGAAAGGTCGGTCGCTAATTGAAATGCAAGAGCTTGATGGTGCTAAGGTTCATCGGGTTCATATACATCTTGGATCCAGACATGAGCTGCTGCACAATCAACTTGTTGGCTTTCTCTGTTGGATGGAAGGCATCCCAGAATACATAAGTATCTCTGTTTGGGCACAGGTTGGAGAAATATGTGCAAAGTCCAATCCCATTGTATGGTCCTTGCCCACAACATGCTACTTTTGATGTCTCAAAACCTGTTGAACAACAAATTGTACCATACAGCAAACAAACAGATGATGTATGTGTGTTAGGTTACTACTGTTCCAAGTGACAAAAATAATTGAGATGATTTGGTATACCTACCAAATGCGTTAGGATCAGCAATGAAATCCATGTGGGCTTGATTGGTATTTGCAGCCACAAAAACATCACTCCCAATCTCTTTGTTGAGAGCCAGAATCATGTCGGTTAGTTTCGGGTTGAAGAGTGTCGCAGCTTGTTGCAAGTCAGCTGCACATTCGCCGTTGTTGCCGCCGCGCTGAGCTATTTCAGCCGGAACACATCCTAACGGACCTGTTCCCGTCACCAATACCCTTCGAGCTCCTACGTCATACAACCTCTGCACACGCACGTATGTACAAAAAAATATTTTTAAAAAAAATATAAGAAAATAGTCGGTTTCAAATCTTTTTTTTTTTTATAACAAATATAAAATTTTAAGTTGGTAATTGTTTCGCTATTTATACCGCTTTATTGTCTAAAATGACATATATTTGCCGTTACAAAGGCTGTCACAATCGTCACAAGAGGTAAGATCATTTAACATAGTCAACCATTTGTTTTTTTTTTCTTTTTTTTTTTTGGAAATCACTTTTCTTTATGATGGAAGAAATGTCAATCTCAAAATGAAGAATTAAAAAGCTTAAATAGTTATTTAACATGAGTTAATTACCTGCAAGATTTTCTTGTACTCGGAGACGAGATAAACGCAATAATCAGGAAGGGCGAATTGTTGAGACCTCAGAGAAAATGGGATCAAATAATAGTTATTGACAAAATCATTGCCACCCAAAGTGATGAGAACCAAAGCTTCGTCCACCACTTTTTTGGCATTCTCAGCCCCTATTTGCTGGCTTAAACGCTGCTGGTACTCTTGAAATAATGCAATTTGGTCCAAAATCCGAATAATGTTGACCTGCAATTTAACAATTTAATTAATTGACCCTTAATATCAAATCGGACGATTTTCATTCAATAAAAATGAAGGAGGAATAAATAAAAGAATCTTTAAGCGTAAAGATCGATAATTTACAACGTCACAAGATCTTCGAGTTGTGAAACTTACAAATTGGATCCCAGTGTCGTTAAGAATGCCAACGCCAGCAGAAGCAAAGTTTGCACCTTGAGGTAATTTGTCACCTTTAAGCTCGGGACTCAAGTATGGAAGTATTGGTTCAATCCCAAAGTATTGACCTGTGACATAACATATAAAGATTAAAAAACAGATACAAAATTAAACAATAATTCCACCCAATTATTTTTTTAAAATAGAAAAAAAAAATAGAATTTAGATGCACATCGAAGAAATGAAGCCTAATAATAATAATAACTCTTGGTGGAATTGTTTCCTCTTCCATAAGCTAAAAAGGCATATTGACAGTTAAAAAACTCAGATTTTAAAACAAGAGTCACAATTTCGCAAAATATCATGTGAAGAAATAAAAAAAGTGAGCAGTAATTACTGATTAGTCAAGGTTAATGTTATTCCCGACGCACAAATCAGCATGTGCAGGGCAACTTTCTATATTCTTTTACCAAAAATACCCTTTGACTAAATTGACTGCTCTGATTCCAATTGAATCTTGTCTAGGACATTTTTGTCAACAGGCTAAAAGATTACGCCGACTACTGATTTGTACTAATAACACTCACTGACTCACTGTCTCTCAATCATCGAACGGCAAAAAAAAAAAAAACAAATATTTTTTCTTTTAAAGAAAAAAACTAAATTGAAAGACCATGTAAATATTCATCAACCTATCAAGTCGGGGAGGTTATATCCATTGGAGAAGCGGCCGGTGGGCTGGTGACCGGGAAAATCAATTCCATAAGGTGGTTGGTCGGCACGAGCGGTGGTGAGCAAAAAATTATTATTTCCATTATCGACCAGAGAATCGCCAAAAACAAAAAACGCTTTAGCTTCTCCTTCTGAGATCTGAGCAATAATATTGTTAAACGTGAATGAAATGATACAAAAAGTAATAACAAATTCCACAATATAATTCACCGTTGCCATTGCAATTGCAATATGTATAAGTATAATAATTTTGAAAGTATTTAGTAGGAGGCTAATTGGAAAATTTATACTACTTTGGCAAGAGCATATATAAATGAAGAAGAGGGATGGTTTTTAAGAGGCAATGGATATACATGTATTTATACAATAAGAAGGTATAATGGGGGTGTGGGGTTGGTTGTGGAATAAGGCATTTGATACATACAAACAAAATTGTCATTGATGCTAAAGGGAAAGACTTCTCACAGGACACGCAAAATGTGGTCAAAGTGTACTTAATTTTACAGTTGTTTAGTGGAAATGGTAGAATTTTCAGTCACATTTAGTCACATTTTCAGTAACATTATAAGTTAATATGCCTAGTGTTTTGTTTGTTTGCTTTTTTTTAATGGTTTTTTCAGTTTATTTTATTAATAACTGTCTCATTCCAGCATACTTTTTTACATTTTCAACACACCTTTTTACATTCCCAATACAAAAAACACCTAAAAACACACACTAAAAAAACGTACCAAACATACAAGTAAAAATGAACCATCGATCAAATCCCTAAAGGAAGAAAAAAAAATGCTTTGTGAATGGATTCCCGCTGTTTTACCTTATGAGAATTAGGAAACAAATCGTAGGTTAGAGGGATGGATTATTTTGAAATAACTAATCCCGTGGAAGAGATTTTTCATAAATAACTTAAATCTGGAAAATGAAAAAGTACATTATTATTTGGGTGGTAAATATTTTAAAAGAAGAAAAGGAAGATTTTTTTGGAGGTGGGAGGTTGAAAATATATTAATTGCAAGTGTTTGTATTCATCTTTGCTTGATTTATTTATTTACGTATTTTTTTCCCACATTGCATTTATTGAGTATGAAGTGGAATTTCAGACAAATCCCATGCGTGTGGACTATTTTTTTTTTTTTTCCAAAGAAAATATGCGAAGTGGAGAAATTGCTGAGTGAAGCTGTTGTAACGTACGCATGATCAGATTGTTCCCTCGAACTTGATCATGGTAAAATTTATTACATTTTTCACTTGAAAATTTTCAAAATGGAAGGACCTTATAGACAGAATTATTAATTATATTCGTTAAACAGAATTATTAATTCTATTGGTTAAATGTGCTAATTTGATCAATCGGATGAAAAGAATGACACATGACGGTTTCAAAGAGGAAAGTACAGATAGGATCATGTGAATATATGAAAGAACTGATTTGCTTCTCATGTTTAACAAGTCAGAAATAACATTTCACAAGGTAATCTTGACCCCAATAATAATAATAATAATAACAGAAGGTAAAAGCTATTGCAAGTCAAAGAATTTCCCAACCCAATTCGGTTGAATTGAATTACAGATGTGTCAAGGAAGAAGCTCATTAATTTCGTACTCAAATTTAGATTTGACCATGCAAATTTGGATGAATTAATTTACTGATCTAATAGTCATTTTTGCTTTTCTTTCAAGTTCAGGTCAATGCATTTATTGAGAGAATCCGTGGGATTTGATTATTTTTATTTACTGCCCTCTTTGGAGACCATGAACTCCAATTGTCATTTCTTTCTTATTTTTTTTTCTTTTCCATATTTAGAGAATGCCCATCGTGGACAAAAGTAACTAATTTCCTTACTAAAACATTCATTTATTTCTTCCAAACTTTCATCACTTTTGCTTTTGGTCGCTCCCCAGAATATATACATTATTTGATTTTTCTTTTTCTTTTCATTTTTTTTTTTGGATGATTTAACTTTATGGTTATGATTATCATTAATTCTTACCATTTCCCCTAAATCTTTCACCCAATTATAAGAAATTACTGAGTATTTATTTATTTATTTATTTTTGTTTAAATTAAAAGGATTCGACAGAAATGAATTTATAAGAGCAACATGCATGTTTCCAAGAAATATATACCTCATCTGTTCGAATTTTAATAGTTGATTATATGTTAAAGTAAAATGATTTAACAAAATGAGACATGGGAGGTGGTCATATTATATCATCCGTAAGTTGTTATATATATATATATATATATATATATATTGCACGATCAATTTCATATACATTTCTTAAGCCATTTTAAATCGTGAAATTGCAACGTTATTCATCGCAAATTACCACTGATGATGATAATATGAAAGGGCTGTACACATCACATGTACAGTCCAAAGACTCCAAACTCAATTTTGAGACTTATGGAGTAATAATAATAAAATATATAATGTCTGCTCCAAACACTCTGAATGGTAAAAAAAAAAAAAAAAAAAACTCAAAATGATTAATTATGCAAGAACAGCTGTATGTTCCGAACTCAAAACATCAATTTACTCCATTATTATTAATAAATAAATATTCTTATGAATATGTAAAAACATCAACCCCAAAATTACAATCCAAAATCTATAGATATATGATAGAACCAAATCGACTAATTAGAAAAACAAAACAAACGAAAACAGAAAACAAACCCCACACTGAAATTTTGACTGAAAGAGATTAACAAATTAAGAGAGACTAATAAATAATTAAAAACGAATCATGATCAGGTCCAGGATTCCAAAGCCAAAACCGCGCTGAGATTCATGGGGTGCATGTACTTGGAAGAACCAGTGAAGATCTGCTGGACGATGATTCGGTTGGCTTTCTCAGATGGATGGAAGGGATCCCAGAACGCGTAAAGGTCTCTGTTTGGGCACAGGTTAGATAAGGGTGTGCACAGTCCAATGCCATTGTATGGACCTTGTCCACAACATGCTACCTTTGATGTCACAAATCCTGCAAAAATAATTTTGTCAGAGATACAGATGTGAACATTTAATCAATTAACTCAATAATTATTCGTCTTCCAACATACCATAACATATTAGTATGTCGCTTAATTATGAGATTCGGCCCTTTTCACTAATACCCTTTATGTTTTGATAGTGAAACAATTTGGTTTCATAAAGATTTAGAGTGGGTTACGTACTTTGGGGTAGAGTATTGTGCCATATAATTATGTTATAATTTGATCAATAAGATAGTAATGTTACACTAAGGTACGTATGATCTTATCTATACAGCTGCTTGATCCAAGTGGTCCTCCCTTCCTTGTCATAGTTACCATAAATGTATTGCATTTCTTTCACCTTACCCATCATGTTTTACGACACTTTTGCTACTAGCATGCTCTGATTTTGGGTAGTTGAGAATCATAAAGGGAGAGCTTGCTAATTGTATGAACCAACCAAAAGGTAGATCGAACTGCCCCAGTCGATCAATTAGTTTTTAAGAAATTTAAACAATTATCAAATCAGACACTAAGTGTGTAATATACGCTTAAAAAGAAATAACGGGGATTTACAGATTTTGGTCTCACCAAAGGCCTGAGGGTTAGAGACGAAGTCCATGTGCATGTCCATAGTGTTAGCGGCCATGAACACGTTTGATCCAAGCTGATTGTTGAGGTCATTGATCATGTTGGTAAGTTGTGGGTTGAACAATGAAGCTGCTCGCATCAATTCAACAGCACATTCTCCTGTTCTGCTTCTTTGTGCCAGTTCTGCTGGGACACATCCCATTGGACCTGTTCCTGTGACAATTACTTTTCTTGCCCCCAAATCATACAGCTTCTGCAAAATTATTTCATTTCGATCGTCCACCCCCATCACTCCATTGTCAGTAAACAATACTTGATAATTTTCACATTAATTAAATTCACTGTATTGCAAATAATTTGTTCCTTTAGTCAGTACTCTTTCCGTCTCATTTCAGTAATTCACCCGTTATGAAACAGGAAAAAAAAGTTATACTAACTATTCTTTTTTTTTTTTTTAAAAAAAAAGTGTTATACTAGCTATTCGAAACAATAGGTATCGTATGGACCCAAAAAAATAATTTTGCCTAGGCTTCTCTTACTTTTAGGTTGACCATGCAAAAATCATGCAGAATTCGGGATCGAACCATAATAGTATGTATCAAAAAAAAAAAAAAAACATAATAGTAAATAAAAATAATAAAAAGAATTGGGCAGAAAGGCAGGATAATAATGAGTTTGAGAGGCAAAAGAAGGAGCACTTTTTTTCATCATAAAGATAAAATTCTTATTTACCGACACAATTTATTACTCATGTGACATTGCGTATGTGTATGCCCCATTTCCCACCCTTACCAACTTGAAATAAGTATAAGAAAAAAGGCATCATGAATCATGATGATCTCAAGTTTTCAACTGCCTCACCATCAGTTTCAATCCAAAATACAAAAGGAAAAATAAATTAAAAAAAAAACCTCCAAAATTCGTTCTTCATATCATAGTACGCGAATAATAATAATAATAATAATAATAATATAAAAAGAGTACCAAAAAATAAAAAATTATGGTACGGTGCATTAACATATGTAAATGTCATAGTAATTGCTACATTTGTATAATAATAATAATGTATATGTCTATAATTGTTACATATAGGAGGAAATTAATGGAATGCATACGTACCGTTAAAACCTTGCGATATTCAGAGATGAGGTAACGAACGTAATCAGGGAGGGAGAATTGACGAGATCTTGCGGAGAATGGGACCAAATAGTAGTTGTTGACGAAGTCGTTTCCACCCAGGGTGATGAGTACCAGTGCCTGGTTCACCAGTTGTCTTGTCTGTTCTTCTCCGATCTGACTGCTCACTCGGGTTTGGTACTGCTGGAAGTACTCCAGTTGCTTCGTTATGTGAATGATATTCAGCTGCAATTATCATAACACAAGTTGTTGATGAGTTTAGTTGAACTAACAACTTAGCTCTTTGGAAAATAATTCATATTACAAATTATTAATTTGTTCGGTGTCTTTTCTTAGTAAAATTTACAAACTATATTAATGTTGATTTTTTTTTCCTTTCTGGAACTGATTTTGATTAATTCTTGTTATTCTGTTTGAGGGGAGCTGGCTAGCTTACGAATTGGAAGCCGGTGTCGTTGAGGATTCCGACGCCGGCGGAAGCGAAGTTGGCACCGTTCAGCAGGTTTTGTCCTTTGTTTTCCGGAGCCAAGTACGGCAATGGAGACTCCATTCCCATTTGTTCACCTTAAGAATTGCACATAATAAAACATTATAATCAACACATAATGTATGTATACGTACGTGCCCCGTCCATGCAAAATGGTAACCAGAAATCGAGTCACATAATAACACAGATTTAATGAACGGACCGAATACGTATGTATTTAAGGTACGTACTTATAATATCGGGAATGTTGAGGCCATTGGAGAAACGGCCGGTGGGACGATGACTCGGGAAGTCAATTCCGTAAGGCGGCGAATCGGCGCGGGCACTTGTCAAGAGGTAATTGTTGTTGCCATTGTCGACCAAGGAATCGCCAAAAACAAAGAACGCTCTCGCTTCAGCTCCACGAGGAGCTGCGGCAATAATTAGCACCAAACAAGAAGCGAGAAATGTAAAGAGCTGCTTCCTCATTGTGTAACTAGTAATAAAAAAAAAGAACTTAATCTGCTTCTTTAGTAGAAGTAAAACTATACCACACAATGTGGAGCTACCTAGGGAGAAGATATGAAGCAGAGAAATGAATAGGGAGTGGTAATTGGTTAGATTGATGAAGGGGGAGAAGTGGTGTTTTTATATAAGCGATTTGGGGGGATTCAAAGTTCACAAACAGATGGGATCATTGAAGTGGTCTCATAAATATGGTTTGTTGTAGTTACCAGCACTTCTACTGATGAATGTGTAGAGAATGGTGTAGTAGTAGTGGACAATATGATATGGACTGGACCATCTTATTACAGAAGCAAACTGTGTAGCTAATAAGTAAGCTATTTTAATAGGCTAACACTAATCAGCAGCCAATCAATTCGTGATTTATTTGCTGTTTAAATTTGGTTCGTACCTAATACTCCTATAATTTATTTTACCCACGAAAGGAAAATATGGATATTAATATGAGTACAGTACATTAACACTTAGAATATTATCTTATGGTTTCTGTAATTTAACAAAAGAGTGAAAAGTTCCAACATATTACTGATTTAAAAGTGCAGATTGGGTTGCATTTTCGAAGTTGTACCGAGTCCACTGATGACGAACCGGAGGATGATTGGGAGCCATAAACTATCATCACATGTATTGATTTGTTCTGTTTGTTTTGTAAGTTATACTCTCTCCGTTTCAACATTATTATCGAGTTGCATTTTTATTTTTAGTTTAAATCGTACTAAAAATAAAAATAGATAATAATTTTGAGACAGAAGCTACGTATTTGTTTTTCGTTTTAAAACTGACCGTAAAATCAATCAATCAATCCACCTGTAGTATTGTGTTCCATTGGGAAAGCACCCAGGAATATGAGTTTAATTAAGATGTAGTGATGCTATAGAGGGTAGATGTAGTGTAGTAGTAGTAAAATGTATCGAATGCTGAAAAAGCAAAATTATCACTGTCTTACAAGTGGTTGTATTAGATAATCAAGTTATTCAGACACTTGGGTTTACTTTTTTTTAGAGATGAGATTGGATCTCTAAATCTCTTTATTCAGAGCTAATTTTTTTTTATTTTTTCCAAAAGACAATATTCGATCTCTAGATCTCTCATATATACAGGAATTTAGTTAGGGTTAACTCTAAACTGGAACCCCCAAACAGTCCACCAGGGACCAAGTTTTCTCAAGGAGTCTATAATTCAACCAAAATGGCTAACAATTTAATGTTTACTGTAGCTTCCTAAATCATCAACCTAGAATTTCCAGTCAATTATATTTATGTACGTACGTAGGCAGTAACAGCGGTTATTTAATTTGCTCCAAGTGATTATATTTACAGTTGTAGTACTGGTGGTAGTAAAGCCCTTTTAATTAGTCTCTATTATTGAACATTCTGTTCTGACTTCTTTACAAATCCCTCAATTTTGCACACATTAATTTATATATATATAAAAAAAACAGGTAAACGATTTTTACATTAAAACATTCTAACTTGCTTGAACTGCAAATAAACTTTGAAACTTGCAGCAATTAAATGATTTTATGATCAGAATTAAGTTTTGGATACATCATGATATCATTACATATTATCTGTTTTCTTTTCTGGTAATTATAAGTAAAGGGCAATTTATATCACCATATATAGTGAACTTGTTTTAGGGATTGTAATACACGCATATAAAAAGTGAGTAACTTTTTTTCTGTTCCATAAATAAATTCATGCGCACGGTATAGGTGCCAATTTTTATTCTTATGATTTTATCCATGATCTTATCATCCATCCAATTGTGGTTCAAAATCAAAACAGTAAATTTATTCATTTTCGTATGATTTCTGCCCGTTCCCGTAGCTCGTATATCATCAATCATGCATCCTTTGAAGAAAATAAATCGCTCATAAGTAGATACTTTTTTCTTCATTTTCTTTTTGTGTTTGAATCTTATGAACAATATAGTATATTTGTATGAATATTTGAATAGTATGAATAATGTAGTTAGTTTTCATGAATATTTGAATCATATTAAAGAAGATGAATCGCATCCTAGTAGATACTTTCTTCTTCTTCTTTTTTTTTTTTGTATGTTTGAATCGTATAAACAATATAGTATATTTGTATGAATATTTGAATCGTCTGAACAATTTAGTTAGTTTTCATGAATATTTGAATAATATTGAAAAAGATGAATCGCCTCCTGATAGATACGTTTTTTTTTTCTCTTTTTTGTGTTTGAATCGTATTTTTTTTTTTGAAAACCTGTTTGAATCGTATGAACAATATAGTATATTTGTATGAATATTTGAATTGTATGAACAATGTAGTTTATTTTTATGAATATTTGAATCATATGAACAATGTATTATATTGTCATGAATATTTTACATCGTATGCAAGTTTTAAACATATTTTTAAGAATTTGAACAGTCAATTATGTTGTTATGAACATTTTAATTATATGTTAACATCATGAATATTTGTATTTTATTCCATGTATAATGCAAAATAGTATTGTGAACTTGCTATTACTACTTTCGAAGTTATTTGTTATGAACATGAGGTACACGAATTATGAATAACGTAATTATATTAAAATTTAATATATCTTATGAATATGACTCATATTAGGATTTGAATAATTAAGATTTGTATTTTGAATTTTGAATTCCTAATTTATAGAGGAGAAGATCACGGTATTATATGTTGAGATTATTTCCATAATAAATATTTTGAAGAATTAATTATATAGTTATATTAGAACACGTGTTCTCACATAACCCGTGTATCAAATATGGTGAACACGGTTAACTATATAATCACTATAAATAAAGGTGTGGATTGATTGATTATATTTACAATCTGCATGAATGTGTCAAACCCGTTGACATAAAAAAGGTTCACGTATATAATGTCGTTTTTATAAGCGTTAACTGATTAATAGAGACTGATCTATACGTGAATCAAATCGGTTGCTTTATATATGTGACAAACATATCCTCGTAACGAGTTTGCTTAAATTATTAGTGGCCACATTAGTAAGTTGTTCATCATGAATCATGATGTTGATTGGTTTAACATAGGAAAACACCATCTAAATTGGTGGGTACAAAATAGACCATTTGCATGTTGTTTTCAAAACAAAGACGATCTGTTTTTTTTTTTTTTTCTGCCTCATTCATATTAATTATTAATCTAAGCCAAAAAAAAGGGCCTTATTAATTAAAGCCACTTTTTATTCATTTGTGGGTGTTTACTATTTTAGTATCCATCCATCCATCATAATCGTCGACAAAATAAAAGCCCCCAAAAATCTTTGTCTATTTAACAATTAATGGAGATTCTTGTCGTGCTAAAAGCTGGTCTGTATGACTACTACTACTATTTAATTTAAAAGTGAAGAAGGATTTCGGTGTCCATCAATTTCATCGTGATTTGACAATTGCCCCTTAAGGTGTTCTTTTCTTTTTTTGTATGCTATTAAAGTTCCATCCAATCTGCAAAACAAAATGTTCCTGTAATCTTTAAACAAAATCCCCTATTCAAAATGGTACAAATGATTATGCATGGTACGGAAAATAGAATACCTAAAATATTCATTTGTTACTACTCTTATTGTCTCAAATGATTATCTTAGTTTTTAATACAACCAACAATAAAAATAGTTTTGAACGAAAAAAATATCCATGTGTTAATTACAATCACACATGACAGCATATACATATATGTAATGTCGATAATTAAGGTATAGATTTTTGTTCCGCAATCAGAAATTATTCAAAAATAAGTTTTTTTTTTTTTTTTTGTGTTCAAAGTTATCGCTCCACATAATCTAGTTTCGAGTCGAGTAGGTCATTTTCGGAAGATAAAATTCTCCTTACAACTATTTTTATCACTACTTATTTCCATATCCGAGCTTAAACTCAAGCCATAATTAAAATGACTCAATATTTTACCACTTAGACTAAGTTTTTGTTAGTAAAATAAGAATATGTAACGATAATTTTTCTTTGCTTTAGCAGATTCGGAGTAATGTATTTGTGTTACTCCCTCCATTCACAAATAGATGTCGCTGGAGAGATTTCACAAAGTTTAAGGAGGCAATAATTATCTTGTTAAAATACTATAATACCCTCATTTATTCTTAATTCAATTGTAGTCCCAATAAAATTCACTTGTAATACAATTCTACATTAAACATCACAACAATTTCCAATGTAAGGGTGATATTGGAAAAAATTGATAAAATATGCCTCGATTTGTGAGAACGACATCTATTTTGTAATATTTGGATTTTCCTCCAACGACATCTATTTGTGAATGGAGGGAGTACTCAATGATTTTTTAATGAATGCATGACATTCTTTCTCTTTCCTCTCATTCGAACATTTTTCATTTTGTTAAATGAAAATAATAATAATAAAAAAAGACTAAATGGCCGTGGGAGTAATGATTTTGGTATAACTAGATTATTTTGCTTTCGCTCTTTTTTTTTTTTTTTTAAAAAAAACAATTTTTTATTTTGAAAACACAAATCAACTACGTGATCAATAGAAGAAGTTGTATCCAGCATTCAGGATCGCCTTTCCCTTTTCTATTTGAAAATTAATCAATCCAAAACAAAAGTATTTTAATTGTTACGCAAATATAGATGCATGGCTTAAAGCAATACCGGAGCCAATTAATATTAGAGATCATTTACACATTGCCGATCCAGAAAAGCTAATGGAAATAAATAGAAACAGTAATGAGGCCATGTGAAAAAAATAAATGTGGGTGGGGTTGCATTTGAGCTACTCACAAGGAGGTCTATTTCATAGTATATATAGATTCGCTCCTAATATTGAAAATACTTTTTTTTTTAAAAAATGCAATGAAAATACAATTCTTATTAATTTTACATAAACTCTTGCAACTACCATATATCAAGGTACAAGCTAGCTTGGGCGTACTTGTCTTGCTATTTTTACCAAAATGCGTTGTCTAGTTACTTAGAGAGAGATTTTAGTTTCGAGATCCTTCAATTTATATATTTGCTACGCTATAATTAATTTCTTTTAATAATATCGAGAGAACAATAACCTTTAAATACATGAAAATCTATCATTTGCATTTTGCAATAGTATATTTCTTTCATCAGTGTGATCATAACGGCATCCAATTTTTACTGCGCGCATCATTCCACAGCCTTGATCCTTTTTTTTTTTCCCATTTATTATTGTTATCTACTTTATTTTAACATAGCATCAAGTCCATTAGGCGTTAGTCAAATTTTGAGTGACAGGCTCGGTGATACAATAAGGCTTCTTAATTTTATACAGCCAACGCCAAATAGATATATAGCT